TCTTTGATTTCAAGGTCACCTAATACCCACGTTTTATTTTTATCTATTCGCTTGCCAATAACCATTACTTTAGATTTATTGGGGTCGAATTTGAATCCCCAGCAAGAACCAAACTGATCTGCAATTTTTAGCATATGATTCAGTTGGCTCTCACTTTCGGCCATAAGAACAATGTCATCAGCAAAAAGTAATGTTGGGACTTTAATGTTATTAAATGGAATACCAAGGTTTTCTTTATTCAGTCTATCAACTAAGTCAGTCATGACTAGTGAGAATAGGGATGGGGATAAACAACAGCCCTGCTTTAATCCAGAAGTACTAGAATACCATGGAGAGGTAAAATTACCAAAAACAACTTTATTACAAACATCCCTGTAAGCCTCATGGAGCAACCGCCATATTTTTCCTTGAATACCCATTTCCCAAAGTTTCACAAATAACATATTGCGGTCAATAACATCAAAGGCCTTAGAAATATCCAAAAATGATAAAAATGTATTTTTCTTAGAGGATTTACGAAGTGAGCATAAACCTTTTAGAGCAAAAATGTGGTTTTCAAGTCTAAGATTTTCCCTGAAAGCTCCCTGGGAATCACCAAGAAGGTCACATGACTCTGAGTTAAGTTTAATTTTACTATCAAGTAGACTAGTATAAATTTTATAAACATTGGAATTCATGGTGAGACCTCTGTAATTATTTAAGTCAATGTTTAAACCTCGTTTGAATAAAGGAACAAGTAATCCTTCTTTCCATTCTGTAGGCATAACTTCTAGGGATTTTACTTTGTTAAAAAGGTCAAAAAGGGAAGAAAACATTGTATTTCCCCCGTATTTAAGAAATTCATTAGGTATATTATCCGTACCACACTTCTTGCCATTATTTAGCTTTCTGAGACATTGCACAAGTTCAGCATATGTAAAGCAGAAGCTGTTTAAGGCATTATTATCATAGTTAGTTTCCTTTAATAAAGAATCTATCTTATCTGATAGATTATTGGAGGTAAACTTTGGATTACGATTATTACGCCCCACCCTTTCCCAATACAAATGTAGAGCCTCAGATATGGCTTTGGGGTCAGTTAAGATCATATCTTTGTTGTTAGGGTCTTGGATTTGAATGGGATATCCATTATTTTCATTGAACATTTTCAATTTTTTCCAGTAGGATCTTGAACATTTAGAAAGTGACCTAGCATTACTAGTTAAAACTTTGATGTGATTCTTTACATGTGATTCAACTATTTTCAACTGAACTTGTTTTTTACGTTCGAGGTATAAGTTCCAAATTTCTCGAAGTATGTCAGGGTCAGCTGACTTTGAACGACTCCAATATCGATAGAAGCGTGATGCTTCTTTACGATTATTTATTAATAATTTAATTTCTTTATCCCAAAATGAACGATGGTTCGTTGGTACCCTCTTAAACCCAACCCCTATATGAGCAGCCTTCATTATATTCTCTTTGAATGAGGACCATGCATCTTCAATGTTACTGCACTTGGAAATGTCCCAGGAACTAAATTCAGTATTAATGGCGTTTCTGAAGCAATCCCAATCTGTGTTATCATTGATGTTCCAAATTACAGTATCTTCATCTTTATTATCAGGAGGAACATTGGTCTTAAGGTTACCTGACTGAGAGGGCAGTATAGCATTTATAATCATAAAAGAGTGGTCACTACCTAAACTTGCCTCTTCGTGGGTTTCATCAATAATCATATTTTGGTACACCTTCATAAAATTATGGTTACCGAAGCAATAGTCAATGGATGAATGTTGAGTTCCCCTTGACCATGTTATCTCACCCTGACAGTTAATAGAGTTTAACATGTGCATGCCTGTGACATCACTGAAAAGATCGATAAGTTTACCATTTTGGCTGCTTTGCCCTTTACAAAATTTGGTTGCCTTCCCATTAAAATCACCCATCAATAAAGTATATGTGTCATCTGATTCAACCTCTGCAACATTAGAGATCAACTCATCCATTAACTTTTCGCTTAAAATTGAATTTTTTCCATCTACGGGAAAGTAAGTAACTCCAAGATTAAGAACATTATTATTAATTTTAACACGAATCCATAATCTTTCTAGGTCATCACAACTCGAGTGAAGTAAATCATTGTCAAGGATTACTATTCCTTTCTTAACAAAGAATCCTACACCACCACCTTTTTTACCAACTCTGTTTTTAGGGATCCACACATAGTTATCATTTAAAATTGAAAGCGTGTTAGTGTCATCAAAAAAAGTTTCAGCAATAGCAACAATATCATAGCTACATTTAGATAAAGTCTGGTTGAGCTCATGTTGTTTAGCAAGGCCAAAGTGGCATACATTATTAAAAGCAAAGGTCATTTGAGTGGAGCTGGTATAGATCTTTCTTCTTCCCCGACGAGTTTTGCGATTACGTTGGTGAATGACAGGTTCAGGAGTGGGCGGAGATATTGTAAATGAGTCAGATGGGACGAAGGCAGAAACATTGCCTAAAGCCTATTGTGGCCAGCACTGTCCAAACTGTCCATTAACAAAATTAGGGTGGTTTAAGTTTTGTGTGAATGGGCACCTTGCTTTCTTATGTCCAAAATTAGAACAGGAGTGGCAGCGTATGGAATTTGTGTGCCAACAAGAATTGGCAAGGTGACTCCTTTCTCCGCATTTAAAACAGGCTGGTGAAATGTTACGTGAAATATCATGGGAGGGGGGCTGGGCACGTTGGTCACGTACGGGGGGCTGTTGTTGCTGCAAAGAGGGGACATGAATATCGTTGCTGGTGGGTTTGTGATGGGCTGTAGCCTGCGATGAGTGTTGCAAGTTACGTTGCTGTTGACGGGCACGGTTGTTTTTTGTAACATCTCGTGTCTTACAGCCGAGTCCCATGTTACGTGCCAATTTATTAGATCCTGGCTTTGATAAGTGAAGACCATCAGACCAGAGATAACCTTCATTTATTTCTCCACTCTGTAGTTTAAAGCCATTTGTGTCATTGTTGATGAACTCGATCTTTTCCTCCTCGCATAGGATCTGTAGCTCAGCATTAAGGGCATCGGCGGTATTCTGAGCCAATTCTTTGTCGGTTCGAGGGCAAATGCTAGAAACGGCAACAGTGGTAGCAATGTTCTTGGCACCCTTAATAGCTAATTGGTATTTAGCTTTGATCGAGGCCTTATCTGATGATTTTGCACAGTCTTTACTTCCTACTTGAAGAATAGCCTTTTGGTACTTGGTGTCTAAATTAGTGAGTCGCTTATGGACCATATCAATGTCTGCCCCACCAATAGAAATAACTTCAACGTCATTGAGTTTATCTTGATCGAGGTCACGAACGATAGAACTTCCAATCACCAGCGTTTTTGAAGCATTTTTGGGGTGGGGTTTGACAGGTTCATTTTGGGATTTGTTCATTTTATGCCAGTTAAGGGTTTCACGAAGGCTTTTACACTCTTTTTCAAGTTCATTGCAGGTTGCAGTTTTGGCAGATAGTTGTTTTACAAGATCGAGATTCGTAGTGTTTATTGCACTCACTGTGCTCTGCAAAGCATCAACCTTGGCTGTGGTGTTATCAACTGCCACCTTAAGGTCTTGTATGATAGCTACTAGGTTGCGAGTGTTTATATCAGAGTCATATTTGGAAGTACAGCGAGTATGTAATTTATTGGACTTAGGAAGCTTTGGGGTCTTAGGGACCGTCCTACACGCTCGAACGGGACGTTTACGCTTCGCTCCTGAGTCTGAGTTGAAAGTACCATTAAGATCCAAAGGCAATGTGTTTTTGCCTAGACGTTTACTTCTGCGTTTATGGACAGACCTTTGAGTGTCATTCTGTGAAGGTGAAGCAAGATTAGTTGAGCAGGTTGGTTCTCTTGGAGTCAAAGCACGAGCTTGAGATGCCCCCTGAGAACACTGAGACTGTTCAGGAGAGTTGTTGATAGTCAGGTTTAAGGTCAGAATATCAGCTGATTCAGGTGACCCCTGACTTTCTTTATAAACAGAATCAGGTGATCCAATAAGTAAGCCAATATCAGTTCCAACTTCTGAGGGTTGGGGGCTAGCCATGGTCATAGGCAGCTAATATGCACATTAACACCTTCTAGTTCTTTAAGTGCTAAAAACTTAATTACCTCAATGCAGTTCAATACTGTATTTTTGTGTAAGTCTGAAATATTTTCCTCAATTTATCTGAAATAATTTCCATCAAATGTCATTTAGACACTTGAAATATCACAAAAATAATTATATATCCAGATTCCTGATGTATTCACGAATCCTGCGGTACTAAAATCTTGATTCTTTTTGTTCTTGTTCCTCATAAATCAGTCCTATTTCACAGAGCAAAATTATTCCTGTCAACTGTGTTTGTGTATGTGTACTTCCTGATGTATTCACGAATCCTGCGGTACTAAAATCTTGATTCTTTTTGTTCTTGTTCCTCATAAATCAGTCCTATTTCACAGAGCAAAATTATTCCTGTCAACTGTGTTTGTGTATGTGTACTTCTATTATAGTTTAGAAAAAGTATTCAAAAAATTAAATCAAAAACTCCCAAAATAGATAAAAATTAAGATAAACCTTTAATTTCATGAACAAGTTACTTTTTTGAAATCAACCAAACTTTCTTTTGTATAATTACAATATTGAGAGACCTAAACACGTATATGTCATTTTGTTACAGTGAGGTTCGGATAGATGTTTCATTTCATTCCAAACACATGATACCAAGACCAAAAGAAGTGTCTGATGTCTTTTCTAAAACAATATATAGAATTCAAATTACATGTATATTGAACCATTCAAAAGATGACAATAATATTGACAATGTGTAAAATTTTCAGAATTTTTTGATAACTGGTTTTAGAGAAATGTGAGTTCAAAAAGTTCACCATATCGATACCAAATTACCAATCCTTTGAACCCTTCCCGGAATTTTAATAAAAAGTGAACCCCTCCTTGGCAAAAGCTGGCTACAGGCCTGAAGTGTATCATAAATGTATCTGTTTCCAGCAAGAAACTTGATGAGACAACTGCTGCTTTGAAGCGCACAATGAAAGAGCTGGATATTGCCAAAGCCAAAGTGGACAGTTTGCTGAATGAGATGTTGCCACCTAAAGTCTCAAAACAATTGCAGGAAGGGAAGAAAGTGGCGGCAGGTATAAGATAATTAATGTGAATCTTATATGAAGTATATAAATATAAATTAGTCATTTGAAAACTCATTTACTGTTTTCTCTATTAAACTGATAATGTGATATGTATGAATTCCAACTAAATTGTTCCCACTTCAATGTATGGACTTGTTTTTGTTGTAGAAAAGTTTTCTGGTGTCACCATCTTCTTTAGTGATGTGGTAAAGTTCACCAACATTTGCGCTGCTGTGACACCTGTGGATGTCGTTGCTATGTTGAACGAGTTATACATGCATTTTGATGGTCTCACTGTCAAGCATGAGGTCTACAAGGTATGTAAGGGGCTTTGGTCCATATTTAGAGAGGGTTTCATGAATTGAAATGTTCATCAATCACTCAATCAATTTTTAAGTCAGAAGTCCACCTCTCTTGTACTACCTTATCGAGCAAGCACAAAGTTTGCATATTTAATGGAACAAGATCAAATACAGTAAAACCTGAGTTGTGAACACATCTCTAGTGAACACCTATCAACAGTGAACGTTTTTCTTCGGCAAAACCTTTTTTCCCATTGACTCCCATGTTAAAGTACAATCCTAAAGTGAACACATACCAGCTATGAACAGTGAACACTTAATCTTGGCAAAATCAATTGAATTATCCTGTCTCTAGTGAACATTGAATCAGATATAAGATTTCTGCAACTACCTTATCAGAGTTAAGCAGTTTATATTTCTATTACCTGCCAAAAATAATTAAAAGGTCAATTTGAGATCTTGATCTCTTCTATTGAAACAGGTGTGACTAATTACATAAGCTTTATTTTTGTAAGACAGGATATGTGTCTGGGATTGATTGCTTGGAGAAAATCCTTATCTGGTTAACTATTATTACCTCTGTCTGCTAAGTCCTAACTTAATCTTTTTTCTCATCCAGTCAATTTGAAAAACAAATTGGATTAAAATTATAATTCACGATCATTTCACTATTAACTGAATCTATCATGTCTTTTAACTAATTCAATAAAGTCCTTTAACTGACTTAAATATGTCAAAGATTCCACTACTTATTATTTGATAATAAAAGGATGAACCATTCAGATGACAGTCAGTAACATTACAACAAATCAAATACTCATCGCTAGAGTGTCATGGGTTAATATCGGTAGAAAATACAAATTAAATTGAATATTATATTGTTAAATAAATAGTTCACTATACGCAGGTTGTACTGTATGTTGAATCCAACAGACTTCGGAAAACTTGATAGGAAACCTTAATCCCTATTCATTTTACCATATTATGTCTTACCAGTGCTAACAAGACTTAAAGAAAAGAAAATAACATTCAGACTTGATGTGAAACTTTCATCTTTCTAATGTTGGTTTATAGTGAGTTTTGTCAATCCTCTGCAGAGTCCCTCTTCACCTAACCCTTGAGAGATTCTGTGTGTCCCAATGAATAGTACAGGCTGTGTATCCCACAATGGTGTTGCATATCAGTTCATTACATGATGCTAAAACTGAGAGGATTTTAATTTTACCATATAATAGGTGGAGACAATTGGTGATGCTTACATGGTGGTATGTGGTTTACCTGAAATAGATAAAAGCCATTGTCAGAAAGTGTGTAGTTTTGCCCTAGACATGGTCATCTATGCTGGTAGGGTCAGCTCCCCTGCTACTGGAGTCCCTCTTGTGGTAAGTAGCATTGTAAAACTTGCCATGGCTAATTTCGCCAACATGTTAAAGGACAACTGAAATAGCTTTTCTCAACTTGCAGCTACAAAAATGTGGTTTTCTCCATTGTAAGCCCACCGTAGAGTTCTTGCGATAGCCATTATAAAATAAATGTTAGATAACTGCTAACGGTCATAGATAACGAAATAAAATTAACTGATAAATCAAATTGGCCCCCACGTGATTAGTAACGTCATATACAAAATATAGCTTTGGTTTATTGGTTCCATAGTAATCACAACGTCACGGCAACCATAGGATTGTTGTGTAAATAAATACAAGAACATTTTGGCATTATGACGTCATGATCTAATGGACCAAAACGGGCCACGTGGGGACCAGTGAGAGATCACGTGGGGGCCAATAACGTCTTAAGCAGCTATCGTTAGAGTGAAATAGTTTTCACACTACTGATGAGAAAACATGTCCAAATACATCTATCAAAAAATTATATTGATTCCTTTTGGTTAAAAATACCATTTCATATCTGCTTTAAAGTCACAATACTGACAATAGTGAAGTTGACACAATAATATTGAGACCCTCATTGCCTCTTTTTATTCCATGACTACTTACTGCACCACTATCGTTACATTTAATAAAGCCTTTTGAACGGACTGTTTAAATTTTATGGTAGCAATTCATACCTGGCATTGTGAGGCCACGAAAATGATTTAAAGGTATTCATTTGAAATCCTCAGGGAAGTAGTAGTAGTAGTATCATTAAGATACATTAATATAGACCTAATGAGGTTAATTGAGCAGACTGCATTGTTTATGTGTGTTGTTCTATTCAGATCCGTGCTGGTTGTCATACTGGACCATGTGTCGCAGGGGTAGTGGGAGACAAGATGCCCCGCTACTGTCTCTTTGGAGATACTGTCAACACTGCATCCCGAATGGAGAGTAATGGCCAGGCAGGCAGAGTCCATATCAGTGATCCAACTCAAAAGTGAGCCATAACATGCTACAAAATTTCATTTCATTATCAATCTGTTTCATTATCAAAATATTTATTTTTGGTAGCATATCAATAAATTCAAAATTGTTATCACAAACAGTGCATGAAAAAAAGTTATAGTGTGTAATCAAACATAAAAAATAAATAAATAAATCTCCATCAAATTAAGCTCTCCCCTAATTTGTAAACATGATAATGTAAGTGTAACAATTATGTTTGCATCAAGGATGTTCACTATGTTCAGTATCAATCATCTGATCATAGTACACAAGTTCCATTATATACTTGTGCTTGTAATGTTCATTTTATGCCTTGTTTCATTTTTGATTGCCCAACTAGCATCACCCATCATCCTTAGATTAAGAGGAATCTGAATAACATAGTTACTGTTTTCCAGGCTTCTGAAATCTGCGAAGGATTGGAAGTTTAAGACCAAGTTCCGTGGTCCAATGGAAATCAAAGGTAAGGGTCAGATGAATACCCATTTCCTCTATGCCGACAAGTATAAGCAGATTGAGCACGATGATGAAAATGAGGCTCTTCTTATTGTAAATGGGGCTCATTTGTCCCACCCTGAATGGATCCTACCAGGAGGTCCCCCTGCTGGAGCCGTAGACCCTGCCACAGCCATTGGAAACACAGCCCCACCTGATGGTACAGCAGTGAAACAATCTATGGATTCGAAGAAGAAATCAGGAACTTGCAATCTCTCATAAAATCATGGACAATAAATATCTGACAATAAAATGCACATGGATTATTACAGAAAAATAGGCAATTTACTACCAATATGAACGCACCTTCTGCATAAAAATCCAAATTATCAAAAAAAAATTATTCAGTAAAATATATATTATGTGAAGACCTTTTGGGACTTGTTTTGAATGAGACATTGACGTAGTGCAAACTTAATTGTATTTTTTATATTTACTGGAGAGTGGGGCCAGCTAAGGAGTGTCAGCATTTAGAAGGTCGGTTATTATCAATATGGATAGTCAATGGAGGGAAACATTATCCATCACAAAAGGTGTTTACATAAGACATATGTTAGATAAAGACTTGCTTACACAGCAAAATAACTATCAGACTATAAAATGGCAGTACTAAAAAGCCTGTAATATAAATATTGTAAATACATCAAAGCCAGTAGTAGAAGTATTATAAATAGAATAATATTCAGAAATGTTGCTCAGTTTAAAGGTTGTGTGGTAATAACTATAAATAATAGTGTTAAATACTTTACTCAATTAAAAGTTGGTTATTACCATGGTGAACTCTATATGTTAACATGCATCTTTTGTGCATTGTTTTTTAAAATCCCAAAAGTTCTAGACAATGTAAATAGGATTATAATGTTGAATAACTATCAGTATATCTTTTAGTTGACATGCATTTTTTGTGCATGGTTAAATAGACTTATTTATAGTGATGTAAAATCACAATGTTGTATTTGTTGGACCATGAATATTATATGCTTAAAAGCAAGTAAAATAAAATGTGCCAAAAAATAAGAACTTGTTTTTTCTAGGATACCTATAATTAAGAATGAAAAAGTTATACATATTTTTTCAGCTTGGCAAGTGGTGGAGTCAGCAAGATGGATTAATTAGAAAAGACCATGTGCAGTATGACAAGTGATTTTAGACAGTCATATCTTTCACCATGAGTACTTTCTGGTCATAAATACAGTGGCTTTTATTAAAACAATAAGTCCCCATGATAGTAAAATATCAATCCAACTCTCTGAAAAATTATGGATTAGGGCCCCACCTTGGCACTTTTTGAAAAATGTTAGGCTTATTATCTAAAAAGAGGATCTTGTTTTTCTCAATTTAAACATATCGAAAGTCTCATCTACACTATATTAACAATTTCTGAAAAGGGGATGGGTATTGAAATGAGTTAAAAACCACATATCCCATGTTATCTTCCCATAGGGAAAACTCGTGCTATCCGTTGTTTTCAGTAAATTTTGGTCATTGAAAATTGATATCTTCAAAACTAGACTTTTAATACCATTCTATTTTTGAACATGTCTTAGACCCCTTGTTGAATAATGTTTTCATGCAAAAAAAACAGTAAAAGAAGATCCTCTTTTGAGTAAATAGGTTCAATATTTTGAAGAAAAAAATGTTGACATGGGGTCCCTATTCATAATTTTTCGAATTTTTTGATTTATATTTTTATCATCATGGGTACTTTTCTTAACCACTGTATTTATGGCCAGAAAGTACTCATGGTGAAAGACATGACTGTCTAAAATCACTTGCCATACTGCAGGTGGTCTTTTTCAGCAACGTTCTCTGTGTCTATAATACAAAATATTTGTACTTCTGTTTTATTACATAAATCTTTATTTACAATACTGCATTCTTTAAGCATCTATTTACATACTGCTCATTCTTTTTTTCAAATGATTGCTCATGGCTTGAGAAAATTTGTTTTCTCATGGTATAATATCCTTCAACTAATATATAACAATGATCTGTTCGTAGTAAGCATGTTAAGGCATTAATGGGTGCATGTAGCATACTACTACTCATTTCAATATCCATTTGAAGGCCCTGTGTCAAGTTGAAAATGGACCAAATGGTGCTTCAAAGCCACTTTATGAGTTGAAATAGTTTAAACTTTACATGGAGCCATTTATAATTTTGTCGACCAAATACAATGCATCTCCAATAAAATTTCAAAAATCCCATTTCAGTTATTATGTAACACTAAAAATCTCAAAATGTTGTACTAAAAAATACAAAAACCTACAATTTTGCACTAACAAAATCCTACATAAAAAATCTTGGAGAGTGGACTTGTTGGACATATACCAACTTTTGGTTGAATAAACTGATAAACTCAATATTGCAGATACATGTAAGGCATCAGCCTGAATCAAATCACAATGAATCAAGGACCATTTAACTGTAATTCAGTCCCTCATTCATGAATCAATCATTTAAATTGCTGTCTTTTACTTATATTTTATACTATAGCTTGTTTTATTTTGATGCTGTTTAATTTTTGACATTGAGCACTGGGCAGCTATTCAATTTGGCGGAGTTGTTTTGTATTGATCATGAGCCTTCATGATGACTAGAATTTTGAACATTATTGATTTGAAATTAATACTAGCCACCGCATCAATAATATTTGTTGTGATTTTCTGAGCATATTTAAAGCAGATATGATTACTTCAAATTGTTTCCCTTAAAGACATTTCCAATGTTCAATTTGTATGGTAGGCTATACATTTCAATATTGCAAGTCTGCCAAATAAAGTAGTCACCTGACCAAATGTTCAAAACATTAAATCAGCCAAAATAAGTAGAAGAAGTACAGTCTAAAACGAGACATCAAATTAACCCAAGTTACAGTAATAACATTATAGTATTTATACAGAAAAGTTGGCATTATCAGGAAAATCTATATCAACCTGATCAGGCTTTGTTTCTGGTTCATACTCCACATGCTCTTGTTCAGCATCATCCAATTCACTTTTAGCAGTGTCCTCTTTTGTACTATAATTAGGATTGTCAAAACTATTGACATTCTTGGGTGTAGCATAACCATTCGTAGGTGTAGCATACCCGTTTGGAACAGCCATATTTGTTTTGTCAGTGATTTTTATAGGGGTTGCATATTCTGGTGCAGCAGAGTTTGTTTGGTCAGCTTGAGCTTGAGCAGGCTGTAGTTCATGTTCAAATGCATTGTTTTGAAAAGCTACACCATTGGATGTTTCAGTGTTTGTGTTTTTACGATTAAGTTCATCGTACAGTTTATTCTGGTAAGCCTGGGAACAGTCAGGGGAGTCACCACTCTGCCATCTATTGCCAATTGTTGCATAAGGATCTGCAGCCTCTTTCTTTAATATTTGACTGAAAAATGACACAAAAATAGTAAATATATTTTCAATGATAATACAACTAGGGGTACCTCAAAGTGGAACAGTTTTGGAAACAATATTTTAAAGAGACAGGTGAATGTGTACTGCCCCTAACCACTTGAACATATTTCTAAAAACAATTACTTATAATATTTATCTCACAAGTCTACTAAATACCAGTTGTAATCTGCCCATAATTTAAAATCACACATTTTTATTTGGCCCATGCTATGAACTCGAGTTGCTTGAGTAGCCCTATCGATTTAATTCAAGGCAATTCAATTCAATTAATTTGATTAACAAGTTTTTTACACCAAAATCAAACTAACCGTCTTCTTATTTTCATAGCAGCAAATACAATGAGGACCAAGAAAGCAACTCCTACAAGGGCCACCAGGATCACCCACCAGTTGGAATTTATCCAGTTCTGCAGATAAACAATTCATGGCCTTTATAACAATTATACATTTTGTTTAAAATAACTAACAGAAATAGCAGGGAGAAATGTTGAATGAATCTCTCCGAGGATGTTTCGCTTACAAATTGTACATTCATATTTTTTCTGAAAAAATAATGAATTCTTGAGATATCTGATCAAATATTAGTCTCAGAAAATTTCAAATTCAGGACGCTTGTTGTATGTCTTACTGACCAAAAAAATAGCACTCAATGGTGGGAAGAACTGCTAATATATTGATTCCTGATAAAATAACAAGACTACTTACACTGTGTTGTCCTGCTGTTCCAACTTGATTATCGTCATCAGTAGATGCCCCAATATTACCATTTGCACATCCCTCGCTCTCAGTCAATACCTTATAAGGCATGAGTGCATTGAGATCTGAACGATCAGTGTTCATAAAAGCACCATCTACAGTCTCTTTGGTGATTTGACCCTGCTTCAGTGTGTTCTCAACAGTAAAGGCAATCTGGGTGATTTTGTTCCTACAAATACATGATTTGAATCTGTTAATGGTGTACTTGCTAGATGGTAGAAAGTTTCTGTACCAACCATATGCACTGGTACTCACCCAGTTACGCTGACGATATGATCTTCATGAATATTGTCACATTGGCAATATCCATGAAGATCATCAATGTAACAAAAGCGAGGGACTAAATATGGGAAGTTCTTCCATCTTGTTACGCTGACGATCGTCAGCGTAACTACTGTAGGTGAGTACCAATGATATGAGAAGGGAACTCTGATTCTTCTTTTTTTTTGTTTTCAAAAATGGATAATAAAAAAACTGAATACTGGAATAGGTCTAATTGTTTACATTAGGCCAAATGAGTTTCTGAAGTCTTAACACTCTCAATTTTGCACATTTCCCTTGATCATTTCATTGTCAATTCAACTCAAAAAGCAATTAAGTTAACAGAAAAATGCTTTCAACTAAAAATATACATTTTGAGAGAGAATTCAAATTAAAATAATTAATGCATATAACAGCAGAATCTAGAAAGATGTATAAACCAATCGAAAGAGATGCTTTGAACTCAAAGAAGAATTCAACTCAAGAGAAATTCATTTAACTCACCCTGTTCCTCCATCACAAACATCCACTTCCATTGCCACATCAATGTCTTTCTTGGAAATCAGAATTCTTCTTGTCACCACTTCTTTAATAGCATCAGTTATCATAACTTTCTGATATATGGTCACTATCCCATCAAGGTAAATGAAGCTCTTTGCCCATTCTGAAATTAAATTACATGTAAGCTCCCATACTGAAGGTAAAATATGCATATTTTGATTTGCAAACGGTCTCCAAAACATATGTGTGCTATTATGCATCTTAGGTTTTTAGTCAGGATTCTCTTTCAATTAACACACAAATTAGATTTGCAACAATTTAAAAGATCATCTTTGAATTTACCTGTTCGGGATAGTTCTTGTTTTTTCTCACAGATGGGCCCACTGTATCCTGAAGGGCACTTGCATACAAAAGCGCCATCTTTCTCTGAACAACTTCCACCATTCTTGCAGGGTTCCGCATCACATGGTTGAATCTTATTCTCACATGTTACACCTGGAATTGAATGAACAAACTAGAATATCAACATACTGTACTTAATAGTAAGCAAATGTGCCATAATAGTATTTTGGCAGATTTGCTGTTTTGAACATTAAGAGGCTACTTAATTTGGCGGACTTGCAATACTACAATGCACTAATGGTACTAATTTACATGGTACTAAAATTGCCAGGAAATACTTAAGTTGGCGGACTTGAGCAATTTGGCAGATCCAGCAAATTAAAATGGCTGCCAAATTAAGTAGAAGTATAGTACATATATAATTATTGATACAAGCTACAAAAATATATTACAGGGTGACCAAAGATTTATTGAAAGACAAAGATTAATTCGCAAATCAAAAATATTTGAAAGCTGCTGTGATCTTATCAAAATGAATAAAAATCAATTCCTGAAATTAATGCATATATGAATTAAATTAAGCATGCATTTCATTCCGAATCCATCAAGCATACATCCTCTGCATACTGAACTTTAGTTTTTCTGGATGACTGCAAAGCCCTGTGTTCAGACTGAGGTTGGCAAGCATCATGCATACATACAATAGATCCATTCTTACAATGTGCATTCTACATAAAAACCCTACCTCGACTGATAAATTACCTGTATATCCATCTGTGCATGAACAGATGGATATACAGATGGATCCATTTTCTGGATGACTGCAAAGCCCTGTGTTCAGACTGAGGTTGGCAAGCATCATGCATACATACAACAGATCAATTCTTACGATGTACATTCTACATAAAAACCCTACCTCAACTGATAAATTACCTGTATATCCATCTGTGCATGAACAGATGGATATACAGATGGATCCATTTTCTGAATGACTGCAAAGCCCTGTGTTCAGACTGAGGTTGGCAACCATCATGCATACATACAATACATCCATTCTTACAATGTGCATTCTACATAAAAACCCTACCTCAACTGATAAATTACCTGTATATCCATCTGTGCATGAACAGAAATATTCACTTCCTTGTTCATGACATGCCCCATCAAAGAAACATGGCTGACTTTTACACGGTTCATGTTTAGTGTCACAGAGGGCGCCTGCATAGAAAACAACCACTATCAATATTTTTGCTAGTAAATCGAGTGAATGTTCAGTTAATTATTTCATCATTTTCAATACAAACAGTTAATGTGAAAAAGAAAGCATTTTGTGAGACTACATTTACTAGCAAGATTATGTTTGACAGTGGTTATTTTTCTAATTAGGCAAAGACTGACTGTGGGCTTTTTATCTACTTGAGAGCCCATAGACTGACTAACTAACTCTTCAATACAGTTATTAGATAAACATGTACACACATTTCCTAAGACAAAGATTCTATCAAGGATAAAGTATTTACATGGGATTTCAAGAGAAAGCCCATGATTTTAAAGGAACAAGTCATTAGCTACACTATGTGAGATATTATTAGATAGGCTATAACAAAAAATATTAATTCACTAAACAGAAAAGAAGAAATGAAATTGATACATACATGTATCAAAAACAATAATAAAAAATATGAACACTTTAAACTTAAAGCATTGACGACTCAACTTGATATATTAATTTAATCAAAATAATACATAAAAAAATATTTAACAATAAAAGTAAATACAATAAAAATTTAATAAACATACGATTCAGTATTCAATTATAAAATGAAAATCCATATCTGTGGCTAAATACCTGTGAATGCAGGGGGACAGGAACATGTGAAATAGCCCACATGGTCGTAACATGTGGCACCATTATTGCAAGGATTGCTAGCACATTCAGAAATGTCATGCTCACAATGGACTCCTGTAATTAACATAAAAACAGATTCTATTGCATCTATTAAATATATTTAGACTGGGTAATATCAAAGGTCTGCAATGATTAAAAATTTGGGCTGAAGATCATTATTATAAAATTGAAAACTATCTTAATTGCTAGGCAAAGGAAGAATATAATGAAGTATGAAACATGTGACATCATTTTTCACCTTACTTTATGTCCTGAATATGGATTCATGAAGAGTTTTGGTCAAATTGTGGTGCTCATTGGTTGAGTAGTCAAGCTGGTATTTTATTGGTTGAGTATGATTGTGTATGAATAGTTTTTCTCATTTAATGAAGGCAGAGGAGAATGATTTATCAGCGGATTTACTTGAAGCTTTCTGGCTTGCTTACTGTCTTCCAGTTCACAATATGATACATTATGTATGTTTGTTGAAGTAACAAATTGTATATTATAGGTTACACATCTTAGCACTACATCTGTATATTTAAAATCTGAAGAGTTTCAAGATTCCAGTCATACCTGCATATCCATCTTTACAGAGACATCTATAGGTGCCAATAAGATCCTGGCATTCACCATTCCTTCCACACGGCTCACCATTGCAGTCATCTATGTTCTCAGAACATTGCTTACCTAAATGTGCAACAATGTTACATCATGCTTCTAGCTTACATGCAAAGAAAAGCTAGCAACATGCCAAATCTTTCAATCATTTCTATCAATTTCTTATTCTAATTTTCGATATTGGTGTCACAAAAATGAATGCGAGTGATTGACTTTGGTTGATGGGAAAACATTCTTCATAATCAAAAATGAATCTCTACAATGCACTGCATTACAACCATGGTTTGTACTGGTGACAAAAAAGCAAAATGGTATGCATTACATAAATATATGGTTATGGTGTAGAGATATGGTCGTGCATATTGTGTGCATTATTTTACACACCATGCACTTATCATGGGTAATAAAGTGAAATTACAATTGAACATGCAAATTGTGTATTAGACATGGATAACCATGTACAAGATATGAACATAGATATCGGACCAACCTGTATATCCAGTGGCACAGGAACAATTGTAGTCTCCTATTAGATCAATACATTGGCCGTTTCTACAGGGTGAACTTATACACTCGTTCAACTCTTCCCCACAATGAACACCTATAATCAAGACAAGACATATATGCGATAACATATATAAATATTGTTATACATACTGTTGAAATCATGATGATAGATCTTTAAGTTATAAGGATGTTACTCTTCGGCAATGTCTTCCCAGAATTCAAATCATCTTTCCAATAAACATTTTGCTACACCAAGAAAGCGTGTTGTATATACTTGTATATTGGCCAGAGTCAAGAATTAATAACGGATCGAATGCAACAATGAGCCCTTTAAGAAAATGCTAGGTGTACCTGTAAACCCCTGACTGCATACACATTCATATCGTCCAATGAGATCATTGCAAGTTGCTCCATTCATGCATGGCTGGCTGCTACACTCATGAATGTCGTGCTCGCAGTGAATACCTAAAAATAACAGATATAAGTAGCTCAGAATACATTTATATTAATCCACATAATGCAGAAATATGAAGAACAAATATCAAAATGTATCTTTTATCTATTATACACTTTATGAATGATCTGCTCCCCGCCTGCTCCTCTCTATTGACCAATGACATCCCACGAATATGTATTGTTATTGAAACCTCGGTCATATAATGAATATTCTTCCATTAATCTTCTCTTAGTGCATGTACAGTGTATAGCGTAAGGTCACCCTTCAATGCAGGGCTACATACATCATTCACTATATTCTTCCAACAAGAAGCAAGTAAGAGAGTGGATGATTTCTGGGGCCCTGCATTTGGAGAATGGTGTAAAGTACATACCAGCATATCCAGTTGTACATGAGCATGTATAGCCATTCTCTCCATCTGTACAAGATGAGCCGTGTTGGCAGGGTCCACTAGCACACTCATCAACATCTGTCTCACAATTAACACCTGTAACATAACGAGAAACAGGTTACCCTAGAATGCACTGCCATCTATGTAATAATATTTACAATCAAAATGTAAAATTAAATTGGATCAAACTAGAATTAAATCAAATGCAAAACGATTTGAAATATTGAAAATATTGTACCACCAGTACCAAAATTTATTGAAGGAATAAAAGGAATAAAATTGCATTACTAAGTATTATCAAATTCTAAAATGTGAACTTCTATAAATGAATACATTAACATTATTGTTTGTTTATGTACTGACCTATAAACCCTGGCCTACAAGTACAGTTGTAGCTGTTAAAGTCATCATGACATGTAGAGCCATGTAGACAAGGGTCGCTTTGACATTCATCTGTCTCCAACTCACATTGTTTCCCTAGAAATGATACAATATCATTTATTTATTTTTAGGACAATAAATGTTTAGACTAATTAGTATACTTTTGATTTGATCAGTTGTTATTAATAGATGGTTAAATTTGATCTCAATAGAAACTTGTGTGTAAAGATTGCATAAAGCATGTTTAATAGATTCAAAGACTGCAAACTTGCATGAATGTACGCCAAAGTGTTACCTACCTGTGTAGCCAATTGAGCAATTGCAAGTGTACATTCCCACTTCATCATTACAGGTTCCTTGAACGCATGGCGTAGACAAACACTCATTTATATCTTCTTCACAATGGACACCTGTTTAAGAAATGAGCATATTCCAAGATAAGATAAGATATCTATGAAAAAAATAAATACTGTACTGGTTGCATAATTTAATGCACATAAGACTGAAAGAATCAAAATGATATATTTTGAAAACCCATTTCTTTCATACCTGTGAATCCTTGAGCACACTCGCAGTTGTATCCATTAATGACATCATGACAAGTAGCCTCATTTTGACATGGCGAACTGATGCATTCTTCCATCTCACTTTCACAATTTTTCCCTGAAAACAGGAAATAGTTTCAAATTATAAAGTATCGCATATGATGATGCGAGTTTTGAATCATATAGTCCCGAGTGTTGGATCGATTACTAATACATACAGTATATGTAAAACCTAGAACATGACTAGACCTGTGACTATGACAAATCAGTAGACCCTAGGATAAAGAACAAGGTCAGACCTGAAATCATTCCATACCTGTAAACCCTGGAGCACACCTACATTGGTAATCATCCAATCTATCCTGACATGTACCTCCATTCCTACAGGTCTGGCCTGCACAATCATCAATGTCCACCTCACAGTTCACCCCTGCAACATTTAAATGCGATGTTCAATGTGCAACATATAAAGTGTATCTTTGAATCCTATCCTTTAATCATTATCATTTAAAATGTGCGGACCACAGGTTCAAATCAATTCAGAGGGCTTCAGCCAACTCAAAGTCTTTCCACCAATGATATGCAAAATTGAAATTACGAAATGAGCCTATTTGATATTTTATGTATTTATTTTAAGTAAAAGGTTAAATCTCTAGCAATTATAATTATGAAAATGTATGTTTGAGAAAAAAGATTCCATGAGATTTTGTTTTTTATGTTTGATCTCATATAGCACAATCTCCTCCCTGCACATACATACACACCATACACCTCAAACATTATAAAGGGCTCGCCATTCAATCCTGAGGGGGTGCAAGCTTTAACCTTGGTACACATATCAAATTTTCGTTTTCTAAAACAATTCCCTTCTCTCCATGCCAAGAATAATGATCATCAATAATTCACAAAAATTCAATAATTCTGAATAGAACTGGACGAACAATCAAAAAAATTATGTTTTTATTAATCCTCTCAAATTTGTTTTGTCCTTATAGTCGATTGAAAAGGTTAAATCCCCTATGGTGTCATGGTTCACTCCTATCAATCATACACACACACAATACTTACATAAAGCCAAAACAAACATGAAGTTCTCAAAGATAAACAAAAAGAGAACAAGCAACCAAAAAATACAAAGCTTCCAATCAAAATGATGCGCAAACCCAAAAGACAGTTACACACACGGCATAGATAAGGCGTTGTGCTATAATAGTACACACCAGCATATGTAGCGAAAGCTAAGCTTGTCAATCTAATGAATTGCAAATATCAAACATTAGAAGATCAAATATTTTGAATTAATCCAATCTGCAACAGTAAAGCAGTAATAGTATGATAAATCTGACCTGACTTCAAAACATGTACACATAGTTGCAAAAGAAGAAAACACAGGTGAGATTATTTGGCATTTATGATCTGACATAAACAAGCATGAATAATGCAACAAAATAAAGATTTACATATCTTACAGTCAAAATGAGTTCAAAAAAATAAATAAATAAACAAGGTGCCAAAAATGTGTTTAATTTATCAATAAATTTTCAAATAAAATAAATATGATGACTGACCTTCATATCCACTGGAGCATTCACAGGAGTATGCCAGTATGCCATCTATACAGGTTCCTGAGTGAAAACAGGGGGCGCTAGAGCAGTCATCTATCCGAATCCCACAATTCACATCTGTAACGTTACCATGGAAATAATCAAACTGACTAAATTTTTCTTCTTGGGATTTTTCTCAATCCAATGTGGAGGTTGAAACACAGATAATAACAGGATGAAAGAATTAGGAAGGTTAACATAGAATACACAAGGTACTTCATTACCTGTATAATCTGGGGGGCAGTCGCAATAGTATCCATTCACTAGGTCCAAACAGGTTCCCCCTTGCATACATGGATTACTGTCACACTCCTTTATGTTCTGACTGCAGTCCACGCCATCATAACCTGGGGGACAGAGACACTGATAGCCACCAATTAGATCCTGACAGGTACCATGTACACATGGGTCACTGGTGCACTCCTGAATGTTTTCCTCACAATGGAGTCCTGTGTATCCCAGGGGGCAATTGCATGTGTATTGGTTGATTAGGTTGTTGCACGTGCCACCATGTTGACATGGTCTACTGAGACACTCATCAATTTCTGTTTCACAATTCAGACCAATGAATCCAGCATGGCAGGCACACTGGTAGTAATTCACATGATCAATGCATGTTCCATTGAGACACGGGTCGCTGGTGCATTCATCGACATCAATCTGACAGTTGACTCCAGAATATCCTGGTTGGCAGAGACATCTATATTTTCCAATCTCATCCTGGCATCGTCCTGCATTCAGACAAGGTTGACTATTGCACTCTGAGATGTCAATATTGCACGTCACACCAGAATATCCAAGTGGACAATCACAGGCAAACTCCCCAATAAGATCCCTACACTGACCTCTTGTACAGGGACTACTTTCACACTCATTAATCTCAGTTTCACATCTTTCACCTGTGTAACCATGGGAACAATCACACTGGTATCGACCAATCAGATCATTGCATGTGGCATTATTCTGACAAGGCTGACTGGAGCATTCATTTATGTCAGTTTCACATGTCTCTCCTGGAACAAAAGAAAGAAAAATAATTTATGCTGACTATGTACAGCATCAGACAGCATTTGACGTGTATATGGAGAATGACTGGCAAATCTTCTACATATACAGGGTGGTCAAATAAACGGCAGCCTTAGTAGCAAAATTTCTAAAAATGACAAAGATATGAGGAAGAATTAGGGTTGCCGTTTTTTTACCACCCTGTACTATACATTTGTACTGTACAGACCAGCTAGCTGTAAGGGAATAATAATGAATAGTAAGAGAAAGCAGTCAATATTCCCTAGAATTCCTCATACTTCTAATTTATGATTTGGGGGTGTGGTTTTTACCTGTATATCCAGTTTGACAGTGGCACTTGTAGGTGGATAACAGATCCTGACATGTCCCATAGATACATGGGGATGACTCACATTCATTGATTTCAACATCACACAGGTCACCTGAAATACAATATACACTAGTTTAACATGTAACCCAAAAGGAATTTAATTCTGAGTGCAGAGAGGCAAGTTGAAACTAGTTGAAGCTCTTTTTAAGAAAAATATTATTTAGATATCAGATTCATTATACAGGAAAAATACTTATAAATGTGATTAAGATCATTGATCTTTTTCCAATGTTTATTGTAACGTCCTAGGTAATATTATGGGTTTTGTAGATGTATTGGCTTAACTAATGGGTTAATCTACAGTTAAACCTGTGGAAACATGAACATCTCTCTATAATATCAAAGTACTGAAATGTTTTCAGTTTCATACGTAAATGCTTCTGAACTTGAACATCTTTAGGTGGTTCAAGAAGAATTTTATTTTGAACAGGTTTTACCGTATAAGTATTTATTAGCATTATGGGTGCATAAATACCATTTTGTGCAGTGTCATTTATTCATTGTATTTGTGAGGACTGATGACTATTATGTTGGAAGTCTTCGGTCATCTGTTGATGGCATTCGTTTGCAAGGTCCTGTGCTAATACAATCTAAAGTGTTAGTAAATCTAGTTATTATACATTCTAGAGTTAGCTATGAATGGTTAAAATAAAGGAGTTACTGGAGTGCAATCTAGCTTGGCAAGTCCTCACAAGAGGTGATATTTACCCATATATCCATTGTGACAATGACATCTATATGCAGCCACCTCCTCTATACAAGCACCATGCACGCATGGGCTGCTGGCACATTCTTCCGTCTCCTGCTCACAGTGAATACCTGAAGCCAGATAAAGTATAATTGTAAAACTATGAGACACCTGTGGCAAGAAAATGTAACGTCAAGCTCTAAATTATGGGTGATGCTGAGTTGATTTTGGATTTCTTCCAAATACATTTTAAGGAATATTATTGTTCCATGCCTAATTAAAATGCTCCAGTAAACTGTTTATATTGATATACACCAACCCCCCTCCCTTCCCCCCAGGCTGATCTCTATAGAATAGTAAGAATGATTTCAAGAAAATCTTCTCTGACACAACTGTATAAAACTGTTAGTGAACCAAGATGCTACTTTTAATCATGAAAAGTTATTTCACTTAGACATGTATTATAAACTGTACACCTACCAGTGAATCCAGGTGTGCAGTTACAGCTGAAACTATTGATGTCATCTACACATGTGGCAGAGTTGAGACAAGGATTACTTAGACACTCATCAATATTGACCTCACAGTTCAAACCTGAAGGAAAAGATGATGTTAAACAGTTGATACAATCCATGATATCAATCTAATTAAGGTTAAAACAGAGTATACAAATTGAAAAATGGTCGTAAATATTTTTAATTCTAAAATTTTGAAAAAGTTTTAGTTAGTTTTCTTGCTGGAGTACTCTCCAAGTACCTCAATATTCCTGTTATCCTCAGATCAAAGTTACCAAATGAAAAATGAAGCAACAACTTGGTGAATGTTATAAAAATACCTCAAGGGATGCATTTTCTTGAAAATAATACAACTTGAACAATTCAATTTGTTGCTTGGATACATTCTCTAAACAACACCATTGCTATGGTAACATTATACAATGCAATCGTAATTCTTGAACAGAAATCAAAAGTACATTATTTTTAGAAAAATGTAAACTTATTTTTGGTTACCTGTGAATCCTGAATGACAATTGCAGGTATAGGTGGCAACACTGTCTATACAATAGCCATATTGTCCACATGGTGAGCTGGCACAGTCATCAATATCTTCCTCACAATGTAATCCTACAAAATGAAACAGATGAATAGAGCTCAACATTTACAGATATTTAATAATGTAGAAGAATGAAATTATTTTGACATATTTTACAGCATAGCGATGGAATTTTCAGTCGCACACTTACGACCAAACATTTTATACTAATTGAGTATTAAACAGATTTAAAAAAAATTATTTTGCTAGTAATGTATAATAATAGCATTTTTCATTAATAAGGCTATATAAATAACCAAGGCAAATTAAAAGATGATATTATACTTTTATGGGACAAAACATCTACAGTTTTTGTCTAAAAAAGCAAATTATTGTACCTGTGTAACCCTGAGAACAGTTACATGTATATTGGTTGACCATGTCCTCACAGGTGGAATTATGTAAACATGGGTTGCTAGCACATTCATCTGTCTCCACCTCACAGTGGATACCTAAAGAGTACAATATATACACATAAATACACCATTGGAAAGCTGTTGATGCATGCAGTATAGAATAATACCATCCCAATTTCAAAAGTGGTAGTGTCACTATGGCAACAGCTTCAGAACTCTGCCAGTTAAAATATCTTTAAATCATTGCTAAATGTTATTTAACACTGGTATATAAGGTTATTTAACACTGGTATATAAGGTTATTTAACACTGGTATATAACAGAATATAACAACTGTTGAAAATAACTATCAAAACATTAGAAAAATTCCACTCAGAATATAGTACATCACAAGAAGTTTTGTTTGGAAAAAAAATTTGGAAACGTTTAAAAACAAATGTACCTGTGAAACCCTCCATGCAGTTGCAGTAAAAGCTTCCCTCTGTGTCATTGCATACTCCACCATTCTCACAGAGGTTGGTTGCATTAACAGTGCATTCATTTATATTTACATTACAAGTAACTCCTGAAAGTAGCTTACACATATACACTCACATGTCAAGTATATAGTGATACAAGTACAGGTACAGGGCAAGTCATGTGAACAGAGGCACTATATCAAACGAAAGCAATATCATAAAGTCAGGTGCGCAATTATCAAGTCAGTTGCACAACAATAGAGTCTTTGTATGAAAAATACCTCTAATCTCTCTTGAAAGCCCATGCTCATACTAACATACTATATGTGATCAATAGAATCTTTGCAGGGTCACATTTTAACATGTATATATGAGGTCAAGGTCATTATATCATTGACTGATGGAAAAGGGAGCTCTAAATAAGACAGAGATGTTCTGAATTAATTTAGAGTTAATCTTTTTCAGAATCTAAAGAATAGAGATAGCGCAGTAAATCCCAAGATGTTAACTTTGTAGAACAGAGTGCATAAAATTTGTGCCAAAAACCAACAAATAGAGCAATGGTGCAAGCAAACTTAAAACACACTTGATGGCAATAAAATAGTTCTAAGTAGTATAGTAGCATACAATCCTAATACAGTAGTTTTAGATTGCCAAGAAGAACTTAATTATAGCTTTACCTTTTTTTCTGCTGACAGTTGACCTCCTCTAAGGTGAACAATCTCATGAAATAGTTTTGCTACAATATCATACCTCCACACATCACAAACAGTCAGCACACATACACAGACATAAATATTTCACCCTACACATAATGACATGACACTCAAAAGGGACTGGTAGGGTATTGCAACCTTCTTTACTACACGATTTCTTTTCTTCATTATTAACATTCGCATATCAAAATTGGGTTGATACATCATTATATTTTAGGTGTAAATAGTTTGAATAGAAAAAATGTAATCCTGTAAAAGGAATGTTGCAATACTAACTCTTCATGCCCCTTTCCAACCTGTTCAAAAACTCAACTGAAAAATATACTCAGAGCATTCTCCCTTGTAGAGAAACAATAAAGCATAGCATTAAAATGTTACCTTCCCAACCATCAGCACATCTACAGTAGTACACTCCCTCAGAATGTGAGCAGGAAGCATTGTTCAAACATGGCTGACTCTCGCATACATCAATCACAGTCTGGCATAAAGGGCCTGTCACACCAGGGGAACATGAACATGTGAAATTGTTGAAGCCATCTGTACATTGACCCTGGAATGGCATGAATACAGTTAGAGGCCCTGTCACTCCAGGGGAACACAAATGTGTGAAATTGTTGAAGCCATCTGTACATTGACCCTACAATGGCATGAATACAATTAGAGGCCCTGTCACACTAGGGGAACACGAACATGAGAAATTGTTGAAGCCATCTGTACATTGACCCTACAATGGCATGAATACAATTAGAGGCCCTGTCACACCAGGGGAACACGAACATGTGAAATTGTTGAAGCCGTCTGTACACTGACCCTACAATGGCATGAATACAATTAGAGGCCCTGTCACACTAGGGGAACACGAACATGTGAAATTATTGAAGCCGTCTGTACACTGACCCTACAATGGCATGAATACAATTAGAGGCCCTGTCACACCAGGGGAATACGAACATGAGAAATTGTTGAAGCCATCTGTACATTGACCCTACAATGGCATGAATACAATTAGAGGCCCTGTCACACCAGGGGAACACGAACATGTGAAATTGTTGAAGCCGTCTGTACACTGACCCTACAATGGCATGAATACAATTAGAGGCCCTGTCACACTAGGGGAACACGAACATGTGAAATTATTGAAGCCGTCTGTACACTGACCCTACAATGGCATGAATACAATTAGAGGCCCTGTCACACCAGGGGAACACGAACATGAGAAATTGTTGAAGCCGTCTGTACACTGACCCTACAATGGCATGAATACAATTAGAGGCCCTGTCACACCAGGGGAACACGAACATGTGAAATTGTTGAAGCCGTCTGTACATTGACCCTGCAATGGCATGAATACAATTAGAGGCCCTGTCACACCAGGGGAACACGAACATGTGAAATTGTTGAAGCCGTCTGTACATTGACCCTGCAATGGCATGAATACAATTAGAGGCCCTGTCACACCAGGGGAACACGAACATGTGAAATTGTTGAAGCCGTCTGTACATTGACCCTGCAATGGCATGAATACAATTAGAGGCCCTGTCACACCAGGGGAACACGAACATGTGAAATTGTTGAAGCCGTCTGTACATTGACCCTGCAATGGCATGAATATGATTAGAGGCCCTGTCACACCAGGGTAACAGGAACATGTGAAATTGTTGAAGCCATCTATACATTACAATGGCATGAATACAATTAAACAAAAAGAAAAAGTAGTGGACCTGCATAATTTCTATACAATTAGACAAGAAGTTTTGAACCTGTATGATTTCAATAAAATCAGACAAGAACACTGCTACCCACCTAGTTACACCGACGTATCGTCAGTGTATCATGGTGGAACTACTTCCGGGACTAGGTTTCGGTAAGATTTTTTTATTTCCCGATTTACACCTACTTATAAGTCACATTGTGGATAATAATTTGGCTCGAAGTTAAGGAAGATAGTCTAGTTTGGAAATGTGTCGATGGTTTTAGGTTTTATATGTTAACGAAGACACAATTCACGTATTTAGTCCCTCGCTTTTGTTACACTGACGAACGACCAATATCAGTGTAATGGCAATATTAATGCCTATCGTCAGTGTAACAAAAGCGAGGGACTAAATATGTGAAATGCGTCTTCGTTAACATACCAAACCTAAAACCATCGACACATTCTCAAACTAGACTATCTCCCATAACTTCGAGCCAAATTATAATCCACATCGTGACTTATAAGTAGATGTAAATCGAGAAATAAAAATATCTTACCAAATTCAAATCCCGGAAGTAGTTGATACACTGACGATACGTCTGTGTAACTAGGTTGGTAGCAGTGAAGAAGACAAACACACAAATTTATGAATTCTTAGACACATGCAAGTGATAATAACAATGCAAGCTCTAAATAGAATTATTTATGTTTCACTGAACATTATTCTTAATAAAAAAGTCTGTAAACTGAATGAGTATAAGCCTTATAAGTAGATTTAAAAGCAATTACTCTTACATGGTGTCCACAAGGGTTTGAACTGCAATCATCTACATTCTCCTCACAACTGTCTCCAGTCCAGCCAGTGACGCATTCACATCTGTACCTGTTAAGCTCATCATTGCATGTCCCTCCATTCTGACATGGGTTACTCTCACACTCATTCTTATCTGTTTCACAGTGGAGTCCTACGTGGAGATACATACACATATAAACACAGAGTGAAACTTTTCTTAAAATAGTCAACCTCTCAATTACGTACTCCAAACAAAAAGAAGTCATAGCTTTAAGCATTATCAACAGACTGCAACAAAAATATTTTCTGTTAAAATTGAAGCTAGTCTAAGATATTTCAAGCTTTGAAACTTTCAGAAAAGGTTGGATTGAAGATTAATTGCTATGATTTATTTTAATATTGGGCAATGACACATCTTCACATGCTTGGTCTTCACTGTATTTTGTTTACAGGAGCCAATTGTTAACAAAGCTGCCTTTATAGAGAATTACAGTTTCAGCCCCTTTCACTTTCAATTCAAACAGATTTTTGTACATCATATTTGCAAGCTACTACAATTGGCTACATTGCATAAAGAAAACCAAGAGGAAACTTATAAAAAGAAGTTTCATTTTGAAAGTCATATGTGAATGATGGTCCATCATATGATACATTTCCTTAACGTGTTATCAATTATTTCAAAATTAACATTCAAATCTGACTTCCAAAATAAACCTCCTTTTAGTGGTTTAGTTATTGCATAGTGAGAGCAAATTACATGTACTGTAGTTGACCAGTTTTTCGAATTTTTGCGGGTTCTAGTATTTTACTAAAACATTGCTAATATTACTATGATAAACTATTTTGGCCCACCCTGTATATAAAGGTCGGCCAGAGAGACAAGTAGGTGATTCCATAGGCTCATGTAGTGTGCCAATGAGTAGGCACAACTACTTTAAACATTAAATCATCAGAAATGGGAGTGATTAGTACTATCTATTTACCTATATACCCAGGTACACAGCCACATGTATAATGTCCCTCCCGATCGTCACAGAGTCCTCCATTCAAACAGGGGTTGCTTTCACATTCATTAATAGGTAAACAATCTGGACCACCCCAACCTAAGACAAGAGGAAATATTTGTAATTTAATCAGTTGGAATCTAGAAATGGGTTTATTGTACCAGTAGTATTATTTTCTAATTTGATGCACCTTTTCAGTTTGCCACCTGATAAATTGATTTTAGTCATTCTGCTCATAATGAGGAAATTGGTCATGGTTGTTCATCATACTGAATAGAAAAATATGTAATGTTTTACTTGATTGACTCACTTTATATTTCAAACATGTTCTTTTCTTGTTTATTGGATGGGTGAAAAAAAAGTGTTTCATTAAGTTAAAGTAAAACATATAAAATGTTGTCTAACATTTTTTCTTAAAAAGTCACACATTCAAAAAGCCTGTTTTGTTAGCAAGAATGGACAGTTACGGTATGCAGGTAATGAATGAATGTACAGTTCTAAGACAATTCATTACCTGTATTGCAGATCTTTGCTCCTGTATTCTGGTGACATCTGTACCTATCACTAGGTCGACACTCTACCTCACATGTGGGCCCATAGTAATGTTGGTCACACTGCACTGACACATCAAGGTCAAGTCTGAATGGAAAATAAAAATAGCATATGTCTCACTATCAAAGGGTCGGGAGTTCAAATCCCACTAGGGAGATGAGACTTTTTCACTTGAACTTTTTGGGAAGGTTTAAATTTATCCATCTATTGAATTCAGTCTATATCTCAAAACAGTAAAATCTGTTTATATGTTAGGCCATTTTCATGAATCACCACAAAATGTATGTCATTTTCAGCCATATTTTTTCCCAAAACTCACCAGTTCCCATCAGAATATGAGAATATTTTAACAAAGTCACATGTACTAACTTTCTTTTACTCCCAGATGAAATACTGATTGATGAGATAACTGGGGACGCTGAGTAGGTGTGGGGTGTCTGGGAGTAATCCTGGGAGAATTTGACGATATGATCATGGTGGCCAGGAACGCCGTCATCATCATCTGTGACATCTACAACTATAGCAACTGTAGTCTGAAAACAACCAAGTAATATTTCACTTATTCAAAATATTAAAACATTACCCTTTGGAATTGTTTGACTTTGCTTCTAAAAAATGAGCTTCACCTTATAACATATGACAATATGACATGACAGGATGAGACTAAATTAGGACTGGACAGCAAATTCCATTTTGGTACATCCATGGGCTTTCAAGAGACTTGAGAACCCATGGTAACACATTTAGTATGGCCCATAACCATAACCCAATAATACTATACTTACTGGCCATTTTGCAAAAGTAAACTGAATGGGGTTGGTCTTGTCTACAACTTTGCTAGTGAAGGCAATAGTCTGCTGCATGTTATTGTAGGCCCCTGTTGTGATTGTGCCATGGGGACAAGAATTGGGGCTGCAAAACATTGAAATAATTTTTAAACACTAAACACACAAATGAAATGTTCAAAGTTCGAAATAAGGTGGTTGGTTATAACTTTTGTGTTCAGTGTTCAATAATTGTGTTTTGGTAGCACATAGATGTGTTTTTTGGACTATTAGTAAAATTCTATACAAAAACTCCACTTTAGGTATCATTTTAGTCATGGCAATTTCAATTTTATAATATAAAATAATCAGTTACTTTGTATTGCTTGCTGAGCCTATGCAGATTTTGAAATATGGGTCACAGCCTCCATATGGTTCACAGAAGATTGCTACCCCATCACAGCAGACACCGTCAGAATCTTTGCCATCATAGTTGTTAAATCGTTTAAATTTCACCTTTAAGGTAGCGCTGCTGTAGACATACTGCAAATAGATATTCATACAGATCAATTTCACTTACAGAAAATAAATCTAAATTAGGTCACATAATGACAGGGTATAGGGCAGAGAATAGAATATGACATATATCCATGTTTTATAACACATTCACAACTGTTTCCCCATAAGCACTATGTCATCAGAAAGATGGCGCTTACAGTCTATCTATTTATACAAAGAGAAGGCAGGTAGTGTAAGGAGACCACTATCATCTTTCTATGGACCAAATCCCTATGGTTTCCAAAAATCTCATCCATATTTTTAAAAACAACCTTTCTTCAAGTTGACTGGATTAATTTTCAATATTTGATTTTCTTTATCTATCCTGCTTTATTTACATGTATCCTACTCTTGGATTGGTTATAATATTCATTATGGAACTGCAGTGAATCCTTCCTATATTGAACACAATACAACTGGTTCTATCAATTCTAAATATATCCCCACTTAGTTTAAATTCATAAGAGATTTTGATGTAAAATATTCCAATATTCAGGAATTGTCTTATAGTATATTAAACTATGAGATGGAATATTCTTACATTATTTATTAACAATTAGCCTGAGGGTGAGGAACATGCATTTATTGGTCATAACAGAATTTTTAGGTGAAGAGTTAACAGACACAAGTTTTACTGTATCATAACAGAACATTCAAGAATTTTTATAACACATTGGATACTATGCTATACATATATATAAATACTATACATTCTACTTTAGTTTAAAAGACCAACATAATTTTATCCAACATATTTCTAACTTGAGTTTATTTTATAAGAATGTGATCAAACATATACAAAGTACAGACTGTTGAATACATAGAGATTTCTTTATAGGAGTATCATGAGAGAAAATGTTGTTTTCAAAAAGTGTTTTATTTTTATTGATCACACGTTTTTTGCATGAAAAAGTTGGCGACAAGCTTTTATTAGAATTCAGTACAATCAAATTAATGTTAAAGGTCATGAGAATGTGTAAAACTGGGGCATGCTATGACATACTTTTTTGATCATATAAAATAACTATGTCACAAAAAACGTTGGTAAACTTTTTGTACAAAATACTTTTTGTACAAAATACTTTCAGAAAATGTTAAAACAGTTGCAAGATGGTTGGTAACACATTATATATATTTTGATGGCTAACTCTTCTTATATAGATGATATCCATGATTTGATGCAACTTTTGTTTTTCTATGTTTTTGTTTTTGTTTAAAAGGTTGATGTTGTTTGTGGGTGTTTTCGAATTTTCAAGAGTTACCACTTTTACATAAAGTTGTCATCATTAATATGACCAAAAGCTACAAAAAACAGTGATATGTCCAGGATTTTTTCTCGGGTGGGTGCAGAATTGTCATTTTCACAATTCAGACCAAGATTAGTAAAAAAATGCCAATTTTTCATAATTTGTCTCATATTCAAGTGGGTACAAATGGATTCTCAGGTGGGTGTAAGCCTTTTTTCAAAATCCCAAGTGGGTGCTGCACCCACTTAAGCTTCAATGCTGGGGAGATCACTGTAAAGTGAACTGAAAATGTTTGTAACATTCCAAAGGGTATCAACCTAATGAATTGATACCAATAATTGGATTATACCTATTCGATCTATTTGCTATACAAATTATGGACATAACTTTGTGAAGAAACTAAGTGGAAATGTAGTATCAAAGATAAACAAAAGTACAAAATGACCTTCTAAAAACAACTGAAATGTGAGGTTGGTTAAATTTTACCCCTTAATTGACAAAAACATGTCATAGATTTAATTTGACACTTGTTTTGTCTTGAGATAATTTAGTACCTGTTTGACCTAGGAACCAGAGTATATTGTATGATAATTGTTCTTTAACTGTAGTATTGTAAAACATGTCTAATTTGTATTATGATATATTCCCTATATAACATGTTTATCAGAATTTCAACAAATGTTAATAATAATTGTTAATACAGTGTAATAATCATTAGCACTAATTTCAACATGTAAAAATCATGAATTCAACAATCAGAACAGTTTTGTAAATCTTACAATAAAACAAAACCATCATGTTTTACATTAGGTTACCTTAAATGTTTAAAATAGGTAAAGAACATGTAAGGACAGACAAAAATAATCAGCAGCATCATTTAAACAACTATTAAGTTTCAGCTAATAATATGAAGTCTGAATGATCTATGTATGCTAAATCAAGATTGGTAAACACAAGCGCATAAGGAAGAGAGAACGCTGAAAAGTAAATGCATAAAATGACCCGATAATAAGGACAAGGATAACATAAAAGATATGATCCACAATGAGGTCATGTTGACTTGAAAATACCAGAGGGTCATCATCTTGTACTCTATCCCCTCTGTTTGTTTATAAAATTCAAAGATTTTTAAAGAGTGAGGAATAGACCTGATCAGTTTTAAAAAGAGTATGTTTTATATACAATGAACCCTTCAATGAATCAATATTTTCTTTAACATTAAGCTTCCTGTTCCTTGAATTCAGTAAGGTTGTAATATAACCAACACTGATTATATTTTTCTTTTTCAACAAGTTAGTTATACACTATTAATACTCGTACTTATAGTACTTTACACAAATCCCTTTATATATGCCCTAGTATGTGTATGGGGCCATTCCTCACATCATGTAAACCCATGACATCATCAGTCATGAGATGACCCCATTAACAATGAAAACGAAACATAGGATACGTCTCAGAATGAAAAAATGTTTTTTAATCGAATCGAATCTTCACCATTTATATGGATTTTACTTTCTTGTTTTGTTTTTGAAATTAATTTTTTCATGGATCTACTGACACAAATTGATAAACAGATACATATGACTTGCTTTGTTTCTATGTTCTAAAGAATAATGTAGTGTAGTGTAGTGTAGTGTAGTGCAGCATTGTGTAGTAAAGTGTAGTTAAGTGTTAACTAGATTCATCATGAAGGTTCAGAATTTGTGCATTTCAAATTATCATCTTAAAATGTATCATGTGGATTACCAAATCAGGCGAGAAAAATACATCTCCTAATCACGACATAAAAGTTAACCAATGGATGCAAAATTGTATAAAATCAAAGATGAGTCATCAAAAATATACCTGTCACCGTTTATACTTATTATATCAGGTGAAAAAAAGATGAATATTCTCGTTTGATAATAAGGAGACATAGATTGGTTCAGTTCAAATACATTCAATGTCTAACTTACATTCATGGCATGTTCACTATAGGCCTCCCCAACAATTTAATTGCATGAGAAAATATCATAACAGTTTACAGCTTTTACATGTGAACTGGTATATCGTGATATCAGAAAAATCTGACATTTCAAGCAGCTATTTAACTCACTGCTGTTACCATGTGTTTTATATTCAATACTTTCAAATCAATAAAAAACATAAATATTGTATTGTCAGCTACTTGTGCTGTTTCAAGAGTATACTTTCGATATTGATTCAATTTGAAAATGCTTTTGTTTTAGGAAAAGCATCCATAGTGTAATAACTAAATCAAACATGAGACTATATAATGTAGATATAAGATTATAAAATAAAATTGATCAAAGGTGTTTATATATGTCAAGTGTTCATATTTCACAGGTCAACTGAATTCGGCCCAAAAGGGAATATTTTTTATATGTACATACTCATATGACTGTGAAACATTCTGATACCTATAGCGTTACTGTTTGGCCTGAAACAGGGCTGAGAAGAAATGAGATGTCATGGTTTATCATGATGGTGAATAAATACAATATCCCAATACTACATGATATGTGTACTATGTAAGGAGAAATGGGAGACTATGGGATGGCATTGATCTTGGAGGCTTCTCCTTAAGGAGACAATGGGATATAGTTGATGTGGCTGCTTAACCGTGGCATTAAACATGGTCTCAGCTAAAATGACTGGCATAGCAACCAAGGGGGTTAACAGTCTAAGATAAATAATCAACTATAACATTATATGAACAAATTCATCAAGTAAATCCAGAGATCTACACTAAACAAGCATCACTTCTAGAGTTATTTTGAGTGTTGTGCTAAAAATTGACTTTTATAAAATCATTTTACAAACAGCAGCCTTATGAGTGTCTGATCGGCATAACCAAATATGATCATAACCGGAACCTTTTCACAGAAAAATATAAGTATTACTGGTATATCTTTAAAAATATTTGTTAAACTTATACTTAGAATTATGACTTCAATTGGGTTATAAATGTAAGAATTAACCTTTTATGTGCATACAACATACAAGTTCTTTGTTATTGTTTTTGTGTAGGCTGGTACATGTAGGTACTACATACTGACATTTAAGGTAGCTCTTCAATCAATGTCAAATAAAAATAATCAAAAATATTTTGATTTTGAACTAGGTATTCTTCTATAAGGCGGAAGCGTGAAAATCATAATAATCACAGGTAATAACCATGATCATAAAAATTCTTATTTTTGATCTACCTTAAGACAGTATATAAACAGAAGCTGAATCTTAGTCATCAACATGATGTTTAAAAACCCATAAAACTTGAAAAATAGCCAAGGACAAAATACACAAAGCAGAATGAATAAAAGAATCCAGGTGAAAAGAACTCATGTCAAAATAAAAAGGTTCAATAAGAAACTTAAAAGACCCAGCTTCGCTCAAACATTTTGTTGAATAAACTCTTTTGATTTCATTCCCACACAGCAGCCTACACTGTATCAGGGCTGACTTATTATAAATGCTGCAGGTCATAGCATTTTTATCTCATTAGGTGTAGAACATTAAACTAATCAAGTAAAAATATATGTCCCATCATTATTATCATTTCAAGCATCATTCGTCCGAACACCCGGAACCCTCCCCCCCTGGCCAAAATTTCTTTCAAAATCATGCATTTTCCACCATTCTGACCATTTTTTATGTGATTTTTGGCCAAAGTGAGCCCCCCCCCTAGAATTTTTGGGAAAAGTGAACCCCCTTAGAAAATTCTGGCTTCAGGCCTGACATATATAATTACTTGATATTACGGCTAAAGTAACCTTTTAATTTCACAAGACTATTCGATCACCTGAGTTTGGTTTACTTAACACATGCGATGATAATTATACGTTTTACATTATCTTGTAAGAGTTCATGAATGTTAGCAGAGTAAAAGTTTACTTTGAAAACTTAAGAAGCATGTAAAATATAAGTACAGTAAAACGTATTTTCAAACTACAGCCCCCCCCCCTTCTGAGCCAATGCTTCTGTGTTGCACTTTTAAAGTTATACATCAGAATCTGATCTTTAAAACAAATAATTTCAAGATTCTTTAGGGGTAAACACTTAAATAAACAGTGGTTAATTTACATAAAGGATGTCAATAAAGTAAGCAGATTTACAAGGACTTTGGGTCCGGGACACTGGGTCAATATTAACATATTTGTCAGGTAAAATATAACGCAGAATATCTTAAAATAAGATCTTTAACAATCAAACACATAGCGATGTATACTTTACCTGGGATACTTTAATGGATCAAACTTGTGATGAAGAGATTATAAATGTATTTTGAAGTTAATTAGACTGCAAAGAAATTAAATTTGCTAATTATAGCACTGGCAGAAAGATATGACATGTACATGGGGAAATATCCTTATACTATCCATGGTCAAATAAACCATTTAAAAAATATTTCCCGGGATAATTTAACACCCGACTGTACAAAAACATGACATTCTGAACCTTGATTGCAATTAGTCTGATACTATTAGTGTTAACAACTACATCCCATTATACTATTTAACTCTAGATATGCATGTAGTCGAGGCATGTAAATTATTTAAACTTTTGCCAAAGGTAATATTTCCATTAACTCTTAATGTAAACTCATAGCTATAATGACACTATTTCCCTTATAGTAGGAATGTACACATTGTAAACGGACGGATACAAACGAATGTATCACTATTTGGTTATCATTTATCATTTTTCAAGTCTGCTAGTAATGGTGATAGCCTAGAATCTTTATCACATGAAGACCTCTTTTAATTAATGATATTATAAAAGTAATATCACATCAAATGAAGATCTCCTTTAACAATGATACATGAGTAATATCATATCTGAGACATTCTAATATCAGACCATCTTAGCTACATGCAGCAACTGCTCTACATTGAAAAAGTCAGAATGCAATTGTAGATATCATAATATATCTGAGATGATCAATACAAAGAAATTGTTCATATAAAAGTAATATTATATCTAAAACAATGTTGTTTTAACATTCCCCAGTTGAAATTTTGTAATATAAGTTATTTCCTTACCTGAATAACAGCTAATAATATCCATATTTTCATCCACATTTTGTCTTTATGTCAATGATAGACCACTTTAATATAACTGCGGTATATAAATGTCCAAGTTGATCTCTCTTCTAGCTGTTTGGTTCAGTCTTTCAGCTGTCAAACAATAATGTTAAACAACCACATGTGTTATTATGACCATAAATCAAACATCTCATTTATATGTAACACACATAAAAAACAATCCTGCCGCATGCCTTGAAACTTCAAGTTTGTAAAGAGTACTAAACGTGTTTGTTGTTTTCCTGAACAGTTTGAACGAGTCCTTATTTTTGTTTGTAGGCTTATTTGTTTGTGGTTTTATAGTGCTCGTCTTTGTTTTCACGTGTTTTGAACTGAGTTAAGAAGTTAATGCTTTCCTCTTAATTTCATTGGCTCATGAATATCTAGCCTTTCAAATCATCTGATTTGCTTTTGAAAGGTAAAAGAGAACTTCGACCACATCATCTAGTGTACTATATAGGCCCTGACACTCAGACTAATGAATATCCTGCTTTGCCTGTAATGTAAATGCATTGAATGACTGACCATTCCACTTTATTTACTCTTATTACATGCAATACGGCCCTTTGCCAAAAGTTACAAAACAGACCATCATGCCATGAGCTAGGCCATATATGTATATATAATATAAAAATTAATCCTAAATCGTGCCTATTCATATGTAAGTTAGCTCTGAATCATAAAATCCCAAGTAAAGGCTTTTAGTTCAGTACTGCAACTTTATTGAACTAAACATTTCAATGCACGGCTGAGCTCATATAAAGACCTATAAATGCTCAACAGGTCTGGCCTACTAATAAATTAATAATAATTTCCCAGGAAAATACTTATATTTGATTAAGGATTTTGTTAATATTTTTATTTACTTATCAAAATTATTTGACTTTATAGGATTATGACACATTAATGGATTTAGCTAAGAACTGAATGAGTTGTACGAAGACAATTTTAACTGTAAGGGTCTTGTATGGGACTTCAAATGTGTGCATTAATTTCTTAAGAAAATGGGCTCAAGATTTCAAAATTTGGGCCCAAAGGTTTTTCAAGTTAACTTGAATTTTTTATGAAATTATACAACAAATTAGACTCAAATGCAATGAACTTTTTAAAACAACTTTGATGGTTTCGAACTGCTACAAAGTAACTTGTCATTGTTATTGTTCAATAAAGAAAACAATAGCACAACAACTGACAAAAACAAATTAAATCTTAATCATAAACCAAGGAGGATTGGAAGCCAGGGTTCCAACTCGATATTCTTTAATCTCCACGCATGCGTCATTTGCTATTCGTGTCTGTATAATTTGTACGACTGCATGGAGAATGACCCGATACTCTCCAACAAAGCTATCGCTAGGTGATTGTTTTGCAGAATATCGGTGTTGCATTCTTGGAGCCAATCCTCCTTGATCATAAACTGAGGGACAAGGTCAATGTTTCAAAGCATCCCCACGAAGTACATTATCAATAATTGCGTCTGGGGAGTGTGTTTTGCAATTAATTATGTCAAGCAACATTTTTAGTCTCGCTTCATGAGTATCATAAGAAGCAACATCTTTTGTTTACTCAAGATGATAAAAAGATGAGATTACCCATAGTTCAAAAGTTTACCTTATCTCTTCTAATTTTGCATACCACAGTTTTCCTCCATCTACAATCTAAATATAAATGTTCAGTCAATGTTGATAATTTAATTAATGACAAAATATATTTCCACTACTTGAAGATGGAATTGCTACAGATATAAAGGCATTCTCCCAGAGCAGGGCTGAAGACATCGTGTTGCACATGAAATCCGGGGGGGGGGGTTCACTGTATATAAAACTCGACGGGGGTCCTAGGCTGAAGCCTCAAATATCAATATGTTCCCATACCAATCTGTCAAATTTCAATATGTTCCCATACCAACCAAAATAATGCCCAAAGGCCATACCAAATGTCCAAATATAGGACCAATGCCATACCAAATGCCCAATTATGGGACCAATGCCATACCAAATGTCAAAATGTAGGACCAATGCCATACCAAATGTCCAAATATGGGACCAATGCCATACCTTAATTCAAAGTAAATGAAATATAGGATCAATGTCATACAAATTTGGAACTACTGGACCAATGCCATACTACGAATGTTAGGTAACGTATCTACAACGACCATTCTCATACCAGAAGAGCAAAAGTCCGACCATTGCCATACCTCAGAAGTCAGAAATTTCCGGGCATTCCCATACCAAATCCTAAAATATGGGTCCATTGCCATACCAAACGTTAAAAAAGGTACCCCACATGAGCCGAGGATCCCCGTCAAGGTTTATATACCGGGCATGAAATACTGACCTGATCCCTGTTGGTAGAATCTTGTGCAGTGCATTCAAACTGAACACAATGGTAACATTGACATTGATTTAATCTTACACCAAGCCTGCCTAGTAAACAGTGAGAGGATTGGATTCAATTACTCTTGCTTTAAGCTCATGTGACCTATTAACAGACAAACACACCTAACATCCAAATGAAGTAGATATGGGAGAGGAAGAGAGATCCAGAGAGTTGATGAAAGACTATACCATTCACACTGGTGGATCTGGGGGGGGGGAGCTGGGGGCCCAGCCTTATTTTTAATTTCAGGCCAAATTTTGAAGAAAATGGGCCTCAAAATTTGGGCCAACTTTTGGGTTTTAGGGGCCCACAATTTTTTCCATGCAAGCGCAGAAGTTTTTTCTCTGACCTGAAATTTGGGCCCCCCCCTTGTTGGTTCCCAGATCCGCCCCTGATTCAGTCCACAATTAATTAAACTTTGAAACAGTACCTTGATATACCTTGAAACAGTAAAACCTGTTTATCTAAATATATCTGAACACTTCTCAATGTAAAACACTTTTCCATAAACTGGAAATGTGAACACTTTGAGCCAGTCATACTGGCATTTGGATATATAAGTTTATACTCTTGTTCGATAAAATATAGAATAAAATGAAACAAGTTTGTTATAGATCACACTGGTGCCTTCTCCTATTGCATGTCACATTAGTCTGACACATAGTTCCAAGAAACGCATGTAAGTGATATCACATACAGTTGGCAACATGGCTTCAAAGAATTCTACTTTCAAAATTAATATTTTAAGAAATTTCATTGCATCTACGTAACTATCAATATATGGAAATCTATGGCAGATTAGAAAATGGGCACTGTTCATAATGAGAGGTGTTCAGATTGGAGAGGTGTTCAGATGTAGATGTTTTACTGCACTGGTGTATCTAGAACCTAACAAGGGGGGCCCAAATTTAAATACCGAAAAACGCGTCAAAAACTTTTGGGCCCCTAAATCCCAAAATTGTGCCAACATTTTGAAAATTTAAGGCCAAGTAATGTGTAGAAGCCCCATGGTCATAGATGACTAAAGCAATGGACCAATCATTCTTCATTCAGCAATGCATAATCAAATTAGGCATTTAATTTTATGGCCGTGTCATACAATGAATATACATGTACAGTACAGTTATACAAAATTGTTGATTGATATCTCAAATATAGAAACAGCCTCAATGTTGCTTACAGTTTGACATTAATCATGAGACTCCATGAATATTCCAAGAATACAAGGTCTCAAATAACATATCGAATGATCAACATTTTGACCGAGTACCCTTCATAATTACATCATTGGCTTGTCTCGGGTTACAATGGTTTGTTAACCTTGGGAAATAATCTACAGGAAACAGACCTCTATTGCTGGTGTAAAGGGTGACCCAAAAATGTGGGCCCTGAAACTTAAAAACTATAAATTAGTAAAGTTAAGAATGTTTTTGGTCACACTCAGATTGGAGATGAAATAAGTGAGATATCAAATTGATACAATGTAGCTTAGAATATCATTGAGATAACTCTAGGTTGGGCCCCCTGTATGGTGGAAAAATGAAGCTACTCTTTGTGTCAGAGGCAAAACTGAAAACGAAACAATGAAAATGCTCACAAATTATGACTCAAAATATCCAGTTTTTATAAAACTGGGGTACAATAGAAATCTTATGTCAACTTTTCAAAATTATTTCAAATAAATGTGCAATGTATAACATTCATAGTTAAATTACTTAACAGAAGTAATTGGACAAAGATGAATGCAATTTATAAGAGAACGAGTCTTGCTTAATGTATGTTAAAATTGTGGCTTACAAAAATTTTGGTTCAGATCCTTGTTGGTACCACAAGCAAATCATTTTTTATGATCATCTCATTGAAACAAAAACAGAGAATCTTCACTTGATATTTCACTTGATTTTGTCATAAATATTTAATAATAAAGTGAATCTATCTCACTTTTCACCAGAAAATGTCCTTTTATCTAAGTGAGGTTTATATTCCAAGGCAAAATCAGGCCCGTAAGACACTTTTTTCGAAGGGGGGTGCGGTTTTTAGCTTACTAAAGAGGATATAAAATTGTCAATTTTTTTGCCGCGCAAATCATATCGCGTAAGACAAGGGGGGGGGGGGGTGGTCAGTTACTCCCTATATTGGTTTGGAATTAACAAGTGCAACTTCCAAACGTTCCAATTGTTTTGTGGGGGGTGTGAGGAGTGGTCCGATCCCCCAGAAAATTTTACAGTTTTGAGATGCTATTTGGTGCTTTCTGGGCACTTTCAAAGTGAAAGTTTCTAAGTAGTACGCCACCACCACAAGAATAAGAGTTGAGTGAATAAAAAACCAAGCATTCAGGGGGGTCTGGGGTTTCTCCCCCAGGAAAATTTTGAAATTTGCTTGTATTTGGAGCGAATTTGCAACCATCTGGTACGCCTGTGCGTTATGAGTCAATAAGAAAAATGTGAATTTTTTTTCAAATTATTTTGGGGGTGTCAAAGAGGATGAGAGGGTTAAGTGGGGTGGGGTGCCATTAGGGGAGCAAGGGGTTGTCCCCCAGAAACATTGACCATATCAAGGTGCTATTTGATGATGTCTGAGACAATACATGAAATTCAGAATATTTATTTTGTTTTGTGGGGGATGTGAGGGGTGGCTTACTCTTCTAGAAAATTTTACAATTTAAAGATGATATTTGGTGCTTCTGGGCACTTTTAAAGGTATTAGTCAATAAAAACATTGAAAAACAATCACAATTTTTTTTTCAAATTTTGGGGTTGTCAAAGGGGGGGGGGGTGCCAGAGGGGGAGGTGGGGTTGGGGTGCCAGAGGGGGAACAAGTGTTTGTTCACCATATCAAAATTTACAATATCAAGGTGCTATTCGATGAAGTTTGGGCACTTTAAAAGTGTTTTTTCCCAAGAAAATTTTACAATTTTAAGATGCTATTTGGTGCTTTCTGGCACTTTCAAAATGTATGAGTCAATAAAAAAATTTGAAAAGTCTCAATTTTTTTTTGAGGGGGGGGGGGGGGGTGTTAAGGGGGGGGGGGGTGCCAGAGGGGGAGGGGGAGTGGGGATGCCAGAGGGTGAGTAAGTGTTAGTCTTCCAGAATCATTAACTTTATCAAGAAGCTATTTGATGATGTCTGGGCAATTTAAAAGTGTCTGAGACAATACATAAAACAAATTCAGAACTTTTCCATTGTTTTGTTTGGGGTGTGAGGGGTGGCCCACTCCCCCTAGAAAATTTTACAATTTGACGACGCTATTTTGTGCTTTCTGGGCATTTTCAAATTGTATGAGTCAATTAAAGAATTTGAGAAAATCACAATTTTTTTTTGGGGGGGGGGGGTCAAGGGTGGGGGGGGCGCCAGAGAGAGGGGGGTATGCAAGTGCAAGATGCAAGAGGGGGAGCAAGTCCCCCAGAAACACTAACTATATCAAGGAGCTATTTGATGATGTCTGGGCAATTTAAAAGTGTCTGAGACAATACATAAAACAAATTCAGAACTTTACCATTGTTTTGTTTGGGGTGTGAGGGGTGGCCCACTCCCCCTAGAAAATTTTACAATTTTACGACGCTATTTGGTGCTTTCTGGGCATTTTCAAATTGTATGAGTCAATTAAAGAATTTGAGAAAATCAAGATTTTTTTTTGGGGGGGGGTCAAGGGGGGGGGGGGGGGCGCCAGAGGGGGGGGGGGGGGTTATTTAAGTGCAAGATGCAAGAGGGGGAGCAAGTCCCCCAGAAACACTAACTATATCAAGGAGCTATTTGATGATGTCTGGGCACTTTAAAAGTGTCTGAGACAAAACACTAAAATAAATTTAAAACTTTTCCATTGTTTTGTGGGGGGTGTGAGGGGTGGCCAATACCCCTAGAAAATTTTACAATTTTAAGATGCTATTTGGTGCTTTCTGGGTACTTTCAAAGTGTATGAGTCAATGAAAAAAATTATAAAAAATTTTCAAATTTTTTTTCAAATTTATTTTGGGGGGTAACAAAGGGGGGTGCGGTCGCACCCATCGCACCCCCCCATCTGACGGCCCTGAAAATGGACTTGCAAATTCTTTCAAAAATTTTGGAGATGTCATGATAACACATCAACTGACATTGTGGTTTTAAAACACATTCCCATAATGTCTCCTTTATACATGTGCTGGAGCAAAAAATCAAATGTAACATGTCTTCAATGAATCTATCTCACTTTTCACCAGAAAATGTCCTTTTATCTAAGTGAGGTTTATATTCCAAGGCTAAATGGACTAGCAAATTCTTTCAAAAATTTTGGAGATGTCATGATAACTCATCAACTGACATTGTGGTTTTAAAACACATTCCCATAATGTCTCCTTTATACATGTGCTGGAGCAAAAAATCAGATGTATCATGTCTTCAATGAATCATAAGATATAGGCTGATCTATGCTGATCTTATGCTTGTAACAGGTCATACAGTAAAACTTGTGAGTAAAACCTGTGCATATTGAACATTTTTTTGCTAAGAAAAGATGCTCAGTGGAGTTTGTGTGGAGGATGAGTTTCCACTAGAGACAGGTGTTCAATGGAGAAGTGTTTACTAAGACCGGTTTTACTGTAATACAAAAGTAAAACTAAAACCAGATGAATTAGGAATGGTGTCCAATTATCAACAGTCTCAAAAAACAAAGTTAATTCCATTATAGTTTGACCCCCCTCCCCTCATCTAAAAAAATTTAAAATGTTGATTTGTCTTTCACTTGAATATTAAAAAATCAATACTATTCCCTAATGAAACCATCACTTACCCCCTCCCTCTAACAAAACTAACTTTGTTATTCTAAAACTGGTGATAATTGGACATCATCCCTGAGATGGTGAAATTACACTTCGAGGTTTTAGTAACTTGCATAGAATGAAGATTTTGAAGAAATGGTAGCACATTCTGCTTAGATGTTAATCGATCCATTGACCACAATGTGTAATATAATACAAAATATAACATGATTATTGCAGAGTAATTGAACTCAAAATGAGTTCACTAGTCAAATTAGAAAAGCGTTATCCAGGAATTTCTTTTGAATTTCATATAAACAGTTGATCTGATATCAGAATCAATTGAATCTGCAAATCTGGAAGTAAAAATGAATAAGACAACACAGAGAATGTAAATTGCATGCGGAAAGCAATATTTTCAAGAACCATGCATCCTAAAGTTTCTAAAATTCCCTTACAATCTCTATTTTCTGAATAAAAAAAGAACAGAGATGTCTGATCAAATATTGAATTTTATGAACTGCAGACTTTTTGGATGTATTGAGCATAGAGTGATTTCACTGTAGGGTATATACAATACGGTGTAATTGAGAAGTTATTGTATTATTTTGTACAACACAGTACTGGCTAATATATCTAATAGATCAGTTTCAAGTTGTTTATTCTCAAGGCACGCTCTACTCATGCCGTTTGACAAATCTAACACCAAGATCTGCCAAGGCCATAAGAAGTTAATTCAATGTTTTGCTAAATGTAAAAATATGTGAAAGCGCATGAAGATGACCAATGCAAGTCAGCAATACATGTGATTCTGATCCTAAATAATATTGGGTGCAAAACTTATATTCAGAAAATATGAAAGTTTGAAAACCTCGTAAGCAGGACTGTCAAATTGTATTTTACTACTTGCACCATTTTTCCAGTCTACGATAAAATTAACTCACATTCTACACAAGCAAAATGGCTCTTTCAATGTAACAATTGATTTTATACTTCAAAAATTGACATTTGGCATGTCATGTTTTTTGGTAGAAATTTCAAAATGATAGGTGAAAAACATTAAGTGAACTTTCTATGGTTTCTTACGCAGCTTAAGTCAGAACATCTTTGAATCATGATATAGATATAAGAACTTCTGGATGTCTAATAAATAAGCCATTGTATTAAGTTGTTTGTTTTTGAGAATGAGATGTTGTTTACTACTCTTTGGAGTCTAAGGTCGGGTTGGTAAAAGACAAGATTACCATAAAATGTGATGGGGTGAGACCTACCTTTTGCATTCATTCTAATTCACTTCTTAAAAGAGAGCTTCATCTTCACTTTTTCAATTTACAATAAATATCTGATCTCACCAAGCCAATCAAAGTTTGTCGTCAAAATACGGATGACTTTCTCTACATTGTCATTTCCTCGGACATCATCACATAATTAAAGAGCACGTATTTAGCACATGTTCCTTCCACTTCATTGATTGGTTCAGAAAGGGCCAGCGTGGTAGATTTGTAATGATTTATTACCAGGGCTGACATAGGCACCAAACTTTGGGGGTGGGGCTGCTTAGCTGTAATATAGTCTATACTAGCCAGATGGTAGAACTAGACTCTGCACGCAAGGTAGGCGAGACCCCCTTCCTAAATTGACTGCTCTCAAAGATGGGCAAACTTTCCACCCATCTCCAAATTGAGGGAATATAATTTGAATCCAGTCTACTTTTGAGAATATTTGCAGCATTAACCTGTATTGTCTAAACATGCATATCACAATCTACCTGATGCTTAACAATGGCCAAACTATGTTAAGCAAGACTGGGTGATTAATCACACTTAACAATCATATGGCTAAGATGGAATAAGCCAAAAATCTTAGAATGAAGGGAGTTTAGACTTCATAGAATATAATATGTTTAAGATCGACATTTACAAGATTTTCATGTATTGTTAAAATGAAATAAAAATGTCAACCATTCTTTCAAATATTCTAAATATGACAGCTATTGACCCTGTTGCATACAGAACCCTAGTACGTCACAAGTTTAAGATACCAAAACATACACTTAAATTATTAGTAAAATCAATTAGTTTATTTACAATTCAGGTATAAATAATATATCTACATTTTTTATGATACGACACATGTCAAACTCATTTTTTAAGTTTGTACAAGGTACAGTGAAACTAGTAATTTGACACAGTAACAAGTAATGAAAAACTTTTTCTAGAAGTATCATAATGTCTTATAAAGCCTTTTCATACATAGGAGGTTATTATACCTATGTCACGTACAGAATTCAAGTGAAGATAAGTAGACATTAAACAATTTTCTAAAAGCAATAATAAATACTGGTCTCATAAAGTTTAACATTTAGCCTCTGAGGCCCTGGCAATTAGGGCATTACCTCAGATAAAATCATATTTTAATTTTATATACAGTTGAACAATCCCTGATATGTGTTCTTTATTGTGAATATGAGTGGATGGATATTACAGTGTGATCTTCCCAGGATTTTTCCAAACAATATGCAAAATTCTAATGTTACCTATTTTGGTCAACCATCTCAGTACATGTATTTCATTTTGATAGGCTGGTTAAGATTTTCAAAAGGTTGGTTTCTAAATTTCGAAAATAACAACAAAATGCTTCACCAACAAATGCTTCATTGAGTTGCTTAAAATGCTAGGGAGATCACTAATATTTTATGTATTGCACAAGTCTAACTATGTACTGATATTCCACATAATAGAGATAGATATTCCACTGAATATGGACTGATATTCCACACAATATACTGTATCCAACATACTGAGTGCATCAAGGATATTCTCTATTGTAAATCACAGTTGTCACTAATTGCATTATTTTGTCTTGTTTTGTTTATCATTTAAATCATTTGGTTGTGGACTTTACCCAGGTTTGACAACTAAATGTACTAAAATACTGGTTTGGATATAAATTAATGTCCATAAACACACTTGTAATCTGTGCGCATTTGATGTGTGATTGATGTAGCAAATGATGTATGTGTGAGCAGTTTGAAAGAATGGAATTCTCTCACCCCCATCAGCAGATTTTAACTTCCTTGTATGGTAGACTGGAATGTTTCATCCTCCGATGTGAGGGGTGTAAGCTTCAGGTAGACACTAGCGCTCTCTATAGATTGGGAGCGAGTTTATTAAGCGCTTTCATTGCAAGTTCGTAACCCAAGAAACATGCCTAAAATAAAATAAAATGACTTAGCATTACACATAAATTAGTATTAGTAACAATTTTAAGGCATGACACATGGTACTGAATAATGCAAACAAACAGGGAAATACACAGTATTCCCAAAAAAAGATTTTAATATTCAGCAAATCCTATGTCTGGCTAACATATTCAAAATGACTTGTAAAAGTAATTTAAACAGCGTGTCCAAATATCTAGATCATGATACAACAAACAATATCACAAAATATAATTGAAAACAGTTCGACTGGTAACAAAGTTGCAAGACTTCTGCAACATATAAATATTTTCTTGTCTTGCAGAATATAAATAAACAATTGTAGCACAAAAGGCACTTACAGCATTTGCAGGGAATGCCCTTAACATGACAGCAGTGAACCCTTTGTACATGCCAGATATTCCTTCAGTTTTCATTGTTTGTTTGAATACATCTCTGATGCCATTTGGGTAGGTTCCTTCGGGGGCTATAATATGAAAAAACATTGCAATGATTAGACAAGAGAAACACAAATCCTATACAATGCAAAATATATACCAATTTAAATGTACATGTAGTTTGATAGTAGAAACACATTAGTGAGACTATCAAACAATCAGTCACATTATATAACAGGCCCATAGTCGGCCATTTGGGTAGGTTCTTCAGGAATATGAAAATATTGCGTGATCGAACAAGAGAAACACAAAACCTTGAAGGTAAAAGTCATAATTCATGGGGTTTAAAATATTCAATGTATGTGGTGGAAAATATATACCAATTTACATGTAGTTTGATAGAAACACACTGGTGAGACTATCAATCAGTCACATAATATACCAGGCCTGTAGTCAGCTTTTGTCAAGGGGTGTTCACTTGTAACAAAATTCCAGGGGTGCTAACATTTGACAACTTTGGCCAAAATCACTGGAAAAGTGCTCAGAGTGGTGGAAAATTGCTTTATTTTGAAGAATTTTTGGCCAAGAACCCCCCCTGCCTACGGGCCTGTACACGGAGGCTAGGCTGTCCCGCTGAGTGCTATATTTCACAAACCTGTTTGTAATCTTGACTTGAGTACATCAGGAGGGATTGCCACAGCCCAGTTGAATATTCCTGCCATGCCTCCAGCAAACAGGATACGAGCTACACTCAGGTCAGTTCGACTGGAAAACAGTGACATCTTTTATTAAGACAAAAGCTGATGATACATACTGCATGATATATATCAGAAATGAATTTTAGGATGAAAATGACATCTATACTAGCTTTATTTATACAATGGGACATATAATCAATTGAAAGTTTGATACAAAGATGGAAAAACAGACGGCAGTATTGGCATTGGCCCAGCTCGAACAAACTTTTTTGTGTCAGCCTGTAGATGATCTTATTGACATGTGAATTATAATCTTATCTTAATAATCATCTCAGTTCATATAAACTCCAGAATTTACAAGACAGATGACAATACAGATGTGCTTATGTGAGGAATTCACAATTTAATACATAGGGTACATCTCAACACATAGCCTGCATTTTACATTTTGAACTTCTTTAATAATGGGATTCTGGGACAAGCTTACCTCTTTCCTTCAGGTGTTAGAATATTTTGTAGCCACTCGTATGTCATGAAGTACATTCCACTAGCAGGTACATCTAGGGGACAATGAAACTAGGTATAAGTACTGGTATTTTTCACAAGAGCTCTACGCCATCTATAGTCATTCAATTGAGAAAATTATTTGATCGAAAGTCTTTATCAAATCAGAAAATTCTAACACTACATTTTCTGTAAGGAAGGGATTTAGGGTATAAACCAGGTAGTCTTCGGACATTTATTGAAAAATTATTGCTAAACACGATCTAGTTTTTGTTAATTCCTATCGTAATTTGCGGCTTTTAACAACTATTGATAGAATAGAATCAATTGGAATGATCCTGACGAAGAAAGCATCAGGTAAAATCTTTATTTTTAAACCATACAAAGGCATTCTCAGTCGAAATTGCGAAAAATTTGAAATGTTGAAATTTGTCGGATAGCAAACTGAAATGGGTTTGAACCCCTTCCCCCCTAACTAGATTTATTTAGTTTTCTATCCGACATCGAACTTTTGATGCCTCCCCTTAGAAGAGGGGTCTTTAACAATGTGGTTTAAGAGATTCAGCAACTTGGAACTTGAATAGTGTTCATGAATGTCCATCTACCTAAGTTAAAATGAAGTAGATTTTGATTTACATGAAGATTATAATGTCAGTGAACAGTTTGATATGTTAAATGTCCAAATCAATCAAATAATAGACGTTTCCGATAAGTTGTGCCCTCTTTTGATCCATCAGGGAAACTATAACTTATTGACTAGATTGATGATGTCAGTGGTTGTAGGTAGCAAACTGCCCATTCAAAAGTTGTATTAACTTTTTGCTAATTTTATAAAGTACAACCTATGACATCAAAAATCTAGCCAATATATTGTGGTTTCTCTGATGGATCAAAAGATGGCACGATTTATCGGAAACGTTTATTGAAAAATAACTTAATAAGTCTGAAATCTGAAATACCTCTTAATAATGTAGCCATGGTGCCTTTGTATATGCTTCTAATACCACCCTGTTTATAAAGTTGCTTTATTACATCCACTGGACCTGCATACTTCGGCGGACCAGTCCCTGCAGCCTGAACCTGCAATCAAATATATGAACTGCAATCTCAAGTAAGGCATGTTAAAGTGAAAGACCTGTTTTGACTAGCAGTCTATTGAAACCATATACTGTAAATTGCTTTAATTTGCTTCTATTTAATATGGCGGATTGGGCAAATTTTGAAATTTTAACATTATTTGATACTCTTCCTTATCTATCAAATTCCCAATATTATCAAAAATTTTAACTAATGAAATTTTAACATTTAATTTGGCCGATCATTAAAATGCGAATATTGGAGGGTTAACTATAGTACGAGTACATCTTCGAAAATAGTTTAATTTTATTTGTGTCATTTCATCTGTGATTTTCAGATTTTCAGTATACATGCAAGGTAACATATGGAAAAGTCACTGGACAAAAATCAAATTCCTGGAGATTTTCTAAAAAAAATTGGCAGAGACTTAACTTTTGCCGCTTTTATCAACCTGCAAAATTAAAACAGCCATCAAATGAAAGCAATTTCCATTATCTATTCTTGTCTATTCTTGATATTGTACCTGAAGTAAACACTTGATCCTCTCTCCTGGGGCCATTATGCCTGTAGTAAACACACCAGCCATCATCCCTCCCTTGAACAGTTCAGGGTACCTAGAAGCACAGTATGTCATTTTATCAGAAGAAACACTAATATGCCATTATATTACATTCAGAGGGAGAGTGGGAGGGGTTAAAATGTCTCAGAAGCCTAGTTCTCAACATTTGAAACTCGTCCATATCTATAAACTCCCAATATTCTTCTCGAGGAGAACTAACAGAAAGTTGTGATCTCATAAGTAAGCACTCTGCAACTTTTCTCATAGTATTCATTAAAATCATTTTAAAAAATGAGATCATGAGCCTTTTATAGCAGAAAAATATTACTCAACATTTTCCTCTATTATTTTTTCACTACTTAAATCAGAATTCTTCAAACTTCATAGCCAATACTGTATATTTAATGTGATTATTACTATAGAGAACTTACGTAAATTTGTGATCTGGAGTTTTTTGTTGTAGCTTTTTGCCAACACTGTTACCAAGGAAACAGACAGCAAACATTGGGCTAACTCCCACTAGAGGTGCTGCCATGCCTTTGTACAACCCACGTACACCCTACAACAGAACATGATGTTAAGGATTGCAGCCACCATTACAGCCACTTAAACTGAAATTCGATGGATTTTTAATTTGGCAGATTTTCTGAATCATCCAATCCATCAAATTAAAATGGGAGCCAAATTAAGTGTATCTACAATATACATGTTTACATAGTTGAGTTTTGTATGTGCCAATATTCTTAATTACAATTTCTTTTGATTAGACATATATAGGCCTTACTAGCATTCATGTTTGCATCATTGCCATAAGCAATTACTTTTTACACTTTACAATGAACTTAATAAAAACACGTTGTTAATAATGACTGGTTGCCAACATTGGTTTGTCATCCAATTACATTTCTTAATTCAAAACATGTCTGTATTCATGCCTTCTATAAAGTGTGAACAAAGCCAACATTTCAACCAGGGCATATTCGTCAATACTACCCCTGGTAATATGAGTAATGGTTAGACATCATAATCGTGGGTCATAGTAATGGCAGACAATTAAATGAATATTCAAAAGATAATGATGAGTTTTCATGTTTGAATCGTATTATAGACCTCAGAGCAGGAAAATGTTTGTACCTAGCCATGCGGAGTGTATTCATCGATATAACACCTGCAATTCAGTCTATATTTCTTAAATTAAAGTGGAAAACCTTATTTAAGTGAAGCATTTTGTAATTGAAACACCTTTGTAAAAGGAACACTTTTCAGTGTCTGAGACCCGCTGAATTTATTCATGGTGAAACACCTCTAAATGGAAGACTTTTAGCAGAACAAAGGCTGTTCACTTCAACATTCACAGGTTTTACTGTATATTGAAAATGCAGGACATCATTTACCAAATAAGTTTAAATATAAATGTTTTAAGTATATAGACTAGAGCCTACCTCTTTGACAAAGGTTTGTTTTGCACAGTCCCATGTTCCTTTGTAGAGTGCTGATTCTCCTGCCGCAGGTATGGGCATAGTCTGGATTCTGACCTGTATGAACATAAAGTAATATTCAAAATACTATAGTACTAAATGTGTGTGATTATGGTAGTTTAAAGTTGTACTAAAACCATTTTATTTTATTTGGATATATTTATGCTATCTTACCGTATGAAGGCCAAACTTTATGATGGTGAACCATCAACAATTCCAAAAGTTCATTTTAACATGATATCGGGGATATAAAGTCAGCACTAGTCTGTTTTCGCAGCAAAACTGATTTCATTTTCAGAGCAGAAATGTTACGTCACGTAACATGATGTGTGTGGTTGAAACAATTTGCCGCCAACATACGATTTTGTAAATAAAAATGAAACCATGGAATTATTCACTCTTAATGTTGAGCCAATCATTGCATGATTGAGGCTATCCTGGTCATGTAAATGATATGTGGAACTAGTTAAACTGACTGGAGGTCAAAACAGAAGTCTGTTATCTTTGTTCAAAAAATGTCAAAAAAGAAGCATGTTTTGTCACTTCCTGTTTTGTCATTTCCTGTTAAGTACCAGTACCTTAAAGTATAGTTTGATAAGTATACCGAAAAAGATTGTATTAAATTGCAAAAAATTCTGAGAAAGCTAAACGCATTTAATTAAAACAATCATAATGCAACTCTTAATATTCCGACTAGTAGAGGGTAGTCGCGACTCGCAATATAAGACTGTAACAACCCTTGATATCAAGTTGCTACTACAGTCCAGCTGTTGTGGCTTAAGCCTTTATAGCTCAGTCAGTAGAGCATCAGTCTTTGGATCCAAGAATCCTAGGTTCGATTCCCATACGGGGCATTGAAATTAGCAAACTTTCTTTCAATTCCTTTATCTGGCTTGTTACACTGTGCTCGTTAGTTAGTCATTCCCCTGGGGCACCCTTGGGTCATTACAAGACGCTTTCAATGCAATTGAATCGCAACATAGTAATCGCACTTAGATTGTGAATAAGGATTATAGTAATTTTTCGATTGCGACGTAGCAATCGCATAGGATTTGACACATTGTGAATAAGGCCTCTGACCTGATAATACTGCACTCGTAAGACCGTAAAATTCAGTTTCTAGCACCTTATTTCATGATTGGACGAATCAGATCGCGCAAACCCGTACGAGACGCATGCACAATCGCAGCGACTCTGAGAGCGGAAGGTCCTGGGTTCAATTCCCGTACGGGGCATTGAATTTAGCACATTCTTTTTCGAGTCTAGTATCTGGCTCAGTACACTACAGCTCCCCGACAAGCATGCCCAAGGGTCGTTACATTGGTGTCAGAAGTGGGATTGCCCTTGTGAATCAGTTACGATGGGACGTCGTCTTCTAGGGGGGGAGGTGTACTATTTTTTTCATGGCCTGACTTTGTCGCTAACATGCTAAATGTAAGAGTTAGCTGACGTTAGGAAGTCTGACTTACCTTCTAAAGGTTAGAACCCGAATCTTAATGAAACCATATCACCTTTGTTGCGTCGGTGATGATGCATAAACATATAGCATTTGATAGAAATTAGTGTAAATGCTTTTCCGACTTTTTCATTTTTCATCAATGTTGACTTCCAGGAAGGCGTTGTAGTTATCACGAAATAACGCATTGACCCTTGAACTTTACTTTGTCGACGTGTCAACCAAGCATGTCTGGTGTGAAAATTAAAAGAATATTAAGCAATGTTCTACATCCGCCAAGCTAAGTGAAGTAGCCAATATTTAAAATTACCAATTTCAAGTGAAGTACGCAACGAACGAAACTGCGTGATCTACAGTCCCACTATTGGTCTGAACGAAATACTACGTAGAAATATGAGCCGTCTGCTGTATTAGTCGATTAATAGAGTAAGACCTGTTGGTGATGCTTTATAATTTAGACCAAAACATTGAAGAACATACGAACCTGTAAATCGTGAAAACAACGAACAAATATTTGGTTTTCATATATAATGTTCGGTAATTTTTCGTATTGAAACTTCCGGAACTTACAAGGAAATCATTCATTTTCTCGGTCCATGATTTACCTCTTGGATGTTGTGGCAAATGCTCCATGGTTGACGGAACAAAGGTGATATGGTTTCATTAAGATTCGGGTTCTAACCTTTAGAAGGTAAGTCAGACGTCAGCTAACTCTTATATTTAGCATGTAAGCGACGAAGTCAGGCCATGAAAAAAGTAGTAATGACCTTCGATTGCAAGTCGCTACTACAGTCTCAGCTGTAGTGGCTAGCCTTTATGGCTTAGGGATAGAGCGTCTGACTCTGAGAGTGGAAGGTCCTAGGTTTGATTCCCGTACGGGGCATTGAATTTAGCACATTCTTTTTTGAGTCTAGTATCTGGCTCGGTACACTACAGCTCCCTGACGAGCGTGCCCAAGCCCCAAGGGTCGTTACACAGACAACTGATGATGCATCGCGGTATGGAGTTTTGACGAGCAATCTATTTATATAAAGACAGAACTGTATAAAATATACAGAGGTCAATAACTCTAAGTAAGGCTAAGGTCCAAATCTGGTTGAGTTTGAACTTGAACTGAACAGAGGGTGAGATGAGAAAATGAGTGAAAATATCAGCTGGTTCAAATGCTTTAATTATGACTGATATTTCCAATTGCATGACCTAAAAATTTAACAAGGTGTGTAGATGTATATAATGATTCTCTCACCTTGATTGTATCCAGTGGCTGACCAGCAGCAACGAGGCACATGCCCCCAACACCACCAGCTATAAAATTTTTAGTTGCACTTATCTCAGGCATGATGCTCTTAAGACAGAGAACCAATGAAATTAGATCTTACAAAATCCCTCGGGTCAGTATGACACCTGGCTACATTCAAGTATATTTCATTGAAATAAATGTTTTAAATTAGAAAATCGATATCTGCCGAAAACGATATTTATTTGAGATATGAAATAACAACAGCTTTAATTGAAAATAAGAGTGATTTAACATGGTAATATCTAATTGACCAATCAAAAATGGTTACACAAACTTGTTAGCCGGAGACTCAAAAACAAGGTCAAGCATACTCTATTGTAGTTCTAATTATTCCTTTTTAAAACTAAAAATATATGACAAAAATAATCTTCATACATATAATACTGAATATTAGTGTTATAGATAATTTTACTATGCGTCAACCCAAATATTTAGACAATGTTTTATGAATATGAAAAACATTTAATTTGATGTCATGAAATACCAAAAATGGCGGAAGGAGGATCTCCCGATTGTGAGGCGCAAAAGAATGAAATTGCTAAGGAAATTAAGGCTACTTTGAAGAAAGGAGACATATGGTAATATTCCTTTTTATATGGTGTATAACATAGCGGACATTCAAATTGATCTGTACATTACAAGCGCAGAAATCATTGATTGAAAGGTTCATTTCCCCAAATCCGGAAAAAAATGGAAATTATTTTTTCAAAAAGAAAATGAATAATCTCTATCGATGAGTCACGTTGGTATATATAGCCTTACATTTGTGTTATATAGATACCTGTTTAATTTAGCAAAGTTCAAAACATTCCCTTATCCCATCGATTCAAAACAATTATCAAACCCTGTACATTCTTCGTTCTTCTGTACAGCAGATGTCACAGGGAATCATATTGAAGACCGGGTAGAGCCCTCCCGAGTCTTCGAAGTAGTGTTGTCGCGATTAATCGATACATCGCGATATACATCGCCAAAGCTGGTTCTGGCGATGCATCGATGTCTGAAACAAAACATCGAACAACGATTATGGCACATCGCGACAACACTACTTCGAAGTATATAGTGTTTAAAAAGGGAAACCGAAGAGTGACTTATGTAGAAAAATTATTTTATACTAAAAATATGTCGAATCATTTCAATAATCTACCTGCATATTGAACATATAAAATAACCAGGGGAAAATATAATTGAAGCAACCCATGGACTCAACTGGATACTAATGCCAAAGCATTCTTGAGTTTTAAATTGACTTCTGTAATAACTTGAAACCATGGCATCTTCTAATTTATTCCACTTACCTTTTATTGTTTCTCCAAATATAATCTTTGAAAATCGGATTTGAATTGTGTTAATCAGGGCAATTCTGTGCCGTTTCAATCAAAAATCTTGTTGCTACCTAGAAAAGAGCAATTGTGATCTTTTTGTTACCTAGAAAAGAGCAATTGTGGTATCACGTCACACTTTACTCGAGTCTCTAGCTTACAGCTTGACATAACTTCATTGATTTCGTATGTACTCGTATTTCGTATGTAAAAATTGCTACACGCACCTAGAGATCATTTTTGATAAATTTGATAAATATTTTTAAGAATATTAATTATATTTAGGATGAAGCGTTGCTTATCTGGATTTAGATATTTCAAAATTTCTTTTCGGAGTTCGACACATGGTGAAATTTTCTCGCTGTAGCTAAAAATGGCTTCCGGTTCCAGACGTGAATAATGGAGGAAACTTTGAAATTATTCTCGCTTAAAGAAATCAAATATAACAATAGATTCAGACGGAGATGTGTGCTGATGTTTCTCAATCTATACATAGAGGTATATTTTATATTATTATGCCGTATTTACTGTGCGTGTGACATATTGATTTACAATATTTACAATACCAAAGCAGCTCAATCTTTCTACTCAAAGCCGGAATATAGAGAAGGCTTTGGACCGAAGTAAGTCACACTCATGTGAATTCTAGAATCACATTGCAACCATTTCGGAAATTTCCAGTTAAAAAGGCTTATTGCTGTTTACAAATTGGAAACTATTGCAGATTCAACTAAAGGTTTGTGAAAAAAATTAGGATAAGGTTTCAAAATTATGCACAAGACAACATATAATACTAAATCGAAGCAGGGACTTTTTATTCCCAAAAAGTTGAGTATCAAAAAGCATTTGTATCTTCTTAGTTACTGATAGATTTGAATAATTCATCAAAATGCCAGGAAATGAGATTTCAACCATGTACTGGGCTGAAAGAATGGTACATTCTATTGCTTTCTTAATACACACTCACTGTTGAAATATGCTAGTTCCTTGGGTGCTTCATCTGCCATTTTTCACTATGGTTACATATTTTTCACGAATGACATCACTGAATGACTACTATGCATTGATATGTATGTAAAATTAATGTTTTCTAAGAAGTGTCAATTCTACCCTATTTCTTGAATTGAAGTTATCCCATATTTGTGTTTTGCATCTTATATTATTTTTGTTTTTTGTAGGTATTTAATTGACACAAAGTGGTTCAAACAGTGGAAGAAATATGTTGGCTATGACTCATGGGATACTAGTTATGTTGGAGAAAAAAGTGCATTTCCTGGGCCCATTGATAATTCACCATTGTTTGATGGTAAGCTAAAACCTATACTGTATTGCTTTATAAGACCTCCCCTCAGATATGATTGACCCTGGTTCGAGCCAGTTTCTAGTGCTTCTTATACTAACACACTGTCAACGATTACAAGAGCGCTGCCAACTCAAAAAGTTTACTGGAATTATCTGATTTCCTTTCTAGATTAAAGATACCAGTTTTCCAAAGTAGGAAGAACTGCTCTTCCTTGATCATATGTAAATATGACTGTAAAATTTAGAATATATACCCAAAATATATTGCTTCTCTTCATGGAATTCATGGAAGTAAAGGGTAGTAAAACATGCAATAATGCAGATTTTAAAAATATAAAAGCAGAGATTCTTAATTATCTGCATGGGTGCATCTGCATGGGTGCTTCCATTCTTAGGAGATGACTGAAATCTGACATTATTTTTCATATTCTTCAGGGGAGAAAGGAGGATTGCGAGAGCATCTCTTGGATGACCTTGATTACCAGTTGATTGCAGAACCAGGTTGGCAAAAACTAGTCAAGTGGTATGGTGTTACAGATGAAGAGGTATTTCAGCTTTACTAATCTGGCAAAAATACAGTTTTACTTGCAGTTACCAGATAAATATGAAATGGGAATATGGGAAACTATTAAACCGAGACTTCCATGGGAAAAATGAGTATATCAAGCTGGGTAATTTTAAAGTTTATATTTTGTTTTTTTGCAGTTGAATTTCTTTGACATGAAATTCCAAGAAAGGTTTGATTTAAAATTTCTTATTTTATACAGTTCAAGCCATCTCTCAATGTTTAAATGAAGATACTCATGTTGTATATTGCATCACATGTATTTAATAATATGAATAGAATACTGACAGCAGATGTTTGTGTATCTTACACATGTTATTTATTCTTTTCTTCTGCTGTTTGATTGTTATTATAAAGGACCGCGAGTTGTTTGTAGAATGAATTTTTGGAGTTTTTCATGCATTTCACTTGTGTTTTTCATCTAAAAACATCAATACACTTTAAAACATATTATTGACTATAAGATCCAAATCTAATCCATATAATCCAAAAAAATATTTCTAAATATTTCAGACTTATATGTGAGTTCACCAATTCATGCCACCATTTTTCCTATGTAACTATTTCTGTCTGATATTAAGAAATATTTTATTTATATCTGATAAAGAAATTATATTTAATAAGTAAAAAATAACTGAAAATAATGCATGTATTTTGAGCAGCTCTCATTATAGGGGTTTGTTTCAGGAATCAGTATCACGGAAAGTCATAGAACAAGGCATGTTCGTGAAGCAGTGTAAAGTTGAAGTATACCTACTTGATTTGAAATTGTGTCAGAATTCAAATACAGAAGAACAGGTTTCCAGGCAGTTTAGTCGAGCAGATACGCTAGGTATTACTACACAGCTCCACTGATGGTTTCTTCATTGTCATGTAATACTACTAGAGTTTAAGATGTCACATGGTCATGTTATGTCAAGAAAATGAACAAAAGATTAATTGAGGCCGTTGAAGTTATTCAGTCATGTTAATGGACAAGGTCTGAATTATTAGTAGAAGTTTTATCTTTTTTACTTACACATCTGATTCTTTAATCAAACTTACTCAAACATGGCCTTGTGACATTTTATGCTCTGGGGAACATTATTTACAGGCTGCTCATGTAACTGGCTGCTCATGTTACATGCTGTTCATGTAACAGGCTGCACATGTAACATACTTCTCATGTTACATGCTGCTCATGCAGCAAGCTACTCATGTTACAGACTGCTCATGTAACAGGCTGCTCATGTTACAGGCTGCTCATGTTACATGCTGCTCATGTTACAGACTGCTCATGTACCCAACATGTCCCCATTCTTTATTTAACATATAGTTTGATTTTCTCTCTGTTGTATTCGACTGTAGTGAATTATTTGTATGTTCTAACAGGTGATATCTCGCAAGGTGATAAGTCGAGGCTTCTATGTAAAAGAATTAAAGGTTGAGGTATATCTTATGGATATCAACCTCTGCGAGAATGATGACCTCAACAATTATCACAACAAAACATTTAGTAGAGATGATACTATAGGTATTCATTCAGGTCCTTTGTTTCTCTGTGTTTTTATTCCATTACCGTGTGGTTATGTGTTACTTTTACATGTGTTTTCTGTTTCGATTTTTCATACCTTTTTCTTTCATATGCTTTTTTTGTAGCTAGGCTTGTTCAATTTTGTTCATGCTTTGTAGTTATATAATATATTTCATTCCACAGTGGCTTGTCATTTACAATATATTGCATGATGAATCTCTGTAGGTGTTATGAACATAGAAAAACCACGCTAAGATATCTATACAGTAATAGTTTTTTGATGTAATTTGTTGTTTTATTTTATTTGTGAAATGGTATATGCTTGTCTTTGAGTTTATCAGTTCAGAATAATTACTTATGCTATTAGCATTTTGTTTTGACCCTATTATTCTGCATTGATCCGTTTTTATTGCTTTCATTTTTTGACCTCCCCTCTTTGATTGTGACATGATTGGTAAAATCATTGAGCAGCCTGGAAAAGATCAGCTTCATGTTTTCTGTAGCAAATTTTATTTTAGTTAAATCATTCAAAATTAATATTAATGTTTAGAACTTAATTTGGATAATCATATATCATACAAGTTAGTATATTTATAGATAGTATATGATTATAATTAAAATGGTTTTCATTTTTATGTAAATAAGGGAACAGTCTTATACTTCTCTACCATTCACACATTAAGTAAAAATGATTAACACACTAAATAAAAGTCTAGATCTGTACATACACTTCCTGGTTGTTTTGTAGAATATATAGAACAGGAAATGAGAAAATTGTTTGAGATCAAAGAAGACACAGAGGTCAGACTATGGAATAAATATATGACAAATACGTATGAACATCTCAACAAACCGGATAACACAGTTCAAGATGCTGGGCTATATCCAGGACAGGTAACAGTTCCTTTTGCAATGCATTGCCAGTTAATAGAGTTTTGGGAAATGGTGGATACAATGGAACAGAAGTTGGGAACAGTTGATGATTTGATAAATTATATACCTCTTTTTGGTTGGCAGTCATAAAAGTACATTAATGATTCCTCCACTGCATTCTGGTTGTGGCATTGGCATATTACTGATTGGATATATATATATATATATATATATATATATATAACTTATTTTGGCTCCTATTACTTATAAAGGGCCATTGTTTATTTTCAGTCATTAATTACATCAATATAGGGTGCAAACCTTGGGTAGACATTGTCATTTCCGGATCCCCAATCCTCTCAAGATCAGATAGGAATTTGATAGTAATCATATCAACCTCTTGATGGGTCAATAATTTTATATTTACTTTATTCTAGGTGATTGTGATAGAGCAGAAGAATGAGGATGGTACATGGCCAAGGCAGAACAAGGCAAAGACAGGGTATGGTGCTCCTAGTAGCCCAAGCCCAAGTACACTCAGTATAACTAGTGGATCTGATAGTCCTGCAAGTTCATCGTATAATGGGTAAGTCTGTGTTAAATATCAGTCATCATTTTCAATGATTCAATATTGTTAACACATTATTTATAGCTTTTTATTATGTTACCACCAGAAATGTTGACAGATTGCCATAGCCTCAACTTTTTGTGGACGGTATTTGGCATTCGTAAGTCAGTATCTGTAACAAATGGCAGTTGGTGACAATTTGCATTTCATAATGCCTTGTTTTTAATTGCTAATGGGTATATTTATGACCATCTTTGAGTTGACAAATGATTTTAACAAGTGTGTAGATTGCATTAAGTAAAACATACATCATCTTATGTTGTGGATATATATACCCAAATCTCTATGGAAAACACTAGGTTATTCTCTGTCTATTGCTTTTCAGTACTGTAGGGGCATCTACAAGCACAAGGCCATACAGCAGTGGTTACAGCTCTGGTGGAAGCAGTTACAGCTATGGAAACTCCTATGACACTGGACGTGGTGGCAGTGCTGCCCCTGGCCTATGTGGCCTTAGTAATCTTGGGAACACCTGTTTCATGAACTCCGCACTACAGGTGGGTCTGTTATGAACAGATGGATTAGTTATATAGTGGGGATCTGGGAGAGTTATATAGTGGGGAACTGGATGTGGCGACTGTAGATATGGGTGCAGAACTCCTTTTTATGCACTAAGGGCCATGTTTCAAAACATGTTTAGTTACTAAATCGGCTGTTTTTGTGGTAATGTAAACTGTTTCGTTATGCTGTCAAGGTAACTTAGTTTTTGTTGTGTTACCTAGGTGATGAGCAATGTACCTGATTTGACAGAGTACATGTTGAGTGACAAGTGGGAGGAGGAACTGAACTATGACAATCCATTAGGCATGAAAGGGGAGATTGCCAAGAGCTATGCTGAGCTCATTAAGACTATATGGTCAGGAAAATACAGCTACACAGTACCAAGAAACTTCAAAGTAAGAATGTTTTTACTTTTGTCACCCAAGTGACTTGATTTTCTAAACACTTAAAATGATTGAAACTTTTGTAAGCATTGTATAGGCTATGATGGCAATATGTTAAAATCATAAAAAACCATTGAATTACTCAGATGCTATTAGGTAGTTACCAGATGTGACTAATTCGGGGGATAACATGGCATGGTATTACAAAGTTCCCTTAAACTTGAATATTCATCAGTTTTAGTGGTTCACTTATCATATTACCCTCATGTATCTGATAGTTATACAAATTAAAATATGTCCAGTAAAAGAAAATATTATCTGCCCAACACAAGAAAAGATATTTCAAAAGCTGATCAACTATTTTCAAAACCACATTTTTAGATGTAATTTTACATATAGATTTCAAATATAACATCAGTTTTACTGAATTTCTAATATTTAATGACGTAAATCAAGATTATTTCTACTCACATCTTGTCTATTTGATGAATTATAATTTGCATTTTCCAAAATGTATTTTTCATCCATATTGTCGATTGCAGCTTGCAGTAGGGAGATTTGCCCCCCAGTTCTCTGGATTCCAGCAGCAAGACTCCCAGGAGCTGATGGCCTTCCTCCTTGATGGCCTCCATGAAGACTTGAACCGCATTCTCAAAAAGCCTTACATCGAACAAAAAGATGCAGAAGGGAAAAAGGACAAAGTAAGATTTTTTCCCCACTGAGTCCTCAATAATGAAATAATAAAATAAATAAAAAGGCAATTTTAGGGATGTTTAGAATTTTATGAATTTAAATGAATTGAGATAATTTAAAGATTTTGGATTTCTTGCTTTGAGTATAAGAAATTAATGTCTAATAGTATTTCTGATTTATTTGTATGTTCCAGGAAGTCGCCAATGAAGCCTGGGAAAACTACCGCAAACGTAATGATTCAATAATTGTAGACACCCTACATGGCTTGCTGAAGTCCACTCTTGTGTGTCCCGATTGCTCAAAAGTTTCTGTGACATTTGATCCTTTCTGTTATCTCTCCCTACCTCTTCCTGTAAAAAAAGAACGACAGATTGAAGTGTTTTATATCCCACTAGATCCAATGAAGAAAACGGTGCAGGTGAGATTTTAAACCAGATTAAGATTGAATTGATTTTATGTTATATTTATTTTTCAGTGTTGGGCCACATACAAAACAAGCTTCTTCCCCTATACTAAATTCATTTACTTTTCACAATAGGTCAACCTCATCTCCATTTTTTGGCCATATCCAATTAAAATCTCTAGTAAGAGTAACCCAACTACATTTTCAACCTTAATGTAGTAGCTGCCATTCATTTCCCAAAATACTCAACCTCGTGAAAACCCCTAAAAACTATATCTGTGATTGTTAAATATTTTGTCAGTCTCAGAATAGTTCAATTATTTATAGAGGGTCGTGTGTCTAGCTGAGTAGTGGTAAGTATCAGGGTGACAGATTTCAATTTGATATGTTTCAGTATAAGCTGACAGTCCCTAAGATGGGTTCAGTGAAGGAACTGTGCCAGGCCTTGTCCAAGGTTACTGACACCCCCTCAGACAAACTAGTGGTAACAGATGTCTACAACCATAGGTTCCATAAAGTATTTCAACCGGATGAGGGCATAACTCATATACTAGATCGTGATGATATTTTTGTGTGAGTGAAACTAAGTAATTTCTATGTCACTGCACCGCAGTCACTTTTTTGTGGATGGTGTTCAGTGGTTGGTGTTTCTTTGTAACAAATGTTAAGTGGTGCCATTTTGCATTTTAATGCCTTGTCTAAGTAAGACATATTTTGTGTCACATTGTTATGGCCATCATTTTTGTGGCTGGCCTCAGCATTTGGCATCAGTGTTTGTAACAATTGTGACATTGGTGACAATTTGTCATGTTAATGTCTTGTTTATTTGAATCTGAAATGTTATTACTTTGAATTATCCTAATGTTTTGACTACTAGGTAGGATCTTCCATATGAGTTGCACATGTTAAATAAGAATTTTCAAATAATGGAATGAATGAAATGCACATTGTGTACATATCCCTATGTATGATTTTGATAACAGAACTAAATGAAGTGAATGAAACTTTCATATGAGTTGCACATTTAAAATAAGAATTCTTTAGATAAAATGAATGAAAAATGCACATTTTGTACATATCCCTATGTATGATTTTGATAACAGAACTAAATGAGGTGAATGATTGCAGATATGAGGTTCCAGTCAGTACAGGTGATGACCCAGAGACTCTCATCTTGCCAGTCTACCTGAGAGAAAAAACGTAAGCTTTAGTTATACTTCTATGATTTTTTTATCATGTAGATATACATGTATTTTGAAATTTATTCCAAAAATACTCTTTTCAGGTGATAAGGAATATAAAAATCACATTTGAATCATGACTGGAAAAAAGTCATATTGGATCACATGACCTGGGAAAGTATTCAATATTGTATTTATTGGCATTAACTCCCAGAAATATTTATTGAATAAACAGGCTTTTTCTGGTTTCTGAACCAATGAACAATTTATTAGTTATACATCTATTTTTACTTTACCCTATGTGTTATTCTTGTCTCCAGAAGTCGTGCCTCAGGATCAGGGTTCAGCAATTACAGTTCTACCCAGCTGTTTGGCCAACCTCTACTTGTGCCCGTTCCCCGCAAGAATTGCACCTATGATGCCCTCTATAATGCTGTTCTGAATAGAATGTCGTAAGTTGTGTTTGAAATTATCAGTTCTAGTTAGATAAAGCAACCTTACTGTATCATACCATTTGGTGAAAACATTCTAACTTCAATCAATACATTTAACCCTTTCCCGACGTGAATATAAGAGGAAAATGTTGTCCCAGTGACGGATAAGTCAGAGTGTTTTTAGGGGGAAACTGCAAAATACCTATGCCCTGGGACCTATACCTTGGATTTCATCACTGATATACAATTTTTAGTAAGGATTATCACATAAGAACAACTTGGTTAAAATTTGGTGTAAAAATACTGAATAGAACTGGAGATATTGTCATTTCATTGATGTATATAAATAAAAATAATGGTGCCAAAAGGAGCCTATCGTCCTGAAAGGTATTACATAATAGGGCTCCTTATGGAGCCTATCGTCGTTAAGGATATATGCAATCGTATCAATTGTTTATAAAGGAAAAAAGCAGTCAAAGAGAATACCTGAAATTCAACTTGTGCACAGTTGACTCATTTTGCATATATGGTTTAATTCCTTCCTTCAAACTTATTAATTTTATTGATACAGGAGGTATGTGACTGTACCCACAGAAGATGATGCCTGGTGGGAAGAGTTCAAGGCACAACAGGAAGGTAAGAAGACCAGAAGACCAATAGATCAGCTGGAGGTCTTGTTCTTGTACCAAACAAGAGGAATGCCATTTTATTAGAATTTCAAATCTGAAATGTTGAATTATGAACAGGCCAGTTATTTTTTATACATTGTGAAATCATCACTTTATTATTTATTTATTATCACATCAAGATGAAAATCATTTGACCAGTCAGATTATATAGTCTTCAACTTTTTGCGGATGGTTTCTGGCCAGTGATGGTTGGCGTTCGGTGTCTGAAATAAATGGTAGGTGGTGACATTTTGCATGCTAATGTCTTGTTCCACATTTATTGGCAAATATTTATCAGACATCAGAATTATTTGAACTGCAAAACATTTAGATATTTACAAGCTATCACACGTGTTTATGATATTGCAGATGCAATGAGTGAAGAAGATGCAAATGAATATGATACTACGGACAGTACTGAAAACACAGAGACAAACAGTATAAACAATAAAAACCAGGATATAATTAATGAGAATGACACAAACAAATCGCCCGCCCCTTGCAGACTATTTAGCTTCACTCTAGTAAACTCCTATGGCAGTGCAGAAGTTGAGCAAATCAAGGATAATGGAAAACCAATCAAACTATCAGGTAGGATTTCAGGTTTTAAACTAGCTCACATATCAGAGTGATTTATTGGGTAAAATGAAAGATGTCTCGGTGTCTTAAATGATCGCATTCTTCAAACCGTTGTAAGAATTAAAAGATTTCCCCATGCACCTAGTTATTTGCAAATATTGAAAAATTTGGAAAATTAAAATCATATGGAATTGGGAACTCTATTTTGACTCTTACGTCAGAGTTATGTTATCATTAACTGGTACATACAGGACAGGAAAAAATATTTCAGTTCTAAACATGGTTCATAGATAATTAGAAAAATGTAACCTAATGAAAATATTTTAATTACAGGTCGGAGTTACGTTGCAATAGACTGGTACAGCCAAGCCAAAAAGAAGTATTTCAATGAAAAGCTGGCTGATGATTTATTGGTTGATGATAGTATGAACATGAAACAACAACAGAGGAGACAAGTTATACAACTCACTGACTGTCTGGACCTGTTTACAACCACCGAGAAACTGGGAGAACAAGATCCTTGGTATGGAGATTAAGCCAGTATTTGCATACACATCTCTTGGTTTCTGAATAGCTCTCTAGTTTCCATATTCAAATTGTTTGTTTGTTCAGTAGATGATACATTTGAGTGCATGTATATCCAAATAATTTTTTATGTCACCATCACAATCGTTATAGTCACCAACATTTTGTGGATGGTGTTTGGGATTCAGTGGTTGGTGTTCCCACAGGCACAATTCGGTGTCTGTAACAAATGGCAGGTGGTGACATTTTACATGTCATTGCCTTGTTATCCCACCGAGGGGGATATAGAGAAGCCTTCCGTCCGTCCGTCCGTTCCTTCGTCCGTGTGTCCAGGCAATAACTCCAATACCGGTTGACGGATTTGGTTCAAATTTTATAGGCTTATGCCTTATGAGTGTAGGACCTCTGCTCGAGAAGGAATTTTCAATATGGCCGCTCAATTCAAAATGGCCACCATTTTTCGTAAAAAATGTAATCGTTGATAACTCAAATACGAGTTGATGGATTTGGTTCAAATTTTATATGCTGGTGCCTAGGGACAAAGGAATTTCGCACAAAAAGAGATTTTCAAGATGGCCACTTAATTTTTTCAAAATGGCAGCCATTTTTCGTAAAAATATGTAATCTTTGATAACTCAAATACCAGTGAACGGATTTGGTTCAAATTTTATATGATGATGCTTAGGGACACAGTAGCTATGTTCGACAAAATTTTTTCAAGATGGCCGCTTAATTTCAAAATGGCGGCAATTTTTCGTAAATAACTTAATCTTTGATAACTCAAATACCAGTGAACAGATTTGGTTGAAATTTTATATGATTATGCCTAGGGACACAGTAGCTCTGTTCAAGAAATAATTTTCAAGATGGCAGCTGAATTTCAAGATGGCGGCCAATTTTTGTAAAAAACGTAATCTTTGATAACTCATATACCAGTGAACGGATTTGGTTCAAATTTTATATGATGATGCCTAGTTCACAATGGTATAAACTAACTTTGTGCCAAATTTCATGCTTCTATCACAAAGTGCACAAACATTTCAACATTTACACTAATGGTGGGATTTGCTACTCCGTGGAGTTGCTGTTTTTCTAGTTTATGTTTTGAAATAATAATTATCTATGTATAGTGTATTGTATTCTGTATATTATAGGTACTGTCCAAGATGTAAAAAGCACCAGCAAGCCACCAAGAAATTTGACTTATGGAAGTTACCTAAAGTTTTAGTCATCCACCTTAAGCGATTCAATTATAACAGATACTGGAGAGATAAGATAGATGCTTTAGTAGAGTTCCCAGTTAGGTAACTAATTGCAATTTATTGTTTTGTATCATTACTTCTAATATTTTGATTCACAATACCATTGTTCTGCCATGTCAATTTCTTTACAGAGTGAGCCAAATTAAATAGAGTGAAAAAACATTGAACAAGTTGAGTTATTATGATTTGTTTGGGTTACTTTACCTTAAGGAAAAGCCTCGCTATGTATTGGTCTTTAGATTGAATACTAATTGCTCTGTATATCTTGTAGGGGTTTACAAATGAAAAATCTGCTGATCAACAAAGACCATGGACCTGCACTCTATGATCTGATAGGTGTTGTCAACCATTATGGAGGCATGGGAGGTGGACACTGTAAGTATGAAATAGGAGTTGTCAACCATTATGGGGGCATGGGAGGTGGACACTGTATGTATAATATAGGTGTTGTCAACCATTATAGGGGCATGGGAGGTGGACACTGTAAGTATAATATAGGTGTTGTCAACCATTATGGGGGCATGGAAGGAGATGGACAGTATAAGATGAGAATTGTTGACCACCTTGATCACATTTTGATACAAAATAATGATTAGTTTACAATATCTCAACCCTGTTTTTCATTGGTTGATTGTGACTCCTTCGCAACTTTTGATCATCATTTTGAAAACCCATTTGCACTCATTTGAAAACCTATTTGTACCCGCTTCAAAACCCATTTGCCCCCTTCGGACAGAATTAGAAAGAATTTTGACTTGTTATTTCACATGAAATGAGTTAAATGTTATGTTATTGGTTTGCAGACACTGCATATGGCCTTAACAGTAATGACAAGCAGTGGCACCACTTTGATGACTCCAGTGTATCATCCGTTGATGAGGATGGTGTTGTGGTAGGGCATTTAACTCATTACCTTAAACATTTCAGTGTTTTCACATCGCATGACTTCATCCATTTCATTAATCTGATCAGTCTACCATCAAATGTAATATTTAAAATAAAGATTGACTTTTTAAGGTGTTGCTTTAGGGTATAATATTCAAAATATTCAAAACTAATTGAAAAATAGAACAAGGGTCTTGTGAAATTGTAGTCTGTGGAGTTAAGGTGGTTACCTCTGTGTATTCTTCTCAAAATGGCAGTGACATGACAATGTCAGATGCTCTTTCTAAATTGCATGATTTTATGATATCATGTGTTTTATTTTAAAGACAAAGAAATTATCCTTTTTTTCTTGGTTCCCAGTTGTTGTAAAATGTAATTGCAATGGAGTACACATGTAAAGTCAAATATCATAAAGTCAAAAGTCATAATAGTTTGCCCCACGCTGCTTTTAGAGCTTGAAATGTGATTCAGAAATAATTCTGTGTTTTGTTTTTCCAGACCCGTGCTGCCTATGTCCTAGTCTACCACCTTCGTGTTCCTGGAGCCGCCGAGCCCCCTAGAGATATCCCAGCAGCCCTTGGGGCAGCCCCACAATCCTCAGACAGTAACTATAGCAATGGCAGTAATGGACTCAGTACCACCAGCACTAGTACGAGTGATGATGAGATGGATACCAACTGACCATGACTTGACTTAGGCTACTCATTAGGCTATCCATTTATTCAACTCCCTCCAGGAGCTACTCTGCTGGTCATGTTGACCTACTTGTCATACTAACCTACTGGTCAAGAGGAACCCCTCTGGTGCCCATGAAGACCCCAGTGGTCATATTGACATCTTGACTTTTATGACATTACTGCAGATTTCTTTAATTTGATGGCTATTTTAGTTTGGCAGATTGATAAAAACCGCCAAATTAAGTCTCCGTCAATTTTTGGAAAAAATAACCCTCCAATATCTGCATTTTACTGATGGGTCAATACACAAAATTAGCCCAATCCACCAAATTAAACAGTGTCAAATTAAAGCAATTTACAGTATATTAACATTAACCTTTACTGGTCTTGTTGACCTTAATATGGAATATACTAGTATGTGACCTTGGTATAGAATACTAATATAGACCATAATTATTTGTCATTTTATTTGGTCTTATCATCAATGCAATATTTGGCTTAGAAATAAATGCACATGAGTTCACTATTCTGTCATTACAGTATATTTATTAAAGTTTAAACCTATTATTTGAAACTAACACAGAAAATGTCAGTAGTCAGTGTACTTTTATTATGAAAGCTACTTGTAAATGTAGCATGTCAATCGGGAGCTTAACAATAGAAACTTAGGGTAATATGTTCATTTGTTTTAGGTAAATATATTATTTATCGTATGATCTGTAAAATGAAGCCTTCTGATCGGTCAGTTCTTGTGCTGTACCAATCTGTATTGCTACTGAGATTGTCCCCGTTGATCATCTCCGTTGCAATACAGAAAATATTGGTACGGAGGGGACAATGTCAGTAGCAATACAGGGGAAAACACGATAAAAACGTTATTGAATGATTTGAAGTGCAATACAGGATATATTCTGTCTCGATATTTTGTATTGGCACTCGACTCCCGTCTCGTTCCAATACGGAATTTCTCAAGCAGAATATATCCTGTATTGCACTTCAAATCCTTCAATAACTTTTAATATGGGGAGTGACAGAATATTGCAAGCAATATCTCCAACAATTAACCAATCAATGTGTTATGTCCCAAATATAGTACCTCATGATTTCTTAAGTTCATCATTATACTGCTCAGTTCAGTTTAAAGAATGTAATTTAGATGCTGAGACTTGTAACCATGGTAACATACTGTATATGTATGCATGCATCTGCTTCAGGGAATTCATTGTGATATAGAGACTGTATTAAGCACTGTATTATGTTCTGCGCATGTCAAGGTCGTGAACTTTCTGGTTTCTTTTTAATGTTTCTCGACTTTTACACGACTTTTGCACGAATAATGATGATCTCTCATCAAATTAGAAATAATGTATCCAGCAGTCTCTAGTGGAAATATTGAAGGTAATCGGCGATAATGACAAAGTGGGCGTGCCGGAAATAAATTAGACATAGACGGGTCTTCAACCACTGTCAATATTGTCTAAGCGATCTTTACCGTATTCTCTCCAATAACAGCACTTGTCATATTATTATAAAAATATGTTGAAGAAAATGCATTCTTGTCAAGAAAAATTGCCATACATGAAATTCCTCGGGATTTCTGATTTCTTTCATACATGGGCGCTTATTAGAATGGTCTAAATAATGTATTTTCAATTTTCTAAACGCCCTGGGCGCTAATTACAGAGAATACGGTATGTGCAAAAGTGAGGAAAATATCTTTTGAATTGTAGATAGTATTCATAAAATATGGAAATGGTAAAAGATACAGGGTGTTATCATAAAATACTATGAATGGGCATTCATCAAATAGTATTGATCCAGATATTTCTAACATTTTGCTTTCATAAAGGCTCAATTAGGGGAAATTGGTGGCAAAATGATATGTAGGAGCTGTACATAGGTAGAACAGTTTACAGAGTATACATATTCCATGTTTTATATGTTCTAATTTATTCAGCTTTAAATACTGTAATATATCTACAACTGCTGTCTACAACACTTCTAGATCATATCTATTGACTCATTATATTGATGTAATGTATTATTTGAGAATCGGAGGGCAAAACTGCAAGGTAATTGAAATCCTAATATATGTACATATTAGGTATTTTATTTCATTTAAGCAAACTTTCTAGATTCATTAAAATGATAAATGTGGATCTCTGACTTTCTCTGAAGTACATACTATTTTTTTATTTAAGAAATTGGGTTTTAAAGTTAGAGCTTTTAAAAATCAAATTACAATGCTTGTTTTAGGCTTAAAGTTTAATTGGATTTCCATCATTTTTTTTAATTTGATTGAGGTTTTAAGCCTTTTTAATTCTGTTTCAGCATGCAAATAAATAGATGGGATTTTCAGTCTAGTAAGGGGCTACGGGTCAAATATCAATGTACCATTTTTGAGCACTGCTAATTGCACTTCAGAAATGTTTGTTTTTGAAAGAAAAAAACACTGAAATTTGAATGGCAAAATTGTAACTTTATAGTATAATCTTAACAAATAGTAAGGTGTGGGACTGAGCTATTGCCATTTAGTTTCACAAAAATAAATATTGATCTTTTTTTCTGGTCCCAAAGTAAAGTGTTGTTTATTTATTACATTATTTGATGCAAACATTGAGAAACTATCTTGTATAAAAGCATGTAAAGATTATTGCCAAATAAAGTTTTAATGTTATAGAAATGATCTTGTCTGTCTATTTTAAACAAGCATGTAGTATATAGGGGGCTATTTTTATTCAAAAGGGATGAAGCATTACATTCTATTATCCTAATTAGTACAATATAAATGGAACACAAACAAAGAGTAATGTAAAATGCAATATATTCAAAAGTGGATCACACATACATACAATATACACTCCCCTAAAAGAGTTTAGCAACTCCCAAGTCCCTATAGAGGAGTTGATGTTGCCAAACTTTTTATGGGGAGTGTGAGTACAGTTGTAAAGCTAGAATGTAATGAAGAATTGCATTGATTGCTACAAAAGTAGATGAAAAGACTAGCTAAATATGTCTACTCAGATCAAACATATACCTATCTTAGTCTATCTGGAGAAAAAACAAAAATATATGGAAACTTTCAATATTCGTCCAAATTGTCCTGAATAATGCCGTATGCCTTGGTCACATTTGCTCAGATTTTCAATATCGGTGTCTGGCCGCTGCATATTTCGTTAAAAATTGCATACAGTTTTGAACAAAACTCATCAGCCCCGTGCCAGTATTTAAAATCGGAGCAAATGTGACCTAGGCATAATAGTAAGTTAATACCCTGCTTGCAGAGTCTAGTTAAACTACACTCTGCCTACTAGAGACCATATTACAGTTTAGTAGCCCCGCCCCCATGACTGGTACCGGTGACAGTTTGGGTAAATCACTTTTGACCTACGCACTGACCTTCCACCAATCAGCGAGCTCAGAGGGGGAGAAACACCAGGGTTCAAAGATGACATACGCTTATAATGTAAATCTGTATTGAGATGACACGGTCGCTGATTGGTCAAAAGTCGACAAACAAATGACGTCATCAATGGCGGTTTCAAAATTTTCGAAATACGCTTCGAATAATATTATGTTCATTTCTGGCGTGTTAACCAATATCATAGCTTCTCATTTCACATCAAGATAAAGAAAGGTGTACGGAATATGCCTATATCAATTATAACATCCCATCGAAGTGTAGTATTTGATAACTAGCCGATAAAAATTCGAACGAACGAAGGTGGTAAGCAAGAGAGGTAATTATGTCTGTCATCTTGAAACTCGGGGGCTTTCCCTCCTCTTCAGCGAGCTTGAAGAAACATGCGCCAAATGCGTTCTAATTAAATATGCGCATGTCATTGGTCAATTCCGGGCTCAACGATGACGTAAGAAGGAATGACCATATAAAGAACGTCGGTCAAATTTGGCCGACGAACACTGATTGGCGCGGTGAGTTCACAGGTTTATTTTAGTTTGAAAGAGTGAAGACGAAGCTCTCTTTTAAGAAGTGAAGTCAAACGAATGCAAAGGGTAGTAAGTTAAGTACTGTAGAATTCAATGATGGAGTAACAAGATAAACAATAAAACAATAATCTCAACTTAAACATGGACTGGTCTCGTGGGACCTTATTTTCCATTTCTTGCAATTTTGTTTTCTCATGGATTTCAATTGTAAAGATTAAACTGTCTACAAAATGACGTATAACTCTGACTTTGAATTAGTATAAGCTTACAGTATTTACATTAGGTCATCAACTTTGATTTCTGAAATGTATGAAAATTATGTTTTATGTAATTTTTTATAATATTGCTATAAGTTGAGGCTGGCATGGAATAGAACAGAATTCAGCACTATCAGAAATCAAAGGTTTTACAGTAACTATTTGAGAAATAAATTTCTGAACAATATGGACTAAGATATAATCTAAAACTTTTTATTTTATTTTGTTCTTTAATGCCCCCACACTGTATGATAGCTGTATATACATTGGGCTTACAATGCAGAAAACCACATTCTTGTAGCTGCAAGTTGAGAAAACCTTGAAGTGAATCAAAGTTCTTTTATGGTGAGGCAAAATATTTGGATCAGACTGAAATTCCCATTTCGTGCCAACCATGCTTTATGTTAGCTTGGAGATAAGCATTACTTTCCTTTTATAGCTGCCTTGTTCTTAAACACATTAATAAATATATATGATAACACGGCCAATCCAGAACATAAAATATTCTCACAATGTATTTTCCCACATGTATGCTCTCCATGAATTCTTACCTTTAATTTCATAATCTACAAAATCTCACAAATGTTTTCATTGTTTATCAAAGATCCCCAGATTTTCATTTATTTTCCACTGATTTTTCAAAATACATGTCATCTCCTTCCCCATCCAATAATTTCCCAATCCTTTCTGAAAATCACTCACGACTTTATGAAGGGGTCTAACAAAATGTGCCTTAAAGAGCCTTAAAGCCTTCATTAGACCCCCATAAGTTCAAACTTCCAATAGCTGCCCATCAATAATACTGACTGTCTTCACTCTGGTCCCAACAGAGGGATATATAAATATGTTTTGTCTCTGATGTACACTATAACATAAACTTCTCTAGGTCAAACTCTACCTAGACACAATGTGTTATCATTTAGACACAATGTGTTATCATCTAGACACAGTATGTTATCATTTAAACACAATGTGTTATCATTTAGACACAATGTGTCATCATGGCACAGTGTGTTATCATTTAGACACAATGCGTTATCATTTAGACACAATGTGTTATCATTTAGACACAATGCGTTATCATTTAGACACAATTTATCATCTAGACAAATTGTGTTATCAAGCAAACAAAATGTGAATTACATAGACAAAATGTGTCATTGTCCATTTAGACACAATCAGGATGCAAATATACAAATACTGTTTTAATATACAATAAACTAGACAATGTCAATCAAAATACAAGAAATATATATGGAGAAACAACAAGCAATTAATTTCAGCTATTTGAATAGCAGTGGAAAAATTGAGATTCAGCTTTTACACAGGAAGATATGCTGATTACTCAATTAGTGCAAAATTAGTACTAAATTAGCACTCTGGCAAAAGTGCACTCATGAGCACTCATGTCATGAGTGCTAATTTAGTACTTATTCATGAAAAGAGTACTGATTTATTATTAATATTATTAGTACTATTTTATCACTCACGATATGAGTACTCGTTTAGCGCTAAAAAATCAATGAAATTACTGTTATTTTATCACTCATCATATGAGTACTCATTTAGTACTAAAACATGCAATAAATCAGTACTCATGTCATAAGTGCTCATCTAGTACTAATATTTACTAAAATGAGTACTCAGTTAGTGTTAAAATGCCATGAGTACTATTTAAGTACTCGGCATATCTCCCTGTGTACTTTATGTTAGAACTAATGCTGCTCTTGAATTGCGTTTGATACACAAATGCATAAAATGTATTTAAAATTTCAAATGTACATGTTTGTAAGCAAGGGAATATACCATAATTTTAGGCAATATTTCAAGCTAGAACACTGTCTCAACATTGTTCATTACCATGTAATGTTGCGATACAGTGTCACCCTATACCATGATGTTATTACTTTACTTTGACATCACACTACTATGTAGTCACACTAAACTACAATGTCACACTATGCTGCACACTCAACACCATCTTGGAGTGCTGTGCCTGGGAAACTTGTACGATGTCTACAAAAGTCATTATGTTCACTCCATCCATCCTTGACGAGAGATTCTACAATAAGATGGGCCCTGTTTGGCCAGATGGGGTTGGGCTCGAGGTTGAGTGTGTCTGCAATGCGTGTAGCGGCTACAGCTGGCGTGATATTCTCATCCTTAGCTGTCTGAAGTATTCTCTTCACCATCACATAAATCTGAAACAAAATGTGAAATATTTAATACAAAGCATTAAAACAATATAACATTGGTGTGTAGTATTCAGATAATAGATGATGGACAATTGTACCAGATGAAAGTGGTGATCAGTAGAAGAGGTCATTTATAATTACATGTATAAGGTCAATTATGAACTACATATGGTTTATACAGTCATGAGAAATCATGGCCTTCTATTAGCTTCACACTAGTATGCATATTTCTGGTTGAAGACAGAAAGATGGGATAAGTATCAGAATGGGTTAATACAGTAACCTCATATAGTGGATCCAGACTTTTATATTAATCAATATTAATAACGCAGATGCGAGTAGGCAGTTACCAGTTTCGCCACCAGGTGGCTCGTTCGGGTCAGATAACATGGCGGGTATAGTAGAAAGTTCCCTTTAACTTAAATTACATCTGTTTTAGTGGTTCAATTTTTATATAACCCTTATGTATCTAATAGTTATGCAAATTAAAATATGTCCAGTAAAAGAAAATGTTATCTGTCCAATACAAGAAAAGATATTTAACTTTTTGTGATTTTGTAACATGGGGTCTATGAGGAATCAACCCGAACAAGAAGTCACATTTTCAAAAAAAAAAAATTTTCAAAGTTGAAAAACAATTTTCGAAACCATTTATCTAGACATACTTTTACACGAAGATTTCAAATATGACATCACTTTGACTGAATTTTGAATATTTAATGACGTAAATCAAGGTTATTACTATTCGCATCTAGTCTATTGATTTAAAAATGCTATTTTTTCATACCGAATTTTCCCAGGTTTTGTCAAAGTGCCTCAAGATAGCAGGGTCATTAGGCAGACGTCCATAAATCTCACTAGCACATTGAACAATGCCCTGAAAAATAATAAAATGATGGAGTTAAACAAAACAGGTGTATTACATAACATATAAAGCACATCTAGTCAGCTGAGAGAGCACGATCAGTTTCCTTCATTACAAGAGTTATACTGATAAGTGGGATTCATCAGCAAGCAAAGGTGTAATTTCTGAGGAAAAGTTGACAGCTTATCAGCTCAATAGAGAGTTTAAGCTTGCATATAAAATCGAAATGCCAAGCTATACATATGATCAATCGCCCATACAAATGCATTGCTTAAATATTTTCTGTTCATGTTTAGGTTGTGAAAACATTGCAAGCTTAAACTCCCTAATAACAGAATATCTTATCACATGTAAAATATGTAAATAAACTTTACAAGGAAAACATAACTGAATATCATACCATTCTGTTAGCAAGAGAATCAACGATGTATGTGACACCATTTTCAGCTAGTAGTTCATCATCTTTGTCACAGCCTAACTGGTTATTGGCGGCACCACACACGATTTTAGCATGAATCTGTGGGATAGTCTCCTTTGTTAACACCTTTAAAATGAAGAAATGTCCATGAAATTTAATGACTCTAAATGTCACTCGACAGTATCAATAGAAGGTAACAGCGGCTTTTATCTTCTCTTCCAAAATGGTGGATTGTAAATGTCCAATCAACCACTATGCTTCGTTTATTCTGCTTTGACATTTGGACCACACCAAGCTTGTTCCCAAAATTGTTCCCATAATATGTGAATGAAACTCTGCTTGAAGGACTGGTGTGAACAAGTCAGTCCAGGGTTCGGCCCCTGGCCAAATATTCTTTCATATCAATGTAGTGTTTACCATTCTGAGCATTTTCTAACTTACGTTTCCAACTGCACATGGGGACAGGATATCACAGGGGTAGGCCAAGACACTGTTATCATCAATGGGCACTTTCTGGGTCACCAGCCTATCTCTTCCCTGTAACCATGGAAACATATACATCATCCATAGCAACCACAAGTAATATATATTTAAGCAGATAGCTTAACTTAAACTTCATAACTGTCTTCATTATAATAACAGTAGAGAAAGAACCCTATTATATTTTGGTGAATTTTATCCTCATAGTTTTGGTGACATAAAAATGAATAAAGAAAAATCATTTGATATTTACTATCAATCAAATATAAACTATATTTGACTTACGACTTGAGCAAATGCATCATTGACATCATCAATTCGCTTCTGGTTGCAATCAGTGACATATATGTGTTCCACCCCTTTTTCCAACAGGTCCTCAATCAAGATCGTTGCTGCAATTGAACAGCTTCCATTAAAATCTTGTAGCATGTGTAGCATCAACAATATTTACAAACATAATGTAATTTAACAATACCAATTAGATTTGTAACTAATATAATTAACATTTTTATCATGATAAATCAGAATCAGATTTTTTATGAAATTATCAAAGCAATATATGTCTCACTAATTAACTACAATGGTGTGAATTATCTCACTGAATAACATCAATATTTCCAAGACGGAACCCTGATTTTAAAATGACAAAATAAAATAAATTTCGTAGAAGCTGGCTGTAAATTTGGTTTGTACATGGGTTTTCAAAGTTTGTTGTATTTTTTAAATTTTGCTGAATACTGTGTAATGTGTAAACCAAATTTAAGCGAGCAACTAAGATAATATGGGTGTTTACTGCTAAAAACCAATGATGTGTTATGCCGTTACTATAGCAACAGGTCATCAATTGCCTGGATACGGGGAGAGATGTCTGAAACAAAGCATACCGCCAGTTATGCAGCTCAGGCAGTCAAACTACCATGGGAACAATACAAAAATGTAATCTAATCGAGAAATATACTCCATAGGGAAATGTTAATACATATCTATATACTTTTAAAATACATGAAATATGTTACTTCAGTTAAAATGAAAGTGGCATCATATACTAGAAGAAAGCTTAAAGAATGATATGATGAATGATATTGGCTTCAGTTTGTAAGCAGATAACTCATGTGTTGTACTGACCCACATTGCCTGTCCCCTGGATAGCTATTGTCTTCCCATCAAGCGAACCCATGTCCAGGAAATCTAGGGCAGCCTCCATGGCACAAACCACACCTAAAATGAACCCATATATGATTAAGTGATACCAGGTGTGTTATGCATATACTTGTTTATAATACATACCGTACAGGTCACTAGCGACGTCTCACCTTGGTGCATTGAAAGGTGTATCGAATGACGCCAGTACGACATCAGCGCACCGAGCTGCACCATGGCGCATTTAAACGATGCATCGATTGGCAAGCTGTATAATTATAGTACCCAGCATAAGTTTTTGTTGCATACTTTGATGTACTGTAGAAAATAGAGGATATGGCTCTACTTTAACTCTACATGAGTTGTGACACTGAATTGTGACACTGGGCCTCTAGGAAGACCAGTTTTTGTACTGTTGGAGCAGAGAGTAATTAAAGACATAATGTTAAAGTCTCCACTGGGCCTTATGGGCCTTATTTTTTAATTTTAGGCCAAATTTTGAAGAAAATGGGCCTCAAAATTTCAAAATTTGGGCTCACTTCTTGATTTTAGGGGCCCAAAATTTTTTTCCCCTTCAATAACCTTAGAAAGGTCAAAGAATTGTTTTTTGGATCCAATTTTTCTGATTGCAACCACATGGTGACTGGCATTTTGTCATCACATATAAATAATAATATCAAAGGTGCAAAGGCAATCATTGAAGAATCTAAAAAGCATAATTCTAACTCCCAAGAGAAGGACAAGTTCAATCATGATAGAGAATTTCTAAGATCATAATTGTAAAAGCAATTTGAAAATGTGAAATTTGATATAGACTGTACAAACCAAATACACAGAACATTGACTTACCATAAGCAGTGTACTCCGAGGGATTCCCTAGGCCACCATTGTCACTGGAAACATGGGACACATAGCGACTACGCTGATACATCAACATGATGTCCTGGGGGCAGATCCCAGCGCCATCTCCTGGAACTAAACAGAAACAAATTTGATCATGCATACTTATGGATGCAACATAAGGGACAGGTCAAAGGCTTGAACAAATTAGTTTTGAATTTTTTGAAGTTCAAGCAGGAAAATGACACCTGACAACTTCCACTTTTGACAAAAGTATGTCACAGCCTGTATGGACCACAAAGCTTACAAGCTAAGAAATTAATTCTCAATGGTCAATGACATTGCACTGCACTGACAATTATAAAAAGCATTTGACAGTCCATTTCCAAGTAAGGGAATCACCTAATAAATAAATATAACAAGGCATTTACATGCAAAGTGTCACCACCTCCCATTTGTTACAGATGCCAAACACCAACCACTGAATGCCAAACACCAACATTAACTCCCAAACACCATCCACATAAAAGTTGGAGACCATAACATTTTGATGACATTAAAAGAGATAGCTGTCAAGTTATGAATCAGATGGGGAAAATGATTAAATATATCAAAAATTCAAAACAACATTTCGAGGTTACACAGTACTGTACTATTCTTTAACTTTTCTCAGCCTTACAAAATATCATATACTGTAAACTATGCTCCTTTCTTGATATGAATACTTACTGAAACAACCATTAAGAGAGGTTAGGAAATCTCCATAGTCGAAAAACATTTTCTGTCTGAAGTCTGGCACAAGATGCTGATTTTCAGGTGGTTCAGCAATAATCCCCTTGCCTCCTCCATTCCTGCAAAACACATGAAATTGGACGTGTCATTAAATGCTCAATCAGTCTATAAAGTATAAATCAGCTATTTTAAAACAGTATGCACCTATGTATGTACCTATTTTCTTGAGGGTGGGGATGAAAACCAAGGTAAGTGTCAGTACAGGAAAAATTACACGTGACAGAAATATTTGAGTTTTTGGTAGGATTAAACACAGTATTTTTTTTTGGGGGGGGGGGGGAATCTGAGCATTTGTAGAATTAGTTTTGAGAGAAAACAATACTGTATTGATATTTTGACCTGATGCCTTCAAATGACCCATTATTAAATGTAAGCAGCGTATAACTAAAGAGACTGAATGATATCAGCATATAGGGATTGTTAGGCTACGTGTAAAAGTTCCAAATAATTCATATCAGTAGAGTCATTTCATACCATAACACACATAAACATAACCATTTTACTAACAGGTAGATGAATGGGTGAACGATGTCCTTTTTACCAACTTCATTCTTTAGTAATGAACTGTGATACTAAGAATTTTATTTAATACGAAGAAAAATATTTTTAGCATACAGGTGTGTAAACAAAACCATCAAGGTTATTTGAAAGTCAGGTCAAAACAATAATACTTTTTGTCAACTCCACTTCAAAATGTGCAGTCTTAGAGTGCATTCATTAAAGCAACATATTCATTATGTATGGAATAATGCATCAAGTTTAAGTTGTTTCTTTGCTAAATCCTTCTTTAACACGTAGTTAGGCATAATAGTGACTTAATAATTTAAAGGACATTTTACACATAGCTAGGCAAGGTGTGTACAATTCCACCCAATCACAACATGCTATAACCATAAATAAAAATAACGCATCTGTTGTATGGTTGTCATTGTGATAAATGGACTCATATATTAAAATTGATACTTTGCCAACTTGACCCTTGCAAAAGGTTTCATCAAAAATATGTTTTTTAGTGATTTTGTATCTTTTAGGTGATTTTGTAGAAAATATTTTGTAATGTGTAAAAAGAATTAATGCCCGAGACTCGATGCATTGTGGCTCCTCAAAAAATTGACTGAGAGATCAGACAACCTGAATTTTTCATCAGTTGATATACATGCCTTGTACTTATATGGATAGCTGGCTCAATAATTTAGCAAAAACAAAACCAGACTTCTCTAATACTGGTAATTTCAACTAAAAATAAAAATGATCTACGGATATAGTCTTATAATGGGAAAATTGAGAATTTCCTACTTAATTATAGTTCCTGGTGGTATAATAATAATACAATATTTGTTTTGAGCTAGCTGTATCCACAATTCGCAGAATATAAGCACTGATGAATAACAAACACATCATCTTTGTTTGGTAAATATCTCTAAGTGTCCTTGAAGTTGTTCCTATAAAAGGTCTTTAAATAAGAGATATAAACAAAAGCACAAACAAATTCAAAATGAAATCAGCAATTTTCTTGTTTGCGGTATTGGTAATTGTGAGATATGAGACGAATTCTGCTGCATTAGCCGGTGGAGTGGATTTCTCAAGCCCACCTCTTAAAACAGGCAAGTTTGGAACAGGGAATCTAAATTATAAATTTTCTGATATAAATGTTGACTTTTATCTAAGTTACTGGATTATTTAATCAAAAGTACACAATTTTGAATATTTTCATTTTTTCTCTTTAAAAGAGAGCTTTATCTAATCATTACTATTAGCCTATTTGCACCTTTTTAATTTCAAAGAAAATTAATTCACATTTTAAAATAAATTACAAAAATTAATTCACTTTTTAAAAATTACAAAAAGAAGGTTATATCGAAATCTATTTATGTTGCATCATGTATTTACATAGATCTAGTAATTAAAAATATATAGGGGTGATTTAGGATCAGAATTACAGATAATGAGCTTTAGTTTTAAAGAAAAATGATTATCATTAATTGTGAAATTTTACAAAAGTAAATTTTCTATTAATTACAATACAAACCTATTCCATGACTTATGCTTATACCCCTAATTTGGAAAAATGGACGAGTCTAAAAATATCAAAATACAAGACCTTACACCCCTATATATACCAATATATGTGCATGCCTTCATAAATAGTACGCAGTAAAACTTGATAAATAAAACATACCAAATAAAATACTGCGGGGAGGCTGGGTGGGCCTCAGGTCATGGAATAGGTTTGTATTGTAATTAATAGAAAATTTACTTTTGTAAAATTTCACAATTACATACAATCCAACCTATTCCATGACTTATGCTGAATAAAAAGCTATGGTGGAGGGAGAAAACCCAATAACAAAGTAAGAATAAGATAAACATATTACCATCCTACTGTGTCACACAACAAACCAGTCGTCCTGTGATTGAAACATCCATTTCCTATCCACAGCAGAATCCTGAACGGAGACTGCATTATGTCTTAGGTATCATAGTTTTGGTGAAAACCATATCTATAATACACTATGAAGCAGGCAGGTATGATGAACAAAAGTTACAACAGTGACAAGCCCCTATGTAGGTCTTCAAGGGCGTTACTGAAGTCAGACGAACTGAACAACAGAGCACCCCTCTACAATGCAGTAATGTACCTAACATCTCATCGGTGTCCTACTAGAATCCAACATCTAAGGAAGGGATAAACTTACTTAGTAGAATGCTGGATGGAGACTGCATGATGTCCTAGAGATCCTAGTTTTGGTGAAAACCACATCTATAATGTACTAAGAAGCAGGCAAGTTTGATGAACAAAGTTACAACAGTGACATGCCCCTATGTAGGTCTTCAAGAGTGTTCCTGAAATCAGACAAACTGAACAACATAAAATATGGAGACTGCATGATGTCCTAGGTATCATAGTTTTGGTGAAAACCACATCTATAATACACTAAGAAGCAGGCAAGTTTGATGAACAAAGTTACAACAGTGACATGCCCCTATGGAGGTCTTCAAGAGTGTTCCTGAAATTACATGAACTGAACAACAACAAAAAAAAAATATGGAGACTGCATGATGTCCTAGGTATCATAGTTTTGGTGAAAACCATATCTATAATGCGCTAAGAAGCAGGCAAGTTTGATGAACAAAGTTACAACAGTGACATGCCCCTATGTAGGTCTTCAAGAGTGTTCCTGAAATCAGAAGAACTGAACAACAAAAACATCCCCTAAAATGCAGTAATATCCCTGACATCTAACTGGTGTCCTTCTAGAGTCAAAAACATCTACACCAAGGAAAAACATAAAAGTTACTTGTTGTAGACAGCTCTCACTAAAACCAGTTTTTGAAGATTTTATCTCTATCACTGTGACATTCCACAAAGAAAAGTTTGTAAACTTATTGTGGGAAGCCCAAGACCATGTCTTTGAAGACCATGTCTTTGAAGACAATGTAAGGGATAAACTAGTCATCCTTCTTCAAAGGACTTCATTTATGCTTAAATTAAGAATTTACAAGTACAGTATTTGTATTTATAAGTATTTTATATACTTGTAAAATACCCTTTCAGCAAGGATGAGACTAGTGTGTAAGGCAAAAGAAGATATTGCTCTAATTTATACATGGCCGTATCTTCCCTAAAAGTCTACTTTCTGCTGGAGCATTTGTAATTGCATGAGAAAAAAGTAGATTAACCATGATAACAAGATATAAGGGTAATGTTCTGAAGTACCCCCATTTCTTGTAAGGTATAAACAGTCTGTGCCTAGTCCCTATGTAACCTGTATATAATGAACACCAAGGTTTGATAGGGCATTGTTTTAGGGACCATACTACTACTAGGAACTGATAAAAACCAGTTGATAGTTGAAGATCCACTGTAAATGTGGACATGGGGAGACCCTCAAGGCAGTCCAGACCAATATAGAAGTGTCTGACTTAAAGATCTAGATTGTAAAGATGGGTAAGTTGCCAAACATTTCCAACCGAATGAAACTATATCCCTTAAACTCTAGATACAGCTGTGTACAGTGTACTCTGTGTTCCAGAGATACACCAACACCTGTGTAGGCAGTAGACACTAGTATACAAAGCTAACATTGCTCCAAACCAAAGATATCTACAAAAGGAGGCTCATCCTACTTCCTAATAGTAGAACTTACCAGAATCCTTCAATGACAAAACAGAGCCATACAAATTGTTGGATCTACAAATCCATAAACCTAGACTCATGGAGTGATATCTTAAGGTAAACCAAGTGAAACATGAAGTTGTCCTCAAGAACAGATGAGTGACAAATACCGAATCTCCATCTATTCATTACATAAAGTACTGAACAGATTGCCACAGTTGTACATAAAAGTACTTCAGTATAATTGTGTACATCTCCTTAAAGATAAACAAATCAAGACAACATTCTATTCCAATCCAAACTAAGAATTGACCGAATAAACATCTTGATGGTTAGCCTGTAGCGTATACTGTAGGTTGTTGGATCCACAATTGTTGGTCTAAAAACAATACAAGTAGGATGTTCTACAGATTAATGGTATCTTCAGATGGCAAGGATATCCATCTGTAAAAGATAGTGACAGTAAAAATAGTATACACTGCTGCATAACAAAAAGTTACTGCATATAGCATATAGAATTGCTCCTAAGATCCACATGATTCCTGACCAAGACCAACCTATCAGTTGCTCTAACCAAGTTTGCAGTTGACAGACTAGTGGCCTAGTGGTCTATTAAACTGATTAGTCCATCTGTTAGATAGAATCAAAAGCACATATCCTAAGTACTATACATAATGTAAAGTAGTACTACAAGTGTGTGCAGTAGCCTGTTGATTTACATGATTCATGAAGTGGACCATGTCTAGCAGTAGCTCTATCAAAATTTGCTGTTTGCAGGCAAATAGCATCTTAAAAAGCATAGTCTATCCATCTGTCTAAAAGTATAAACAGCATATATCACAAAAAGACTGTTCATACAAGAACTAATGTAAATGTTTACAATAGGTTGTAATCTTTCAGTTGCTCCATTCAGGTTTTAAGTTGACAGACTAAAGGTAACTTTAACTGACTAGTTCCTCCATCTGTCTAAAAGTATCAAAAGTACATATATAGCATTAGCATATATTCCTGAAGTATAAAGTGATGCGCAAGTGCACTATGCAACTATGTACAGTAGCTTGTTGGGTCAACATAAAGCTTGACCTGGAACAAGCCCTTCAACTGCTCTATTCAGGTTGAAGTAGACATACTAGTGACATCTATTTGCAAAAAAAAATACAACCCATACCCTAAGAGCCAAACAGTAATCAACAGTAACTTTAAGTAAAGTTGAATTAAAGTTGTAGTTCAATGAACAAATAGTTAAATGGATCACAGAAAAAAATTACTTTGAGTGAAATCATTAAGCAAATCAAGCCAAACTGCTTCATATATGTTGAACAGTTGAACAGATAACCATACTCACCAAAGTAGTAACTTTTGGGAGTGATGATGCCAGGAGTAGTATATAGATCAATCTCTAATAGTCAATACTGGTCCTAGCCCCAAAAAGCCACAGTTAAATGCTTAAAGATGTAATGAAGAATATACAAAAAGCATCTAACCAACCATGCTAATGTAGGTTATATCTCATCTAATGCTGGATGAGCAATATAAAACTAAAATTAAGCCATTTGAATAATAAACGCATGATACATACCAGTAAGCTTAGAAGTAATGGGTTTCCAAAAAGGACTCTTTAAGATGTAAAGTAAGAGTAAAGTTACTCTGTCTTAATCTGATAAAGGATGTCCTGGGCAAAAAATAAGTGCTAAATTGATAAGAACTATATCCCTACCAAAGTAAAAGCTCTGTAGATTCTTATGAAATGACATAATGTATGACGTTGACAAAAACTGTCATAGTTGTTTGAACTCCAATCTAATAACAGAAAAATAGGAGAACCAAATATAGACTTCAAAAGACTAAAGTTGAAGTAAATCTCAACAATCTCTACTTGCAGAGTGAAAAACTAAGCTAATATAAGGGAAAAAACATACAGTCTGAGAACACCTCTTATGATGGAGGACTGTAATGCTAGATGTAAACTAAGAGGAAAATAGTTATCATTCTTTAATTTCATGCTGTAGCAGAAAAGTGAAATAAACCAGAATGATTGAACCAATAATGTATCCAAAGTAATGTGAAGTTAAACTGAAGACTACTAACCTAGTAAAGCAACATCAGTATGTGTTGCTACATAGTCGTAGAATAAGTGTCATACCCAAAGGGTAAAACTCCTTAAGCAAGCAAGAAAACATGGTTAATATAAGAAGCCTTATAACATCTCTGAACAGAATTGTCAAAAACTAAACTTCTGCCAAAAACAGAGATTAGTTGACTGCTGATGTATTCTAAAACACTAAAAGTGTTAGTTACAACGAAAAATAAAAACATGAATGAAATAGATGAGGTCTATGCCACAACTACGAATAAATGTAACTCTCCTTATAACATAGGAATAAGACTGGTTACTCAGAAAAACTGAATAAAACCAAAAAACACAATGTACCACTAACTACAGAAGTGTACAGATGTGAAAGTACTTCATACAAAGAGAGGCTACTCTGGAGTATGAAAACAAAAACAAAACAATCAACTCACTCTAAAGCAAGCTATCTAGAAATGATATTGTTGAAAAGCTTATCTCAGCTGGAGAAATGCAAGTGAAAAACAAACTGCTTACTCCAAACATTGGATAGACACAAAAGTATATGAGTGAATAAAAACACTCATGAACTACTAGGTCAAAATTACATAAGAATTACACCATAAGAGTGTAAATCTAAAGGATTATTACACTGTCCTAATACTCTAAACAATAAAAATGTGTAAAGAGTGAAAGGAGTAAAGGTCACTTTTAATAAAGGACAAGAGTGTACCTGGAGTGTTCCTAGAAAAACCCCAACCTACATTTAGTATGTATCCAACAGACCGAATATAATATTCGGTCTGTTATGATTGATATATTTCCTGTGGAAATCTCGGTGATATTTTTTGCACATAAATTTCTCGTTTATTACAGGAATGTTCACCTTGAAAATTGGTGAATATGTTGAAGAGATGTTCATCTTAAACTAGAAGCAAAAATATTTGTATAAGGCGGGTACAAGTTGATATAAAATAATGAAATGTTCAGACTCACCAAAACTTCAGGATGTGTTTATAAGTACATCGCGAAATCAATGTCAAGGACGTTTGAGTTCACGAGATCCAAACGAGATATGCAAATTTTGAACTTTGACAACACATGACCACTTGATTACCTCGGCCTTCTTCATGAATATTTCCGCTCTATTTACTATAAATGAAGAAAATTAATCGGGATAATGATAATAAATGACTAGATCTAATAAATTCCCGCACAAATGGAATTTATCAACACGCTTCCGTCCGCTCCACGTGTTATTTGTTTACAAATAGACTGACGTCACTGGCTAAATCTCGTTTATCGTGAGAATTGGCATTGCCAAAATGGCTTGACCTAATCAATGGCTTCGCTACAAGAAGCGTCTGTACATTTTATGAATATCTTCAGTAAGAGGACAATATACGAAAAAATAATATTGTAAGTACTTTATAAGGTAATCATTTTATCATTTAACAAACTTATTTGTAACATTTATACAACACCACATTTTACAATAGGTGACTTACAGTCTGAATATTTATTCAGACGAAGGATACAGTCTAAACCTACATTAAAGAATACAATGTAGGTCAAAAATAAGTTCAACTAGTCTGAACTCATTATCCTTCAACCAGCATCTATCAGCTTTCTCATAAGAGAATGCTAGCTAAGATGTGGACATGAAAAATAGTATCCACTGGAGGGAAAAATGAAATAACTGACCTTCATCTTGCATCTGAAGTGAACCTTAGGTAACCATAAATGATCGAGCAGAAGAGTGACTTATGAAGCTCTGTCTAAGTATCTTCTGTAACTGTAGGATTCTAGAGACTCCTGGACATCTTCAGTGACTCAATAGTTGCCATGCAACATTGTTCACTATCTGTCCTAAAGGTCTGCTACTCTGCTTTCTAGGGATCTGTGACAGTCCATAGAAGAGACTTTTTCCTATTCTAGTTCAAAATATTGAATGATTAGATTCTAATAACCTTCTTGGTAACCAATAAACATGCCTATATCTGCCAGCAATTTGCCTATTAAATAACAAACTTCTAGCAAACACAGTCACTAAGTTAGACTCATGAAAAAATAACCATCTTTCCAGTTCAGACGAGTACTATTTATGAAGGCATGCACATATATTGGTATATATAGGGGTGTAAGGTCTTGTATTTTGATATTTTTAGACTCGTTCATTTTTCCAAATTAGGGGTATAAGCATAAGTCATGGAATAGGTTGGATTGTATGTAATCACACCCGGTGATCGTGAAAATGGGACGGAGGGGGGGAGCAGGCAATTTCTGCAAGAAAATTCAACAAATCTGAGAGATTTATTTTTTCAAGAAAAAGTTTACTATTGAATTGCTGAATTGATAGGCGCACGGTATGGTAAAATATGTTAGGTCTTCTGGGATTTTTTCTGAAACGATAGGCATCTAAGATATGAGATCTATTAAAAAAGGCGCGAGGCAACCAACAGACACAAATCAACGTTTTAGCTATAAATCAAGCAACAATGGTCTACACGACCTGTATTAAATACTTGTAAGTGACGATATCATAACTAAATTAATGCCATTGCTGAATTTATAAAATAAGTTTCAATACGTAAAATAAAAAATAATCGAAAATAATTATGGGACGGAGGGGGGGAGCAATATGTATCATGTCTTAATACATATTGCTCCCCCCCTCCGTCCCAAAATTATTTTCGATTATTTTTTATTTCACCTATGGAAACTTATTTTACAAAGTCAGCAATAACATTAATTTTGTGACGATAATGTCACTTACAAGTATTTATAACAGGTCATGTACACCATTGTTGCTTCATTTATAGCAACAACATTGACTTTTGCACGTTGGTGCGTTGCGCCTTTTGTAATAGATCTTATACCCTAAAAGAGTATCGGTTGAAAAAAAATCCTAGAATACCTAACATATTTTACAATACCGTGAGCCTATTTATTTAGCAATTCAATAGTAAACTTCTTCTTTAAAAAATAAATCTTCCAGATTTGTTGAAATTTCTAGCAGAAATTGCCTGCTCCCCCCCTCCGTCCCAATTCTACGATCACCGGGTGTGGTAATAGACTTTATCTTTGTACGTTATATAAGTAAGACTACAATAACAAGCCAAAGTAGATTAAACTTTCTATGAAGACTTTAACAAATCTATTTTTGTTACCACAGAAAATATTGCCCTGAATAAGCCAACAAGCCAATCATCTACCTATATAACTGGACATGCTTCGGCAGAATCTTACAAAGCAGTGGATGGCTCAGATGACAGGGACTGGTACCATGGTTCATGTACGCACACCCAGAATGATGTGAATGCCTGGTGGATGGTAGACCTGGAGGGAGAATACTTAGTGCAATCTGTCAGACTTGTCAACAATATGAACACTGTTCCAGGTAATGACATAAATGACATATTGAGATTTTTAGTATACAGTAAAACCTGTCTTAGTGAACACCTCTCTCTAGTGAACACCTGTCCCTAGTGGACACCCTTCCTACGCACATAGTCCACTGACTTCTGTATAAATTACCCTCTCTCTAGTGAACACCTACCTACAGTGAACGTTTTTTCTTGGCAAAAAAATGTTCACTATACACAAGTTTTACTGTACTAATAAATGTACGCATATAAATGTAAAAAGAGATTCACTGAGAGCCAGTAGTCTACAGGATGGGTGCACTAAAAATACAGTGTTTTAAATTTTGCAAGAACTTAAGATTATACATTTGTTTCCAACATAGCATAACTATAACTTCAGTAGTATTTTTATGGTTAGAAGGGATGTGAATGCAAGTAACTAGGTGAAATTGTGTATTTATGGTCAGGAATATGAGCTTAAGGGCTTCAATCAAAAAGTACTGAAAAACAGACTAGACCTCTTTGTAAGGTGAAGGTATTATAGTTTCATTTACGCTATAAAGATTTTTTACTCTTATTTGTTGCAGCACGCTTGGCCAATTTCAAGATAGAAGTTAGTAAAGACAAAATAACCTGGGAACTTTGTGCACATCATGGATCAACACTTAACAGTGTAAACATGGACTGGCAACTCTTTGACTGCCCCGCTCTTATGATTGGCCGCTATGTCAGGGTGCAGCTACAAGGGACAAACTATCTCATACTTTGTGAGGTTGAAGTAAATGGAAGAAGATCTATTACAAATTAGTTTGAAGTCAAAACTAACAAGGCATTAACATGACAAAATGTCACCACCTAAAACAATTTGGTCAATTTAAAGCAAGTTGGAAAATACCTTTTGACCTTAAGAAGGTTTGATTTGAACTTCTTAGAACATGTAGATGATTTTGAAAAAAAAAATTCGTCAATTTGAAGCAAGTTGAAAAAATACCTCTTTGACTTTTTTTGACATTGAGAAGGTCATTGAAGGTCAAATGTAAAGTAAGATTTGAACTTCTGAGAACATGTAGATGATTTTGAAAAAAAAATTAAGTAAATTTGAAGCAAGTTGAAAAAAGACCTTTTTGACCTTGAAAAGGTCATTGAAGGTCAAATGTCAAATCTAAAGTCAGATTTGAACTTCTGAGAACTTGTAAAGTCAAATTTGAACTTCTGAAAAGATGAAGATGATTTTGAAAAAAAAATTTGGTCAATTTGAAGCAAGTTGAAAACAGACCTTTTTGACCTTTTTTGACCTTGAGAAGGTCATTAAAGGTCAAATGTCAAATCTAAAGTCAGATTTGAATTTCTGAGAACATGTAGATGATTTTGAAAAAAAAAATTAGTCAATTTGAAGCAAGTTGAAAAAAGACCTTTTTGACCTTGAGAAGGTCATTGAAGATCAAATGTCAAATCTAAAGTCAAATCTAAAGTCATATTTGAATTTCTGAGAACATGTAGATGATTTTGAAAAAAAAATTTAGTCAATTTGAAACAGGATGAAAAAATACCTTTTTGACCTTTTTTGACATTGAGAAGGTCATTGAAGGTCAAATGTCAAATCTAAAATCAGATTTGAATTTCTGAGAACATGTAGATGATTTTGAAAAAAAAATTTAGTCAATTTGAAGCAAGTTGAAAAAAGACCTTTTTGACCTTTTTTTGACTTTGAGAAGGTCATTGAAGGTCAAATGTCAAATCTTAAGTCAAATCTAAAGTCAGATTTGAATTCCTGAGAACACGTAGATAATTTTGAAAAAAATTTTTAGTCAATTTGAAGCAAGTTGAAACAGACCTTTTTGACCTTTTTTGACCTTGAGAAGGTCATTGAAGGTCAAATGTCAAATCTTAAGTCAGATTTGAATTTCTGAGAACACGTAGATGATTTTGAAAAAAAAATTTAGTCAATTTGAAGCAAGTTGAAAACAGACCTTTTTGACCTTTTTTGACCTTGAGAAGGTCATTGAAGGTCAAATGTCAAATCTAAAGTCAGATTTGAAGGTCAAATCTAAAGTCAAATCTAAAGTCAGATTTGAATTTCTGAGAACATGTAGATGATTTTGAAAAAAAATTTAGTCAATGTGAAGCAAGTTGAAAAAAGACCTTTTTGACCTTGAGAAGGTCATTGAAGGTCAAATGTCAAATCTAAAGTCAGATTTGAACTTCTGAGAACATGTAGATGATTTAGAAAAAAATTGAAGTCAGTCTAAACAGTATTTGTTAAGTTATAGGAAGTTGTAAGAAATTGTTACAGACGCCAACCGCCGGACGCCAACCTCCAACCTCCAACCGCCGGACGCCAACCGCCGTCGCAAAAAAACGGAGACCATAACAATATGTCACCACTTTTGGTGGTGACATAAAAACGTTTAAACATATGGTTATTTGAAAATGAGACATTGTCCTTGATATGTGAAATACTGGTTGTCAGTAAAGCCTCTTTACACTTATAATACAAAGATGTCTAGTCTGTGTAAAGAGTAAAAAAACTTTATGGACATTTTGTGTGGATGGTTTTGCTATATTTAGATGCAAAAATTGAAGATTTTTTTAGTTTTTAATGTAACATTCTAGAAGGGGTGTTGAATTAGCTTGTATTACAGAGAATTCAGTGAGGGGAGAGCACGGAATATATTTAGCTGAAAAACATTTATATGACAACAACAGCTTTATCACATATCTAATTTGTTAAATGTTCATACTTGACTAATGCCTAGGTCACATTTGCTCTGATTCATCAGCCGGCGCCTGGCCAATTGAGTATCCTGTTCACAATTGTATTCAGTTTTGAACAGAATACTCAATCGGTCGTGCATCGCCGATGAATCGGAGCAAATGTGACCCAGCCATAAGGAGCATTATATTATTTGAATGTTGTGTTGTATTGTGTTTAGTTGTGTCTAATAGATAAAACTGTGGACTTATTTATTAACTACATACATTTTGGAATAGTCAATCACAATTGTTACACCAGTCATATGTCTTTTAAATAAATAAAATGAAAAAAAAAATTATCATTTTTACATATTAAATTATACCATGGTCTTTCATAATTAGATTGCAATTTATTAGACTTCAGATTAGAAATCTGGACTCTATTGTTTTTGTTAATTTTCTTATCATTGCTTCTTATACTTATAACATCTTGTAATTGGAAAAAATGAATGGAAGGGGAGATTTCTGCTAAAAAATTCAACAAAGTCTGATGATGGGAAATTAGGTCAACTTTTTATCAAGGTCAAAGGTAGAGATCTAGGTCAAGTTTTGAGTTTTCACTATTTCACTATTTTTCTCTTTTGTCCTTCATTATATTTTTTTATTCCTTATTTTGTTCCTAGTAAACAAATGAAAGGCAAATTGTTTTTTATTACTCTTCCCCTTTACAAATTATTGGTGTCTAAAGCCTAGGTTAGTGTAATATCATAATGTCAGGAGATTTTCTTGGAATTCTGAATCTAAAATTACATGCAAGGGTAGGGCAGCTGTATTGTAGTAGCAACTTATTATCAAGGGTCATTAGATGATGGAACTTACCAAAGGCCAGCAAGTGCAGATTTGATTCCCATGGCATGTGAGAGTCTCAGTCCATCTTTCAAATAGTCGACAACAGTCTTATACCTCCAAAGTCGTATGCCCCCTACCTATAACAGTTAGATAATTCTCTTTATTGCTAATATGATAAATGATAAATCACCTAGGAAATTAACCAAACCTGTCTGGCCCAGTTATCTACTCCTGACGTCGTAGATCTACGACAATTCAGAATCGGGAGTAGATTACTGGGCCAGACGGGTTTGGTTACTAGGAAATACGCTCCATGCATTAATTACTTGATGGGCACTATGAGATGCATTCAGTGTTAGATTTGGGGTTATTTGATGTGTTTTTTCATTGGAACATGCAAATAATAAGAAGGCCTCAAAATTCTAAAGTCTGACAGAAAATGGTAATCACTACCGTTTAATTATATGAGGGGGTATCTATCAAGGTCACAAATTATATATTTAAGATAAATAGACCAAAGAGCAGGGGTAATATTGTCGAATACACCCCGAAAGCTCGAAAGCTTTTGTGCCTAGCCCTAAGGGGTGTATTCGATGATATTACCCCTGCTCTGAGGTCTATATTACGATTGGAACATGAAAACTCATCTGAATGTTTCGAATATTCATAATGGTCCGCCATTACTACGACCCGCAGTTATGACCTCACACATTACACTTATTACCAGGGGTATTCTTCGCGAATATACCCCGGGTGAAATGTTGACTTTTGTTTACAGTTTATAGAAGGCGTGAATACAGTCATGTTCGAATATACTTTGGATGACCCTCTTTAAAAATCATTGACAAAGAGTCATTCAAAAACATACCGCTTGACCCCTTGTTGTGTTCCATAGAAATGCACTTAGAAGACATCCTGACCGCATTCCAACTTGGAAGAAAATACCTTCATGATCCTTAAAGGCTTCATTTGATTCTTCGTTCATGTAATCAGCCAATTCTTGTAGTTCTCTATGTGAAGCTTTCGCCTTTTTGCTTTGACGATCATAAATAATGTGACATCTCTTTATTTTACACTTTTGCAAATATGTCACAAACTCAGAGGGTGATTTTTCCAATAATGTTGCGCATTCTAAGTTGTCTTTTGACTCCGAGGTAAAACAGCGCACTTGTCGATAATATCCATCCACTGATAATTTGCTTTGATTCAAAACATGACAATTCAACTGTGCAACATTGTTCAATTTCTTGTTCAAGTTGTTTACATTTTTGAAATTTCGGATGGAACAATTAAAACACAATGGAACAGTCAAATATTGTTGTTTTCGTTGTATGCTATGTTTGCCTAAATAGTTCAATACTTGTGGTGGTTTATGCAACCGGGATAAGGCCATAATATGTAAAAACAGTGAAGAAATATTTTGTTTAGATATTTCCGGAAATGCCTAATTACCAACTACTTGTGGTACTTTCACATAGAAAATAATTTGACGATATTCACATTAATATTTAAATATATATAAACAAAAGCAATAATATAACAATAGGATTTCTCCAAATATTTAGTTGTGTTGTTTGATCCAATGGAAAACATAAATAAAGCTAAATATTTAAGCGTATTAATATCATATAGTTCCCATAAAATGACGTCATTGGGGAATCCCAAACATGGCTTCTGGAGGAAAAAGTCAGAAAATTCATGTCCATGAGATTCCTTATGATATACGGTTTGAGTTATGTAGAATCCTTGATCCAAATAACAATTGGAAGAAAATAGGTAAGTACGTTTCCAATTGATTTCATTCAATAACATTTTATTGTGTTATAATGGTCAATTTCAGGTTTCAATTCAGTTCCCAGAATCAGAATTAATTCCTGTCAAATTACAACATTCAGACAAGGAAGTAAATAAAAATTATTTCCCTACCTTGCAATTGGCCATTGAATGAGGAAGTAGAAATGTATTGAGAGGTACCAACTCAAACAAGTTGTATGGTGTACCTGGGTATTTGCGGAACTTACCTGTTATTACATGAATTATGAATGAGATCCATGTCCTGAGTGCCCTACCATACATCGCACATGTGCGCAATCATACAATTAGAAATTTGAAATGAATAAGGGATGGAATTAAAGGACATGAGACAGAGCATACACGAAATGGATAATAGGCCTGTATTTCATTTGTTTAAAACACCGAAACTATATTTTGAATTGTGTCAGTTGTTAAATGTCAACAACAATTGGAAAAAGATAGGTTTGTATATATCCATTTTATTGTAAAATTTATATAGTAGAATAAGTGCATGCTCTTGTATGCCCCATATGCTTTACAAAACTGTCATGCATAAACTTATTCATGAATGTTTACATCTTACTCGAGTCTCAAGATATAGTGGCCTTAGAAGAAGGTAATTCACATCTATTAGAATAATATAAACTGAAATATCTGTGCAAACTGCAAATGTGCTATACATGTAATTAAGATTACCCTGATACTGATTAAATTAGTACTTTATTACTTAAGGCGACGCTATATTAAATAAAAAGTACAAAAAATGACTGTCATATTTTTTTGATAAAGACACATGTTTTTAAAATCTGTTTACCTTGTATATGAATTGTGTATCTTGACTAATGAAACATGTCAAAGTTAACATCACACATAAACGCATTTTTCCAAACTATGAATTGGAGGTGCATGGATCCCCAAAGCTTACTCGAGTCTCTAGCTTACAGCTAGACGAAACTTCATTGATTTCGTATGTACTGTGCTACACGCACCTACACGCACATAGAACTCATTTTTAATAAATTTTATAAATATTTTTAAGAATATTAATCATATTTAGGATGAAGCGTTGCTTGTATGGATTTAGATATTTCAAAATTTCATTTCGGAGTTTGACACATGGTGAAATTTTCTCGCTGTAGCTAAAAATGGCTTCCGGTTCTGGACGTGAATAACATTTGAAATTATTCTCGCTTAAAGAAATCAAATATAACAATAGATTCAGACGGGGATGTGAGCTGATGTTCTTCAAATCTATACATAAAGGTATATTTCATATTATTATGCCATATTTACTGTGCGTGTGACACAATGATTTACAATATTTATAATACTAAGGCAGCTCAATCTTCCTCCTCAAAGCCGGAATATAGAGAAGGCTTTGGACCAAAGTAACCCAAAGCTAGCATGAAGACTGCGAAGTGAGGCTAATTTTTGAAAGTTTCAAGGAGTAGCCTTGCAACAGTCACACATTTGCAAGAGTCTAAAATTTCCACAAATCATCTTACCTTTCCCAGGAACAACGAAGGAGCATGAAAATGTGCACTTCTTGCATTGTTAGAGTATAATAAAGCTCAAACCATTGTAAATTCTAAATATTTCATGTCCACATTTTGTTTGCCGGAACTACTTCTAGACTTCCTGATTAATCCTCATGCAAGTTTTGTGACTACACCAAGTGGCATGGATTATCACTTGTATGTTTTATCTATTACAGTGTAATTATCATGATAGATACATGATAGAGGCTTTATGAATGATAAACAATGGAAACATGAATGAAGATAACTCTGGACTAAAAAATAGTTCCAGGAAACAAAATGGTGGACATGAAATATTTAGAATTCACAATGGTTTGAGCTTTATTATACTCTAACAATGCAAGAAGTACACATTTTCGTGCTCCTTCGTTGTTCCTTGGTAAGGTAAGACTATATCTGGAAATTTTGAATTCTTGCAAATGTGTGACTGTTGCAAGGCTACAGCTCCTTGAAACTTTCAAAAAATAGCCTCACTTCGCACTCTTCATGCTAGCTTTTGGGAGCCATACACCTCCAATTCATAGTTATGAAAAATGCGTTTAAATGTGAGGTTTTCTTTTATGTGTCAATTTAGTCAGGAAATGCATTCACATACAAGGAAAACAGTATACAAAATCTTCTGACTTTATCAAAAAAATATGGCTCCCATGTTTTTGTACTTTTGATTAACTTACTTTATCACAGTATTACTATTGATTTATCATTTACAAGTACATGTGTTCAAATTGATTCAGATTATTGTTCAATCAAGTCATTTAAATTCTAAAAAGCAGGAATTTTTGTTTTAAAGCTCTAATATGATTTTAAGACACTGACTGACTGATACAATAGGCAGTAGAGTATGTGCAGGTAGGGTGTTTACTAGAGACGGGTGTTCACTTGAGAGAGGTTTTCACCAGACAGGTTTTAAAGTATATGCACAATTTTTGATTCCAGCTGGAAAAGCAGGCTTTTCAAATGATGACATTGCAGTATTTGCACTTGCGATTCAGCGTCCTGGATCCTCCCCATCTGACGAGTTTCTCACTAACTGGGGACATCGTCTTCCAACTATCTCACATTTCTTTAATATACTTGTTGACCTCCACCTTCTGCGGGAGGCTAGTCTCCTAAAACATCTAGGTAGGTATATAATTTTGTTTGTTGACCCATGACAAAATGAGAGAACATAAAGCAAAACGGGCAATATCATCAATAGAGAAAACCTCCCAATAACAGCACTGAGAAAAGCAACAACATATTTTTCTGAGTGCTCATCGTTCAGGATTTTCTTAACTATACAAAGAATTTTAAAATTATTTTGTATATTATTTTATGCCTACATGTACTAGAATTACAAATGATCCAGTAATAGTACATACATTGTAAAATTAATGAGAATGTACAGTGCAAGGATATCATGTACTTAAATAAGAAATGTTAAAAGTCTAGCATATCACATTGGGATTTTTGATCAGTGGAGTAAGCCACAATTATCTGTCTACAAAAAATATTTGTCTAAAAATGCCACTGTACAGTGAAGCTGTAAATCTCATAAATCTTATAAATAATCTTTAAATATGTTACTAATAATAATATGTAAGGGACACAATCAATAGACTTGACCAATGCAGGGGAGATCACTGACTCAGATTATGTACAGGGTGTATATCATTTGCCTCTTAAGGGGGCGATGTGTACTTCCCTTTTTTAGCCAATTTTACTTTTTCATTTGATCAATGTGTTCAGAAAAAGCTAGGCTTCAAGTGCAAACTGTGATGATGGAAACTGTTTTTTAGATGTAGGCGCACCCTACCCTTTGAATTCATTTGACTTCACTTCTTAAAAGAGAGGTTTGTCTTCGTCTTTTGTAGTTTAACTAGCGACGCCCCTATATATCATGAACTTATTTGTGACTATCATATATTTTTCAGTGCCTGAGAAATGTTTGCAGAGACTACCTGGTTACCAGAAAACAGAAGACTACAAGCACAGTCCAAGTGATACAGATAAGAGGGAGACACCTAGCAAAGATGACCAACTTTCTCTTAGTAAATCAGCAAATAAAATGGGTATGCTTCTCAATGTTATAAGTAGCTCGTAACAAATTATACAGAATACATGCATTTTGAAGTGCCTTAAAGGAACACGGAGTGCCTAGAATTGATAGAGATGAGTTTAAGAAATTGGCACAATAAAACAATTTCTGTTGCTGTCATGCCTATTCTCAAAAAAGTTCAACAGTTCTATCCTTATTTTTACAATTTTATTACAATTTTAAAGGGTATCGCACAAGAAATGGAACAATTTTTAATTTTAATATATTTGAACCCCCTTGGCAAATACTATCTACAGGCCTGAGTAGATACATGTATCATGTTGCCTCCTTTAATATTGCAGATGATTCTGGGTTGCCAATGCCTCTTGACCCTGATGAACCTCCTGAATCTGAGAGCAGTAATGATCTTAACAAACCAGACTCCACAACAACAGAAACCTTATACAAAGCATCAGCCAAGCACAAACAGTTTGTTCCACTGAAATCAGAAGCTGAACCTCAAGAGTGTTCAGAACACCAAACAACACAATCCAATAAAGTTTCTTCAACAAGCAATCAGGAGGTACCAGTTGGTGGATCATCCAATCAGAATAGACTTGATGGATCATGTTTGACCAATCAGAACATTTGTCACAGTGAGCCAATTGAATCTCTTGATACAAACACAACTACATATAGAAGAGACAGTGGCAATGTTAGCTCAATCTACTCACAGCATACCGATGCTAAAGCTAGACCTAGAACTGAGAGCATCAAAGAAACAAATTTGCCTAAGCTACAAGGTGAGAATTGTTGAAACACGAAAAGCCATATTCACTAATGTGAACCATGGGCTTTCAATTAGAAAGCCTGTGGATGAACGCCCAATATTCCTTTTTTATTTAAAAGGTTTCCGATATCCTCTAAAACAATACATTGCAGGTACCTCAACTCAGTGCTTGCAGCTTCAGTTACCGGGCACACTTTAATAGCAAAAAATAAGTATAGGGGGCACCTGTAGAGGTTAATTTAACAACATCATTACTAGTACAACTAAAACATGATTGTTTAAAATCTAACGAGCCATGAAATTTTTTTTTTTATGTATTGTAAGAAACATTGTATGATCGATTTTTAATTAAATAAATTGAACATTGAATTGAATAGTATAGTTAACATGTCTTCCACCAAACACATATTCTCTATGAAAAACAAAATTTAAATTGGTGATACATATACAATATAACCATGTGTGACTTTCCTTAGGCACAAATGGAGCTAGAATCTAGTTTTCCCAGGAAAGTTATTAGTTGTGTCCCACCAATCTTCAAAAACTTTTTATCATTTAAGGTTTGCCCTTTTTGATTGCAGCAGCAAAGGAGACCAGCACTGATGTGTTCCAGATACATCCAGATCAATATTTCAGCAGCAAGGAGCTGTCCCAGGCCACAGGTGGCTTCTCTACTAAGCATGTTATAGGGCAGGGAGGCTTTGGTACAACATTCACAGGAATTGTGAGGAATACACAAGTTGCCATAAAGAAACTCACAATGGTATGTGATATTGTTGTGGACATTGAGAAGTAATTAAACCAAATACACAATAGTACAGTAAAAAGGACTGGGAAATGTGGTTAGATTATTCATTTTAATGAAACAATCAAATCTCATTGTCATGGGACATATCGCAACATCAAAATGTCATGCCATCAAAGTTTACCATGTATTTATATATTAAATTTCAAATAATTAACTGATTCATTCAAATCCTATGCCTAGCCTTATGGTGGGGGGGGGGGGTTATTCGAAGTCACTGAAATTCTGACATTTTATTGTTTAAACCCTTTATCCCTTATTTCAATTTCAGTGGGATGGTGCTGCTGAGCAACTGAGAAAATTAGAAGAATCCAAGCCTGGTATCTTCTCCTTATTTAGGTAATATTTATCTTTGAGGCAATAGAGAGACTTTGCAACTCAATTATAGCATGTTTTTTATTCCCATATAAGGTATAACTTAGGAAGCGTTTGATTACATCATCATTTATTGCACAGCTCTATACATCCATAAGTGTGATATTCTTATAAATTGTTGTCCTTCCGTAAGAATATCACACATATGGACATATAGAGCTGCGCAATAAATGAAACAATAGATACTGTATTATTTTCAGATTACAGCATAATAATATAATTCGCTTGTATGGCTGTTGCCTTGAAATGGAGTCTGTGTGTCTGGTGTATGAGCACCTAGAGATGGGCTCCCTGTCTGACTGTCTCCATAAGGAGGTAAGAGAGTAAAGAAACTTGAGGTGAAACTCAACCACAAGATGGTTATGTGCATTTGATAGCCTTTCTTATAAATGAAGCAACAGTTATACATTAGATCCACTGCCTCCCTTGTAAAATAACCCATGGATAATGATTATGTTTAGTAAAATGGCAAAGTTGTTATTATAAATCAAATCAAATATCCATTGATAACTTCATTATTGTTGCTTATCGTCAGTTTTTAATTTCAAGTTATCTTTATGTATACATTAACAAGACTTATAATGTAATTTGCATATTCCCTTTTAACTCCTATTTCAGAAAAGCACAATACCATGGCAACAGAGGCATAGAGTTCTCCTTGGGGTTGCTATGGGTTTGCAGTACCTACACGAAATGGGGGTCATACATGGTGACATCAAAAGGTATCTGTTTGATTAGCTTAGAAGGATAAGGGAAGGGGATTAGCAATTTCTGAAGTACAAGAGGTAGTCTTGCTTCCATACACCCCCCCCTACTTCAAGAACAGTTATTGTTGAAGAAGATAGGGGGAGGGGGTCCTGGGTCTTGAAGCAAGACTATACAAGAGGTCTCAGATTCAGTTCTAGTTTCAGACTATGTCTGTTCATTGCAAAAGGGTACCTGGTTTAGTGGTTTGCAATTCATATTAAAAGTATTTTGAGTTGTATGTCATGTGATCAGTGTGTTCAATAAAGGACACAGGCCTCTTCAAGATCAGACTTCCCGGTGTGCTTATCAGTGTCACATACCAAAAAGGAAGAATCATGCTCGAAATGGATTACTTCCCTAAAATGGTGGTACTGTATATAAATGAATCAGTTAGTTATTTGAAATTTAGTATATAAATTCTTTTAAAACATCTTATTCTGTTTTAGATTTACACATTTAATGATTTGAAAATATATTTTGCAGTTCCAATATTTTGCTGACTCCGCAGTTTGAAGTGAAACTCACAGATTTTGGATTGACCTGCCATATGGCCAAGCAGACTGATGGCAAGACCACCCACGTGACTGTCCAAGAGAGCAAGCGGCATATGTTCTCCAGCAAGCACTACATGCCACATGAGTTCTTTCAGAGTGGTTTCAAGTTGTATCCACAGACTGATGTTTTCAGCTTTGGTGTGGTATGTACTCATACTGTATCCTATGATGTTACAGTGCCTTATCTTGTAATGTTTTTTGATATCTATCGTTACAATAACTGACTTTTTCACTGAAATTGCTCTTACATTGTCAATATTTTTCCAATTTATGTTTTAAAGATATATGGGTTGTGTTTTCTAAGTTAAACATTGCATAAAATTCCCCTTAACATATTCTATAGTAAAGATATTTGTGTAAAGAAAGATATATGAGGCAGGGCTTGTTGCAAACAATTTTGTGATGATTATGACATACTGTCCAATGTCACATGTTGTAGGTGGTGTACGAAATATGTACAGGGCAGCCAGTTTACAGTGAAAAGTTGGGTGAATCCCTGGTACGTTATTTTTGTTTTTGTAAGAATTTCAAACTATACGTGCATTTATTGTGGTTATTCAATCATGAATCCTGTGAGGTACCCAGTCTCCACACCCTTATTATTATACTCTGAGTGCAATACTAAAATGTAATGAACTGACTCAGCATAGTTAAAGTTGTTCTGCATTTACTGAAAAAAAAGATTTAGAAAATTGGGAAATGTTATGTCAAGGCATATGTGCAGTGCTCATCTAATCATTGACATCACATCATGTACATTTTATATGTTCAAAAACTGGTGAGCATGGCACAAAAAGCTCTTTCAATAAACTGTAACTTTAACTAATTTGATTTTGAGTACAGTGTCCATAATATGTACAGTAAATATGAGCATAATGGTTATTTGTAATTTTTATCAGGAAAATTATTTTTTTAGTTTTTATACAAGCTTTCAATTGTTAAATATTCTGAAAACAGGTTGATTATATGGAGGAAAACCTGGACTTAAAAGACAAGTCAAAGTCATTAGGGCTGAAGGACTCAACAGTCTCTGATTGGCCAGAAGGATGTTTCCTGGCTTTGCTTACGCTTGGAAAGGATTGTACAGTTGCAAAAAGAAAAAACAGGCCGACAGCTTCAAAGGTATTTCAGGAAAAAGAGATATTTTTTAAAACTTAAATATGAAAACAACCATTTCTCATTAAAGGGTGACGCATATGGTTTAGCAAATCGAACGCTCGTTTCTGGTGTTGCTCACCGTTTAGTATAAAAGGCCCGATCCCGGAATAATACTCAAGGGTTCACAGGTTCGAGGTCGTTGTGTCAACACCTCTAACTGTTATATAGCATAAGTATATGATAGATCATCACACATTTATAAAAGGGTGATTATTATTTTGACAAATCAATTCCACATTTATGGGTGAAGTATCAGGATCTTCTATTTGAGTATAATAAGGAAAAATTGCATCTAAATTTCCCCACTATAACGTAATAGCACACAGCTTGGCATATGAAATATCCTACAAATGAAACAAAGCAAGACAAACCGGTTTCTAATACAAGGATTTATATTGGCTGTTGTACATGTATTCTTTGAACGCAATCACTCTTTGGATAACGTTTTCAAAATCATTATAAACGGATTACTTTTTCTCAAAGACAATTTCAATAAACTGGATTTTACAGAACTCCCCTTATTTCTTAAAAATGGACTGATCCATTTGATTCGTCTGGAGCCGCCATATTGTTTTTATACGGGATGCTAATCGGAACCCTTTAATGCTGATTGCCCCCTTTGTGGGTTTGCACTAACTCTAACTCTAACGCACATAATCAATTTTGTCTTCTCTACCAAGCATGTCACCCTTTTAATATCATTATCTTGGCAATATGAATGATGTCCTACGAAATTATGTTTTGCAGATCCTAGAGGAGTTGGAACATATCCCAATCACTGAGCCTACAGCTCTTCCAAGTAACACCACATTGCTAACTAAAGGAAGCTTTCAGAGTGATCCTGGCCCTCGTAGCTTATATGAAACCCCACGTGAACTACAAAGCGTGCCATCAGAGGGCAGCACTACACCAGACTCAGCAACACCATCTATTGGCATCACATCATTGCCAAATGCCTCTTTGGATAAAACGTCATTAGGTTCTGAGCCTAACAAGCACATACCTGAGCAAACCGAGCACATGTCCTATCCAATCGAGCACATGTCTGATGATACCAAGCAAATGTCTAATCCCACCAAGTACGAGCCTGATCCAACCAACCATAAAATGAGTTGTGATTTAATTCAGGATTCTCCCGTAAATCTTTTTAATGTACAGACAGGTGATGACCAATCTACTCCTTCTTGTGAAGAAATAAAGATAAAAGGAAAGAAAAAGTCGACAATATTTGAAATGTATGATTGTATTGATGATGAAAATCCATTATCAGACAGTGCAGAAGTGAACCCCCTTGATGGTGATGGTATGAAAGAGCTTGTATCTAAAACTATTGAATGCACAATTGCAGACAATGCTCTGGACAAAACCTTTGTTGCTACGACAAGTGGTGTTTCAACAAATATGGCCGAGAGTGATGAAAACTCACCTGGCAATATTGCTATAGCAACTGAAAACATTTTGTCTGAATCATCCAATGAAGTTTCATCATCTGATGATGTTGTTAAAGCAACCACATTTGCAGACGACAACAAACAACACAATCCTGCTGATTCTACTGTGCAAGATCCAAACTTATCTAAAATAATGCGGAAAAATAATTTGCTCATGAATGAATTCGATAATGCTGATGTGCCGAGTCTAAGAGTGACTGTGCATGAGCGAGCTCGCCGAGATGATGTCACACAAAGCATCGATGCAGAATTAAACGAGATGTTGAAACAAAGATGTGCTAAGCGCAATGATAGAAATGATGACACTTGTGAAACTGTGATAACTTCAATGAACTTGAACAGTCCAATAATGAGTACCATGTGTAAGGATATGTGACAACTGTTTAAACTCTGAACAGTCCCATTTTAGTAATCTTCACAGGATTTTTCTTAATTAAAAAGGTGCTTTATCCTGTTCTGGTAGAAACATCTCCACATTTCACCATATTGCACAGGTTCTCAACATAGTAAAGCTGTATTTGGATAAAAAAAATTTAAAAATAAAAAAAACCAACCTCATATTTTATGATATTTATTGAAGTAGTTGAGATTAAATTTATTTAACAACCTAGCCATTTAATCATGTATTATATACCTAGTTGGGCATTTGTATGTGAGCAATTATGGAAATGTTTCATTTATAACCAAACAAGATCTGCTTAATATAATGGTAGAACTTCCACATATTTCGCCATAGTTTCATAACTATAAATACTATAGCATGTTAAATCATCATATATTATGTTCAAAGGGACTGAAGAAATGAAAAAATATATTGATAATGTTTATTTAAATGTATTTATTGTTTCAAAGAGTTAGAAGATACTATATTTATACAAAAAGCTTCAATTTATTTTTCATTTATATTGTATGAAATATTGTACCAATTTCTATGTATTATTTGTGAAGGTAGCCTAGTCAAAGTTGTAATGGTAATGAAAATCACTGTCTGTATGTAATCATCACACCATTGAATATACTGTTTCCTAGTAAAGCCAAATCTAGGGACTTTTGAATGGCACTATGTATCAATTTATATATTTTTCAGGCACAACTGCTAGCTTATTTCCTTATCATGAATTGAGAATTTCTAAAACAGGGCTATCTTTAAGAAACTGATCAGTTGTTAGTCCACGATAGTCTGAAGTTTGTTGTACTTTTTGCATTCCTATGACTATCGCGGAGTTGTGATAATGTTAGTCTATGACTTTTCTGGAAATGATCCTTTGGATAGTATGTAATTATTATGAAGTTATATTATATTTTTCAAAGGATTAGACAGACAATATTATTGTCTCAGTGTCATATTATTCAGTCTGTGATTGGTTAAACAAAGGTCACATGACAAAAAATGTAATGCAATATAATGTGCAGCTTAAAAAAAGAATATTTTCGACATTTAGTTTTTCAGAAGTCCTACAGAATGAGAACTCCCTTGAAACTTGAGCTTTGTTCTAAAGAACAAATATTTTGAAACAACATTTAAATTTCAGAATGAGGTCCGGTGATTTAGCAATAAGATTTTTTTCACATAGTCATTGTATTATATATGTAATAATAAACATTTTCTTATTAATTATACATCCATATTTTGTCATTCCAGGAGTTACATAACAATGAATAATAAAACAAATATTTCATTCAGTCTATTTTCAGGGAATAACTGTGTAACTTTCACAAGAAATATTCCCAGCTTCCTGGAAAGATACAGAGCTATCCTCCAATGAAACAACTTTATTTGTATAGTATATAACAGAGATAAAACAATTGTTTGTTTTACATGTATTTATTTTTAACAATAAATAATATTTCCGGTACACATACATATAAAACTGTTTATTCTACATAATTATTTAGATTTGGCAAAATCTTCAGCTAACATTGAAACATCAATACATTCTCTGAAGTACAAATGAAATAAACTATGAAACAGTACAGAACAGTATAGTACTATAGCACAGCACAGCATGGGATAAAATAGTACAATACAGAATAATACATTCTGATACAGTACAGAGTAGTACAGTATAATACAGTACAGTACTATGTTGTATAGTGCAGCTAAACTAGTAGTTTTAATTAATAATTTCCATAGAAATTGCGAAAAACAAGTCTTGGGAAAACAAAAATACCAAATTACTCTCATATAATATCATCAAATAGACAGACTAGCTTAATAGGCGACACATGTATCTTGTACAATATGTTGAAATCTTCTACTCAGACTGGTCAAACATCTTTGAAACATCTGAATTTCTGTCCATTTGGCACATTCAAGAGGTGCATGACATCATCAAATGTAATCAACTTCTCTATAAACATCCAACAATCTATGATATGATCAAAGGTAAGCATTTAAATTAGCCTGGGGTTAATATCATTCAGTTCCATTTGACAGTAAAATGTACAGGAGTAAGACGGGTTGCCTTTGTGGAGCTTTCCGAATATGTTAGTCCAGAGAAGCCTTCGAAAATATATACACTGACACCTGTGCTGTAGTCCATGATACTGCATACAAACCTAAACAACCATTTGCTTGCCAAGCTAGTAACTTGTGGGGAAACTTGACGAAACAAAAGGTCCATTTTAAAGCCTGCAGTGTTCTAATGTTGATCAGAGATGACCAGATGTACAATACATGACTTGCACGTGCATTTTGAAAACTAATGAATGTTTACATTGATTAGAAGTTAATAGGTTTTCCACAGTAAGCCGCCAAGTTAGCCTCTCTCAGAGCTTCAGCCACAGTCTGAAATAAAAATAAACATAGGGTTAAGTAGGGTTGGCTACAGATGAAATCATGATTGCATTCGGTCTATTGCCCAACAGTTAAAACTAACTGCCACTAGCAGTCAGGCCGCTGCAAGTTGTGGTAAGTTCACTTTTCAATTTGCAAAGGCGCTGGTGTCAATTTAATAGTGTCTGTTATCTTGATCAAATTTGTCTACACCATGCCAAATGTCAAGAGATATTGAACAATAAGAGTTTCAAAAATTGAAGCTCCACTGGCTTATTAAAGCTCATGTACATCAAGATGAAGTTAAAACAGCCTCTAGAGTGGGAACTTACTGGATGCGCATGGCAGACTCTCGCCATATCTTCGCAAGATGCTCCGTATTCCATCGCCAGGGCGGCTTCATTTATCAGTTCCCCTGCAACCTGCAAGTCAAACATTTCTCATTTGGGGTCAACTGTTTAAATATGTTATAACAAGGCATTAAACATGCAAAATGTCATCACCTGTCATTTGATTCAGATGCCAGCTGCTGAACACTGTTACAGATGCAGACTGCCAAACGCCAAAGACTGGCCACAAAAACGTTGAGATTATAACAATATTTCACCACTTGTGGTAGTGACATATTAAATTAGTATTTTGGCATGATCTTATAAATACATATAGCAGTTGAATAAAGGATTATAAACGAAATTTGAGAATATAATGGTGGGTACGAAAAAAATTACTCATTTTATGTCTAATAATTTTTTTGCAAATATTCATCCCAATTCACAAAATTTGGGAAATTTCATCTCAGCTTGTGACTGTGTTTAAAAAGTTCTAAAAATGTCAGAAATATACAAATTCATCAATTGTATAAGGCATATTGAACTGACAGCTGCAATTCACAGTTTAATAAACATGTAGTTAAAACCACTAAAGCCATTTAATTCGATGCAACAAAAAAGTAATTCTGACTTTTGAACCAGTGATCTCCCCAGCATTAAAGCAAGAAGGTGCTGCACCCATCCGAGATTATAAAAATAGGCTTGCACCCACATGAGAATCCATTTGCACCAACTTGAAAATCATGGAAAATAGGCATATTTTGACCAAATTTGGAGTGAATTGTGAAATCAAGAGGAAAATTCTTTGGGAGAACACTGTGAATGTTGGGGAATGTTGAGGAGGTTTCTTACTGATGTCACAATGTGGCAACCCAACATTCTGTCTGTCTCCTTGTGGCCTAACACCTTCACCATTCCATCAGTATCTTGGTTGCACTTGGACCTGCTGTTGGCTGCCATGGGAAACTTACCAACATTGTATGGAATACCCTAATATGAAAAAATGAGAAAACATTTCATTTAATTCTAGTTTCTTTAAATAGTGTTTGCAATAACAATTTTGACTAATTCACCCAGATAATTTTCAATAATCAATTAAATATAATCATTATTAGATTAACATAAAATTCTCATTGTTCTTCATTATGACATTTTCATATGACATCTTACAATTTGGATATTTTTAAAGAGTAATATTGACTTTTACCAATTTTTTAACCTCATTAAGGGAGTTGTTATGTAGTTAAATGAAGCTGAATAAATAGATGTCAGCACTTGTTTTTTTTATTCATTTTGGTTGGGCATTTCAATTTCATAATTTATCAAAAAGTGTTGGTTGAATCTGTCTAAAACTCGAATGACATATTATCGGATGACCCTCCCATTAATGTATATTGAGATTAATCATGGAATTCTTTTGTTGAACGAGTAAACCAAGGTTTTAAAGAATTTTTACATTGGATCAATGGAGATTTGGTTCAAGCTTTTCTTTCAGAGAAGTTGAAAAAGTTATGACAAATGACTGAAATAACATAACTGTGTAAATTAGTCATAATTGTTGAAAACTAACTATTCACTTAATCCAAAAATGCTATTAAAAAGATGGAATCGTTATTGACTTCAAATATTATATACATCAGAAACAGGCTTTAAAAAGATTTTGAACAAATTTGTTCAAGCTAACCTACCTCTTCTTTCAACTGTTCCTCATTTTTGCCAATCCATGCCACTTCTGGGTGGGTGTATATGACAGATGGTACACAGTTGTAGTCTAAGTGGCTGGCCCCTCCAAGCATACCTTCTACACATATTATACCTGGAATATTTACATGTAGATATATAAACATCAATAATAAACATGCATACTTAAAACACATAAAGACAGTGAAAACATATATTTACAGAATGCTGTTGGGACTAACTCTTTCATTATTCTCATTCTGAAGACAAGACAGTTATGATTACCTCAAATGGAAATTTAATTTTTTTTTTTTGATTACCTCAAATGAAAATTTAATTTTTGGACGATCTTACTCAATACCATACCCAACGAGCGGAAATGTGATTTCTCTAAATTTGGAAGTTGTATATCCAATATAAGAAGAATACCATAGTTTTACTCCAAAATTAGAAATTCAATATATTTGGGTCATCTTGTATATATTTGACCATTGATTATAAAGGTAAAACCAATAGACTTGATGCGGGTAGAAATAATCTTGATTTACATCATTAGCTTTCTAAAATTCAGTCAAGTGATGTCATACTTGAAATCTACGTGTAAAAGTACATCTAGAAATGGTTCCAAAAATTGTTTATCAACTTTGAAAATTTAACTTTTTTGAAAATGTAACATCTAGTTCGAGGAGATTCCCCATAGACCCCATGTTATAAAATCACAAGAAAAAAGAGCTTTTCTTGTATTGGATGATATTTTCTTTTACTGAAGATATTTTAATTTGCATAACTATTAGGTGAATAAGGGAGATATGAAAATTGAACCGCTAAAACTGATGAATATTCAAGTTAAAGGGAACTTTTTACTATACCTGCCACACTATCTGACCCGAATGAGCCACCTGGTGGTGAAACAGGTAACTACTACTTGCATCTGGGTTACTCATGTCATTTCATTTTTGTTTTTTGATGCAATAGGCAAAAGGCTCAAATTCTTTTAGATCCATCCCCTAACTATGGGTAAATATAATATAATTTCAGAAAAACTAACCTTCATCTTCTGCTTTGTGGGCTAGCATAGGTCCTTGTATACAATCCCCAATGGCATAGATACTAAAAACATAACAAACAATATAGCAAAGATACTGGGAATACATAATATGCAAAGGAATAGTATTGTGGGCTAGCATAGGTTCTTGTATATAATCCCCAATGGCATAGATACTAAAAACATAACAAACAATATAGCAAAAGTACTGGGAATACATAATATGCAAAGGAATAGTATTGTGGGCTAGCATAGGTCCTTGTATACAATCCCCAATGGCATAGATACTAAAAACATAACAAACAATATAGCAAAGCTACTGGAAATACATAATATGCAAAGGAATAGTATTGTGGGCTAGCATAGGTCCTTGTATACAATCCCCAATGGTATAGATACTAATAAAAACATAACAAACAATATAACAAAGACACTGGGAATACATAATATGTATAGAATGATTTAAAGTGCAATACAGGATATATTCTTCTCTCGACTTCATCTCGTTCCAATACAGAATTTCTCGAGCAAAATATATTGTATTGCACTTCAAATCATTCAATAACTTATATTATAACATACCTATGATGATGTATAGTGCAAAGTGTACACAAGACAGCGGGCCAATATAAGTTTTGAAAAGCCCGCGCCCGCTAACTTTCTGATTGCTCAAGGCGCTGACATCATAACCAATCAATCGAAGATAAAACTGCGCGAGCAATTTTTCTAAACTCATTTCAATCATTTTCAAACCATTTGTTTGTCAATTCTATAAGAAAACAGTACTATCTGACCAGTCTACATCATCATAGGTATGTTATAAATCGTTTATGTCACTATCGTGGCACATATGCCCTCGGTTCTCAGAGATCAATGTCCCTCCCAAGGTCGGGCCATATATCACTGAGACCTCGGGCATATATGCCACTATAGTGACATAACCTCTAATCATATGACCTTGGGATAATCACAATATTGATACTCAGTCACTATGCTCTCTTGATTAAGGTTACATTACCCTTCAGTCCATGTCATTACAGGCCCTGGGAACATGCATAAAAAATCGAGTCATGGATAATCTCAATATTGATACTCAGTCACTATGCTCTCTTGATTAATGTCACATAACCCTTCAGTCCATATCATTATTGGCCCTGGGAACATGTATAAAAAATCGAGTCGACAGCTGTAAGAGACTATTAAATACAGATCCCTTGACTCGATTTTTTATACATATTCCAAGGGCATATGCATATCATTATCACAAAGGAAAAACCTAGATGAAATCGCAATGGTCTACTGATGTCTTTATAGAAAATACGATAAAAATGTCACACTAATCTGAATTGAACACTGCATGTTGGCATCCTCATATTTGTGGCTTCAATTAATTATGAAAAAGAAGTCGCACAAAAGTATAATATAGAAAACGAAAAAAGATTTACAAAGCATGAGAGCACAATGCACACTTTTAACTTATAAAGAGTAGATAATATTTAATTAAAACAGGAAGTTGTTAATAATCCATACATGTTTACAGAGGGTTTGCAATACCCCTATACTCTCAATATTAGCTAACTGCAAATACAGCACAACGATTGATACGCCTTTTCCATATCAAATAAAAGCCAACAGTTACAATATAATATGAAGCAAAAGGCTGAAGTTTAACATTAGCAGAGTAAGCAATAAATATCTCAACTGCATAGAGAACCAATATCCAGAGGCATTTCAATATGAAGACCGACATGAAGTTCAGGATTTACTTCATCATAATAATTTCAACTTGCATAATTTTGTTCATGTTAGCCATAAGGAATACTTCAAATGATGTACAAGTTGATACAAGGAGTCAAAAATGTCAAAAACTATGTACAGTAAAATACGACATTGCCAAAGGCTATCCACCAGTTGCTAATTCTGGATTATATGGAGATTATCTATGTCCAACGATGTTTCGAGATATGTCTGATTATGTCTTTGGTTGGCCATTTAGCCATTTTCACGAAGTTGTCAATGTACCAGACTTGAGCGAAGTTCTCGACTGCCTGCCACCTGTTCCAATATTGTTCTCTAAAGGTGACCCGAAAATAGTAAGGAATTTCAGTAAGGAACTAGGAGACTATGTAAAACCTGGATTTATTCTCTTAACGGGACAGACTGATTACCCTAGCCCAGGAAAGAATAAAAAATTACTGGATAATCCAAATATACTGAGATGGTATGGACCGAACCCTGGTATAACTCATCCAAAATTCCATCCATTTCCTCTGGGATTACAATGTTTTGAACATGCCCAGGGGATGCTAAAATTCCACAACAAATATGGAGAAAACATCAAAGATAAACTACAAAATAATAGGAAACGTATGGAAAATGGAGATCTCCAAAAATTAGCTGTACTTAACTTTGGTGAAACACATCCTATTCGGCGAACAGTTAAGACCCAACTGTGTAATGAAAAACATCCTTATATAGAATGCCAGAATAAATTATGGACCAACAATGTGACAGAAGAGAATGGAAGGCTCAGTCTGCTTTACGAGAGTCTGTCCAAGTATCCATTTTGGGTAGCACCCAGGGGCAATGGGCTTGATACCCACAGGATCTGGGAGGCCTTATATGTGGGCTCTATACCTATTGTTCAAAGGTCTTTACTGGATCCATTATTTAAAGACCTACCTGTACTTCTAATTGACAACTATGAAGATCTTACAGAAAAACAACTAAAAGATACATTAATCAAATTTTCAGAAATGGATATCGATACCAAGACACTTTACAAAAATTACTGGAGGGCAGATATAGAAAAGTTTAGATCTGAAATGATCAAAAAATACAACCTTGCAGATTCTGCGAGATTTAGATGTTGGGGAACTTAAACCTGCACATCGCTCCAAAACGCAATATGTTGACATATATTGTTTTTACATTTTCAAGCTCTAATATAAAGTTTATGTAAATAAAAATTGTTTTTTCTGCGTAATATCAAAGAACAATCATTTAGTTTAAAAAATAAAAAGGCAATGCAGGATTCGAACACGGGCCTCCCGCGTGCTCAGCGAGGATTCTACCGCTACACCACCGTATTATTATGAATGGTGGGGTAATTAAACGCTACTTATTTTAAATGCTATGATTCGGAAGTGACGTCACATTCTTCATTTAGAAACCTTTCCAAAATCATATCGCCGGCTCCGATCGAAGCAAATTCAATGAAAAATCTTTGGAATGACACATTTATCGTAAGTATTTCTACACAAGATTTGCCCCATTTGTTCATCATTCTATAATCTTTCATTAAGCTCAAAATGATAAAGTTCACCCCCGAAACAACCCAAGATTGCGTTTCGGAGCGTAGTCCAGCTTTAAGTTCAATATCAAAGTATGCCAATTTTCAATACTGTTAGATAGCGGGAAAACATTATTCTGATAGGGCGATGTTTATTTAGTGTATTTAGTGATATAGTAAAATGCATGTATACTGTAGCTTCTAACAGGGCTGTCAATTTGGGACCACCTAATATGAGTGACTTACAAATGTTGGACACTCAAGTCCAAATCTGAACACTTTTGTCCAAATTTTGAACCCCTTTGGCCAACTTTTAAACACCTTTGGCCAAAGTTTGAGCACCTTTGCCAAACTTTGATCACCTCAAATTTTTCGCGCTCGCGTACGAAAATTTCCAATTATCATGCGTGACATATATGGGATTCGCGTGACAAATCCGAACAAATTGCATTCGGTTTTTTTCCTACGTTCGTATTTTTACCGTATCATAAACATATTTTGAAAAAATTTCTACACAAATGCGTATTTGCGTGACATTTTCTGTCATGCAAAAAAAACTGGCGTGACAGAAAATTCTTCAGCAAATGCGTGACAAATACGCAAATTGCGGGACAGTTGACAGGCCTGCTTCTAATGTTATAAAGCATATGAATTGAGGCATATTAAACAAGGTATGAGTATGAGTTTAACATCAAGTGTCACTGTGACATATATGAAAATATATGAGCTCGTAAACCATATACAGTAAAACCTGTAAAGTGGAACACCTCTAGAAGTGGAACACCTCTAGAAGTGGAACACCTCTGTTAGTGGAGCACTTTTCAGAATCCCAAGACCAACTGACTAATGTTAAATGAACCTCTATAAAGCCTTGGCCACATTTACTCCCAATTTTCACTATGGTGCCCAGCCGATTGAGTATTATAATCAAAACTGAATATAATTTTGAACAAAATACTCAATCGGCTGGGTCCGGCCGATGAATCGGGGGAAATGTGACCCAGGCATAAATGGAACACCTCCCAAATGGAACACTTTTTAGAGGTACCAAAGGTGGTCCATTTAGACAGGTTTTACTGTACCTAAGAGATTATGCAAGACATTCTATTCTAGGACCATTCTCACAGGTGTTACATATCTATTCTCACACATGGATAGTAATATTTTGAGCCATTTCTAGCTTCAGAGGGGGTTTGCTTCAATATGCCAATTAATGCTTATCAAACCTTTCCCATTTGACAAACCATGGGCAAAGTTTTGTGATTTCATGAGTTAAAAATGTAAAAATTTGTGATTGGATGGAGTATTAGAAAATGATTTAAAAGTCTATAATATATATAATAGGATTTATTTGTACTGATGCCCTTTTGCATATAAGTTTGTGACAACATTGATGATGTAATAGTGTGAGATGTTTGGATTTACTTTCATAATTAGATTGTTTTATAGATAGTAAGTGAGTTAGACTTCATCCATATTTATGAATACAATAAATTGCTTTAATTTGGCTGTTTAATTTAATGGATTGGGAAAATTTTGGCTGCTATCTAATTTGACTGATTGACCATCATCAGTCATATTATTCACTTCCCAGCTCACCACTGATAATGCAATTTTATCTTTCCTGGTATCAGACTGTTTTATCTAAACCACCAGGGACTGTAGATTTTCAGGAATAGTTTAAAATTGAAATTTTATCCACGTTTCAATCAAGATTTTCACCAAAGTTTTACCGCGCAAGGTAACACACAGAAAAGGCACTGGAAGAAAATCCCTGAGAATTTCATTTTCAAGAAATTGGCGGAGATTTTATTTGGCGATTTATATCAATCCACCAAATTAAAACGGCCGTCAAATTAAAGCAGTTTAAAGTAACAGTTGTCCCTTCCTTGATTTGAATAGAAACCCATTCTGATACACATCGAATCTAAAAACCTGTCTGTGTTTAGTTGCTCTGATGATTTTGAAAAGATTGGTCAATTTGAAGCAAATTGAAAAAAGGCCTTTTTGACCTTGAGAAGGTCATTAAAGGTCAAATATTTTTTTGACCTTGAGAATTCATTGAAGGCCAAATCTTTAGTCAGATTTGAACATCTAAGAAATTCTAGATGATTTAAATAAATTGGTCAATTTGAAGCAAGTTAAAAAATACCTTTGTGACCTTTTTGACCTTAAGAAGGTCTAATCTCAAATCTAAAGTCAGATTTGAACTTCTGATAACACGACATTTGGAAAAACAAATTTGGTCAATTTGAAGCAAGATGAAAAATACCTTTTTGAACTTTTTTTACCCTTTTTTGACCTTGAGAACTTTTCTATGAAAATCTAGAACTAATTAGTTTTTCGGCATTCTGGGTAAATGTTAAAGCAGCCATTTTGGATTTTCCGTTCTAAAATCTTGTCTGTAAAGTCTTGTCTTTGTGTTTTCAAGTTAACCGTTTAAGGGATCAATTTTAAAATTTCAGGGATGATTCTCAGTGTGAAAATCTTGAAACTGATTAGTTTTTCCGCATTTTCCATCCTAAAATCCTCTCTATAAAGTCTTGTCTACACGTTTACTGGCAAACCAGTTGACAGATCGATTTCAAATTTCCAGGAATGATACTTTGTATGAAAATCTCAAACTACTCAGTCTTTGGTCAGTCCTGCTAAATTTTAAGGCGGCCACATTGGATTTTTCTCTTAAAATCTAGTCTTTTCAACTGATTAGTGTTAGGCATTCAGGATGAAAAATTTGCAGAATATACTGTAGGATCACCCATTGGTGGGGACATGTTGTAACATGTGTTCTTGTTTATCTAACACCCAAGAATTCCTGAAAGTGTGTTTTTTAAATATTGGAACACTTTTCTTGTTGCACGGATTATTGAATGTGAAAATATACAAAGTACTATGTTATATACAATGTATATGTGACGTGGTCATAGTTGACCAGTTGGTCAGTCTACTTAGTTCACTTCACATCAGTTGATGTCATAATGATCTTTTTCAGTTACTCATGTTTATCATTATTGCGTTATTTTCATTAGTTTTTATTTGTATTATAACAGTTGTTTTGGGGATCTTTGAACTCAGTGTGATATTTCACATTAAATTTCTTTAATTTCCTATGTTTTATCATCATATTAGAGCAGTTTTTAGGCATGAAATATTTCTAGAACCAATCAAATGAAAGGATTATTCTTGAGAGATGGGTGACAGACAATGATACTAGTATATGAAATCAGCTGATGTGAAATTTTGTAATGTTTAGTTAGGATGTTGATAAGTTTCGATAGTTTTTGGCATCATTTTGAATACTGCAAATTTCGAGTAAAGAAAGTAAAAAGCGATTAAACCTAACGACCTGGAGTACAACTGACCAAAACATCAATACTGCTGTATATGCTTTGCAAATGTTTATACCTTTATTATCTCCATCACATTTTACAAATAATTGTATACTTTTTAGGGTGAAAATTTACTTATAAATATGTATTTAGGACATAAATTAGATAATGAATTAAATTGGATAATTAGATTATATATCCAGAGTTCATGAGGCGAGGCTCAAAGGTTTTGTCTAAACATTCCTTTCTCACCGAAATCTGCCAAATTCTAAAACCTTCGGTAAATATTCAAGCTCCGTGGGCAGAAAATCATCACTATTCTTATTGACTTTTTACAAAATTAAACATTTAATTTTCGGGCAACTTTCGTAAATGGGATTTCTAGATATTTTATTGGACAAGACCTCTTATTTTGGCTCTGCCCACTTCAAAATTAGTAAATAAAAGAGGCATTTTTTGCATTGAAACCTCAGAACCTCATTACGTGGACTCTGGAAAACCAATAACTGTAAGTAGCTGATTGAAATACTATTTTTGGACTTAAAATTTTCTTTAATAAATTAATATTTTGAACTACATTTGTTTTCATGTTTTGTAAAATATGGAGAGACCCAACTTCACCACATATACATGTACTATGTATAGTATACACTATGTTAATTTTTTATACAAAGCCAAAGTGATAGAATCACAGAATTGTTCCCAGTCTATTGATGTTATTGGTCTGTCAGCATTAGCTATGTTAGCTTTTAATTGTTCTGATGTGTCTGTGTTCTCATAGATATGTACTCCTCTGCCCGTTTATGTTCATGGTTACTTTCTTTTCTCTCTGTTTCAAGTTGCTCTTCTTCCCAAGATGTATTACTATTACAAGGGTCTTCTTCTTTGCATGAAATTGTTTCTGTGCTTTCTTGTGAAACTGCATTTGCATGTTTTATTTCAAATTTTTTTTTTTTGAAAACATCATTTGAAAACTTTTGAAAAAAAAACATTTATCTTTATCAATATTTTTGTAAAACAATTTAAATTTGTGAATCCTGTTTATACGCAATTTATTGTATTGTAATTGTACATGTCTTATATTTGTGAATAAAAAAAATATTTGAACAAGTGCCTGATAAAGTGACTATTTTATAATGCCTGTTAATTACAAACTCTCTTCAGACATATAAAATAATATAATGAAAGGGTCGTTTTTATTGATTTATTATTCTCATGTGAATTTAAAATTTCTTTTTTGAATTGTTATTTCCTGCAACTTTTTTGTTGTGTTGTTCTGTTTTTAAATGGTTGCTATGTAATATCTATATCATTTTGAATATCATAGAGTACATGTGGAGTCATAAAATTTTCTGTGGTTGTATTAGTTGATGGGGTATCATCAGACATAAACAGCTGCTTAGTTTGTTGGATGAGAAAAATAGATTTGTAATTGTTCAAAATAAATTGGCAAAATCTTTTAGAAATGGAAAATAGCATCATAAAAATGAAAAACGAAATCTATAAAAAGGTGAGTTTGAAAATTTGAAGTCTATCATTGGGATTTTGTTTTAAGCATGGGTATCAGAGACAACAATAATTCATTATTTAATGTTGTCTATATGTTATGCAATGACATTTATCTCACAGATGAAAGATTTTTCTTCAAAATGAGACCCTAATTATAAAATTGTGACCAATAATTCATACCTTTTTTTACTTCCAGTTCCCAGTTCCTTCTTATCATATACATATTGACTCAGATCTGACATAAGCAACTCATAGAGTTAGTCCTACAAGTTCCTGTGAGTTTACCATCTATTGTTAGTAATTTTTATCCATTTTTGTTCTATATATCTTACTTGTTGGAACTATCCATATTTTCTATTTTTATGGCATATCAAATTCATTGAAAGTTTAGCATATTGTCCAGGGGGATAGGAAGGTGTAAATTCAACACTACGCAAATAAATATGAGATAATTGTGTCAAATCTTCTACCTGTATCAAAACACCTAGTACTATTTTATGCTTGTAAAACATCATTTTTATTATAATCTATCTTTAATAATGTTCTTAAAATGTTCAAATGTTTTTCATTATTTATAATCACGATGGAAAGCCGATCTTTGATATGAAAATGTCAAATATAGACTAATATGTAACACGATATAACACAGGTTTGCGAATTGAAATTCAGGTGACAGATTTTATTTGGAACGGTAGGCTGTCGTAAAATTCATAAGAATTGTTTGAGAAAGGCATAAGGCATGGGTGATTTTCGGTGCACGCTATCAAATTAAACATACATGAGGAGTAACTGACATGAATTCCAGCCATGTTGTTATATATCCCAATTTATTGACATTTAGAATTCTACATCCCCACAGACCTCGGAGTAGTCAAAACAAGACACACAGTGATAAATATCGCACTTTGAAGAGCAAACTGGCCACCATGCAATTTACCCAGCATGGCCAAAACCTAATCAGACCTTGGCACTAGTCTGCTCTTGCATCTGTAAACATTTCAAGTTGAAAAGGTTAGCGGTGTTCCTGCAATTTTGATGACAAGAATTTATTTGTAGTCTTGAACTTTGGAAAAATTTAGATAACATTGTGACCTAAATTGATGACTTTCGACCTTGAAAATTTCACTTTTTCAGACCTCAGTAGGTCTTTTGTAATTAAGCTGACCTAAATTTAAATGCAAAATATCAATTTAGAAAATCAAATTTTTGACCTTTTCAAGGTCACTGAAGGTCAACGACAGGTCAAATCTGAAATCTAAGGTCAGATTTGAACTTCTGAGAACTTGTAGATGTTTTTTAAAAAAAAATTGGTCAATTCGGAGCAAGTTGAAAAATTCAAAATGGCCGCCAAATTGAAAAATTCAAAATGGCCACCATGTAATTCAGCCAGCATACCCAAAACCTAATCAGATCTTGGCAATAGTTTGCTCTTGCATCTGTAAAAATTTCAAGTTGAACGGATAAGTGGTTTTCCTGGAATTTTGATGACAAGATTTGTTGAAAAATTCAAAATGGCCGCCACATAGTTTACCCAGCATGCCCTAAACCTAATCAGATCTTGGCACTAGTCTGCTATTGCATGTGTAAAAATTTCAAGTTGAACAGGTTAGCTGTTTTCTTGGAATTTTGATGACAAGAATTGATTTGTAGTCTCAAACTTTGAGAAAGTTGGATAACATCATTTGTGACCTAGTTTAATGACCTTGACCTTCGACCTTGAAAATTTCACTTTTTCAGACCTCAGTAGGTGTTTTGTAATTAAGCTGACCTAAATTTAAATGCAAAATATCAATTTAGAAAATCAACTTTTTTGACCTTTTCAAGGTCACTGAAGGTGAACGAAAGGTCAACTCTGAAATCTATGGTCAGATTTGAACTTCTGAGAACTTGTAGATGTTTTTAAAAAAAAAATTTGGTCAATTTGGAGCAAGTTGAAAAATTCAAAATGGCCGCCAAATCTAAAAATTCAATATGGCCACCATGCAATTCAGCCAGCATACCCAAAACCTAATCAGATCTTGGCAATAGTCTGCTCTTGCATCTGTAAAAATTTCAAGTTGAACGGATAAGTGGTTTTCCTGGAATTTTGATGACAAGATTTGTTGAAAAATTCAAAATGGCCGCCATGTAGTTTACCCAGCATGCCCTTAACCTAATCAGATCTTGGTACTAGTCTGCTCTTGCATCTGTAAAAATTTCAAGTTGAACAGGTAAGCAGTTATCCTGGAAATTTGATGACAAGATTTGGTTTATGTGCCGCCCGCCCGCCCGCCCGCCCGCCCGCCCGCCCGCCCGCACACCCGCACGCCCGCACGCCCGCCCGCCCAACAGCACAAGACGACGACAATATAGCACTTTTTCAAAGTGCGATAAAAATACAACAATTTATGTAACATTTTGATAATATTTACATAAGTTCTCTTCTTTACATTAATAGCATTGTTATTATTGAGTTATTTCAGCATTTTGGTACATCAGATAAGGCCATAAGAAGTAGATTCTCTGTTTTGCGTCCTGGCAAAATCCAAATCATGCAAGGGTACAAGGAAAACAAACACAAATTCAAGAAAAAACACAAACTTGTTTATGGGCATATAAAGGGATGCCATACCAATTTGCAGTGATTACAAACACATATCTATACATCCTATACAATATATATAAGCATAGCTATTATTCAAGGGTACAAAATAGAAAATACACAATGTAATCAATAACACTGTCAATTTTTACGCACATCAAATGATCTATGAAATGCAATGTTACTTTCAAAGCCTTGTAATTGCTATTTTGATGTGTTTGTTTTTTCTGATCTACTCGAAATCGTGCAAGCAAGGGGACACAAAACAGAGAATGTACTTGTTATGGCCTAATACATAAATCCAGTTAACGTTTTTAGGCGATGTAGAATTCTAATGTCAACAAATTTGGAAATATAAAAACTATGGCCTTTTAATTAGTGCATTAAAAAGAAGTTAAATCAACCAAGCCTTACATCTCCCTCAAAAAAATCCTCATGAATTAAAAATATGACTGAAGAAATTGGGAAATTATTAAGGCTGCATTTTTGTACATGCTTTTTGACCGCGAGCATGATTTTAATGCTAAACAAGAACACAAATGTGTACAAAATGTCCCCACCAGTGGGTGATCCCATCAAATGGTTATCCTGAAAATGAGTAGACAAGACTTTACCAACACAATTTGAGGACGGAAAATCCAAAATGGCCACCTTAAAATTTACCCAGAATGCCAAAAATTTAGTCAGTTCTAGATTTTCAAACTAAGAACCACCCCTGAAAATTTTTAATTGATCCGTCACACAGTTAACTAGAAAACATGTAAACAAGACTTTACAGACAAGATTTTGGGATGGAAAATCCAAAATGGCTGCCTTGACATTTACCCAGAATGTCAAAAAACTAATCTGTTCCTAGATTTTCATACTAAAAATTCTAAAAATCATCCCTGAAAATATGACATTGATCTACCAAATGGTTCACCTGAAAACGCGTAGACAAGACTTTACAGACAAGATTTTAGGACAGAAAATCCAAAATGGCTGCCATGACATTTACACAGAATGCCAAAAAACTAATCAGATGTAGATTTTCACACTAAGAATCATCCCTGAAAATTTGAAATTGATCTACAGAACGGTTCACCTGGAAATGCATAGACAAGACTTTACAGACAAGATTTTAGGACGGAAAATCCAAAATGGCTGCCTTGACATTTAGCCAAAAAACTAATCAGTTCTACATTTATATACTAAGAATCATCTCTGAAAATTTGAAATTGATCTACCAAACGGTTCACCTGAAAACGCGTAGACAAGACTTTACAGACAAGATTTTAGGACAGAAAATCCAAAATGGCTGCCTTGACATTTACCCAGAATGCCAAAAAACAAATCAGATCTAGATTTTTATACTAAGAATCATCCCTGAAAATTTGAAATTGATCCACCAAACGGTTCACCTGAAAACACATAGACAAGACTTCACAGACAAGATTTTAGGACGGAAAAATCCAAAATGGCCGACAATAAAAAAGTGATTATGTGTTTTTGCTGATTTCTTCTTACAAAATTATCACATATAACTACTGTTAACAATAACATAGGCTTTTACAACAAAGTACATCTGAAATTATTAATAAAGCTACTAAATAGTTAAAGTATGAAAACTCAAAAACACCATTCAATATGATACAAAGTATTATCGTGCGCTAACTTTTCTTAAGACATTCAAAATGGCTGACATGACTGAGCTTACAGGTCCAAAACCTAATCAGATCTAGAATGAAGTGAGCTGAAAAAGATGTTAAAGTTTTAAAAGCAACTGTGAAGCCGTTTTTCTTAAAGTTTGCAGACAAGGATTTTAGCATTTGACTTCAGAATGGCTGACAGGAAGTAGGTATCGAGTTAAAATTTTTTCATCCACATCTGTATGCACTCATAAGTTATCCCTGAAAATTTGAAGGTGATATCTGTAGCGGTTTTGGAGAAAACTCCCGGACGTACAGACAGACGGACGGACAGACGGACGGACGGACGTACGGACGGACAGACAGACGGACGCGCCTAGGCCGACAATATGGCCCCACACTATGTGGTGGGGACATAAAAATTAGCTAAATTGTGGTTATACCACAATAGTTTCTGACCTTGAAAAGGTCCATGAGTCATTATTTATGTTCCAAACTGTAATGCGCGGGGATAAAAGGGATGTGAGTGGAAATGCAAAACTATTATATTTCTTACCTAAGCCGTATCAAAAATGTCACACTAATCTGAATTGAACATTGCATTTTAGAAATTGCCATATTTGTGGCTTCAAATAATGAAAAGGAAACTGCATAAAAGTGTAATACAAAAAATAAAATGGATTAACAAATCATGGAAGCAAAATGCACCTTTTTAACTTATAAAGAGTAGAAATATTTTATCAAACAGGAAATCTCTGGTTAATAATTTACACATGTCTGCAGAAAGTTTACATGTACCCAATACCCGAACTCTCAATATTGGCTAATGCAAATACAGCACAATGGTTGATTATAGCTCTTTGATGCAAATACAAGATAAGAGTTACAGTATACATGGAGAAAAGGGTTGAAGTCCAACATTAGCATACTAAGCCTAGAGTTAGCAATAAATGCCTTACTTCGAAAATAAACCAATATCCAAAGGCATCGTATCATGATGACTGACAGGAAGTTCAGGATTTACTTAATCATAATAATTTCATCTTGCATAATTTTGTTCATGTTAGCCATAAGGAATACTTCAAATGATGTAAAAGTTGATACTAAAATCAAATGGAAACCAAAATCTAAAAACTTTTTCTTGGATGAGACAGGAGCAACTGATTCTACAGCCAAGAAAGATGATACTAATAGTGATACAACTAATATTGATACAAGGAGTCAAAAATGTCAGAAACTATGTACAGTAAAATATGACATTGCCAAAGGCTATCCACCAGTTGCTAATTCTGGATTATACGGAGATTATCTATGTCCAACGATGTTTCGAGATATGTCTGATTATGTCTTTGGATGGCCATTTAGCCATTTTCACGAAGTTGTCAATGTACCAGACTTGAGGGAAGTTCTCGACTGCCTGCCACCTGTTCCAATATTGTTCTCTAAAGGTGACCCGCAGTTGGTAAGGAGTTTCATTAAGCAACTGGGAGACCATGTAAAACCTGGATTTATTCTCTTAACTGGACAGACTGATTTCCCTAGCCCAGGAGAGAATAAAAAATTACTGGATAATCCAAATATACTGAGATGGTATGGATCGAACCCTGATATAACTCATCCAAAATTCCATCCATTTCCTCTGGGATTACAATGTTTTGAACACGCCCAGGGGATGCTACAATTCCACAACAAATATGGAGAAAATATCAAAGATAAACTACAAAATAATAGAGGACGTATGGAAAATGGAGATTTCCAAAAACTAGCCGTACTTAACTTTGGGGAAACACATCCAGTGCGGCGAACAGTTAAGACCCAACTGTGTAACGAAAAACATCCTTATATAGAATGCCAGAATAAATTATGGACTAACAATATGACAGGAGAGAATGGGAAGCTCAGTCTGCTTTACGAGAGTCTGTCCAAGTATCCATTTTGGGTAGCACCCAGGGGCAATGGGCTTGATACCCACAGGATCTGGGAGGCCTTATATGTGGGCTCTATACCAATTGTTCAAAGATCTCTAATGGATCCATTATTTAAAGACCTACCTGTACTTCTAATAGACAACTATGAAGATCTTACAGAAAAACTACTAAAAGATACATTAATCAAGTTTTCAGAAATGGATGTCAATACCAAGGCACTTTACAGACACTACTGGAGGGCGAATATTGAAAAGTTTAGATCTGAAATGATCAAAAAATACAACCTTGCAGATTCTGCGAGATTTAGATGTTGGGGAACTTAAATTCATTATCAAAGTACATGTATGCCAATTTTGAATACTGTTAGATAGGACAACATTATTCTGATAGGGCGATGTTTATTTAGTGATATTACATGCACATATAGCTTGAAGCTAAATGTTAAAAAAGCAAACAAGGTACAAAGTCTGATATCAAAAAACATGTGTGAGTAGAGACCTAATTAAAAAATGTTTGGCTTTAGGTGCTTTTAACATTACATTTATATCTTTATAGATTTTAATGAAACGCACCTTAAAATATATGAGCTAATAAACCAGGCTATATACAGTGAAACCTGTAAAGTGGAACACCTCTGTTAATGGAACACTTTTCAGAATCCCAAGATCAAGTGACTTAATGTTAGATGAACCTCTAATTGGAATGGAACACTCTTAAGAGGTGCCAAAGGTGTTCCATTTATACAAGACATTCCATTCTTCGACAAATCTCATATTTGGTGTTACATATCTCACACATAGGTAGTAACACGTTTGAACCTTATCTAACTACATTGGGTGTTTGCTTCAGCTTCAGTATGCTAATTAAAGCGCATCAAACCTTTCCCTTATGACAAACCATGGTCAAAACTTTGTGGTTTCATGAGTTAAGAAATGTAAAAATTCATTGAGATTGGATGAAGAATGAGAGAATGCTTTAATATAATGGAAAGATTGTGACAAAATTTTGTGTACAGCACATGTGCTATATAGTAGTTAAATTGGTAGTTGAATTGGTTTTCTGCAAAAATGTCTATTGAATTCTTCAAGAGAAAGGGGATGATTCTCTATAAATTTGGAAAGATTTCTTCAAATGAGAAAAATAAAATGTTTTCAAGATAATATTAAGGTATTTCTTTGTGAATATACTGCCATAAAAATGAAGAAAAAACACAAGAACAAGTTCAAACTTTCAGTAGGTTTGTCCAAGGGTGTGTCCCTGGGACGGATTAATTTTCAAAAAGTGAGTCCCCCCTCCAAAAGTGCGTCCAATGAAAAAAGGTTCCCCGGAATTCAAAGTCACATTTTTACACCGAACGAAAAATTGATGAAAACTTTCTATAATAATCAGTTTTGTTATTTTTCGACCTAAATCAGCGTTCTAGTAGGTTACTAAATGATACAGGTGCCTTCACTTCAAAGAGATAACTAATATTCAACCATTAAATACCCATTTTCTTTTCATATTTCAAAGCAATTTGCACGATGGGGCAATCTCAGCAAGGCCAATCAAAGAAAATATTGTAATTCTTTGAGAAACAGAATTTCCGTATAAAGGAACAAAATGAGTATTCTTTGGCAAAATGAAGTCTTACTCTTAATGTTCATAGTATTTCCAATGGATTCATCATTGATAAGTACCCAATCTTTCATTTGACACCAAAAACAGCTCAAAGAGACCACATCAGAGTTGACACAAGATTATCAAAAAAATATTTTCAATCTATCAATTTATATATGTCAAATTTTTAGCAATGCCAATGAAAGATGGCAAAGTATTCATTCAATTTAGATAAAATTTTCAACCATATGCCATCTTTTAATGAAAGGGTTATTTAAAACAGTTACTTTGTGAAAAGTGGCAATTTTTTCAATCCCTGAACTTCAAATGCTGTTTTCTATCATTTCAACAAAATCACACACATGTACATGCCAATGGCCACCTACTTACCAAAATGTCATAAGACATGGCTATGTCTATTCACATATCAAATACGAACAAAATCGCTCTATTGCTTTTTGAGTCATTGTAAAAAATGTAAAATAACACACGTAAAAATGGCGGCCATTGAAAACTCCCCAAAGTGTCATTAGACAGTCTGCAAGGCTTATAGTATTCATATACCAAATATGAACAAATTCGCTCCACTTATTTTCAAGTTATAGTAAAAACATTAAATGGCAGGCAATTTTCAAAATGGCTGCCTTCTACCAAAAGTGTCATTAGACAGTGTGCCATGCTAATAGTATTCACATACCAAATATGAAAAAAATCGCTCCACTACTTTTCGAGTTATAATAAAAAACATTTGAAAAATGGCCTTAATTTTTATGTTCTACCAAAAGTGTTATTAAACAGTGTTCAATGCTTATAGTATTCAAATACCAAATATGAACAAAATCCCTCCACTACTTCTCAAGTTACGGCAAAAATCGTAGCATAATGTGTAAAGGTCGCCATTTTTCAAGATGGCTGCCATGTGCATCTATGATATCTACTAAAATGGCCGCCATTTTTAAATGAGCAGCCATTTTGAAAATCCGCTTTTGAGCAGAACTTCTACTCCCTCCACTACTTCTACATAGGGTATATGTGTACAAAATATGAACAAAATCGGGTCAATGGCATTTGAGTTATTGCCTGGACGGACGGAGGCATTCCCTACATCCCTCCTAACTTTCGTTCGATGGGATAATTAAAGCTTATTTAATTCTTGACAGATGCTGAAAGTTTCAGATTTCTATTCACAATGTTGGCAATAATACTACACTTACCTTGGAACAGCTGACTGGAACTTGCTGTTGACAGGTACCCTTCCCCGGTCATCAGTTTGTATCCCTACTGAATCCAAGCCAAGTTTGTCAGTGTATGGCCTCCTACCTACACACACTAGTAGGACATCACAGTCAAGCTGAAAATACACCACACGATACAGTTTAATGTTAGATTGCCAGTTTTTGAAGTCACAGACTAATATGTTGGTGATCTAGTATTCTAATATGGGCTTGAGCAAGCTATTGGTAGCACTTTCATATTGGCACCCAGAAAAAATGCAAGGCTTAAGATACAGATGGGAAATCAGTCTTATTTATTAGGTATATCCACTATATGTCTGAGGAAGATATCATTTTCTTGAAAGATGAATGATAATTTTTTTATAAATTTTCATGTATCAAAATATGCCTTATTCTCTATGTAACAAATTCCCAAGAAAAAATCCACATTTACAAATATACTTCAAGCATGTACTTGAAGAGAGTAAGTTAAAGTAATTTGGCTGCATTGGAAAGATTAAGGAATTTGCTTTAAAATGATATGCAACAAGTGTGTCCATAATAGTGAATAGAGTTTTGATAACCGCTTGTAGCACACAACCGTTGGTGTAACATTTCATTGTAAATTTTATGTTAAAAAAGACAGAATTTTTCAACATATTTTGCAATGTTTGCTTACTGTTTTTTTAAGATGATATCAAAAGTACTGAATGTTAGAATTCTGTCAATAAAAAAATTATAGAAAAGGCTGTAGCGGTTCCTGAGATATTGGCTCTCAAAATAAGTAACTGATTTTCCGACACGCAAATGTCTTTTCTGAAGAGCATGTGTATTTCAAGACTGAAGTAATATGATACACTAAAAACTATTTTAAAACAAAATGCATTTAGTTTCTTGAATATTCAAAACAAATTAGTAGCTTTGAACTGTCATATATACCTGTAAAATCAATTTTAAAATTCCGACACAAGAAAAAAGTCCTTTCCAAAGAGCTCTTCGGAAAAGACAAACTCTGTCAAAACAGTGCATTTACCAACAATATTAAAGAGAAACACACTGGAATATATTTTCTGATGAACTTTTATACATAAAATATCTTTACTGAAGTAACTAAGACTTAAACAGGAACTACAAAAGTAAATGTGTCCTTTCCAAAGAGCAATCCAATCTCTGATTAGGAATGCTGTATTGAATGTCAATAACTAAATTTTCTACTGATGTATAAAGGCACTAGTACAATGTTTACAAATATTACATTGAATCTTGATTTGGACAGTACTGTAAAACCCTTTAAAACACTCAAGTGTAAAATTGCAAATGAAGAATGCCGCAAATATAAAATTGTATCTTCATCACTATTTTTCCTGTGATAATAGGTTTAATTCACTGACAATTACCACCAACAATACAGGAGTTTAGCCTAGCTAAATAGTTGAAAATACTCTATAAACAGCCAATAGATGTCTAGCCCATTTTCAGGAAAAGAATCTTAGGCCTAAAGCAGTTCCCCATTGAACCAACATGTAAAACATCACATTTATACTACGATTTTAACATCATAATGCTACCATTTCTGTTTCCTAATTCATTCAGAAAATCAACAGATCTTTAGGTAAGATCTTATATATCATTGGTATGAAGTTTTTTAGTCTTCTAAAACAACATAAATAATGGAAAATAAAGATAAATATTGGCTATTTTGTTTAAAATATTTGGCTTGATGTTGGTCAGCTTAAATCACCAAAATGACCTGGGGTCAATATATGATATGCGATCTCAATATAACAAGAACAATTGATTTACTCAATTACCTCAATTGCTAGATATTATTTTGGTCTTTTAACAATGAAAAGAATAAAAAATTTCGATCATATTAGCCTATATTGCGTCATAAATCATAGAATCTCGGTCTTTATTTGATAAGTGTATGTACAGACCTGTTCTGTTTTGCCACCTTTCACAGCTTCTATATCCACTTTGATGTTTTCACCCTCTCGGGTTGCCCCGGTCACTTTAGTGTTGAGTTTAAATTTAAGACCTGCAAATGTAAAATATTAAATTAATGAGAAATTTTAAATCACATTAAAGAAAATGGAAAAGATACAGACATTGTTACGACATTGTAAATAATCTGAAGATACTGCAAATCAAGTGAAAATCATTACTTTACCTTGTTTTTGTAAGCTACGTTGAAACATTTTGGAGACCTCCATGTCAATGCCCAAACCTCCGACATGTCCTAGGAATTCCACACATGTTACTTGGGCACCCAGCCTTTGCCAAACAGAGCCCTGTAGATAAATACATATACATGTCATTAACATGGAAAATGTCACCAACTGCCATTTGTTACAGACACTGACACCAAATTCCGAACGTCAACTACTGAACACCATTCATGAAAAGTTAGGGACTATAACAATAACAATATATAATTACGGACCAGATGTTCAAGTTTTCCAATACAAACTACAGGGTGACACAAAAAATGATATCCATCTTAGAATTGGTATTTTGTGAATGTACGCCACGAGTGAGCGAAGCGAATGAGCTTTGAACGGGTTGTCTTTGTAGGGCAATTTAAAATATGAAATTCCGACAAATCTGGACGAATAAAATGTACATTTTTGGCCATTTTTATCCAATATTTCATTACATGAACAAGTTTTTTAAATGACAAAATAGGTGCTTGGAAATAAAACTCATTTGCATTTGTCTTTTTATTGTTTATTTTGCTTTTCATATGATTGGTACTACACGTATTCAGGATATCTAGTATTCCTAAAGTGTGGGGCAATTCAATATACTAAATCAACTTTTCTCTAAATTTTGAGACTACGCCATGATGTTTTATGCATACATGAAACTACGCCATTGTATACTATCATATTTTTTCTATCATAATGCCTTTTAAACTGTGACTAAAATGATATTTTTCTCTTGCAGTGCTTTCAGTAGGTTTTTCTAAGAGTGCATCCCCGGGATGGATTGATTTTCAAAAAGTGAGTCCCCCCTCAAAAAAGTGCGTCCCCTAAATAAAAAAAAGGTTCCCGGGAATTCAAAGACACATTTTTACACTGAATGAAAAAGTTGATGAAAAGTAATATCGGCCTAAATCAGCATTCTACAAACGTCTGGAAGGTCACTAAATGATATAGGTACCTTCACTTGAAAGAGATAACTAATATTCAACCATTAAATACGCATTTTCTTTTCGTATTTCGAAGCAATTTGCACTAGGGGCAATCTCCGCGAGGTTCCATGTATTATTTCCTTTTTATGCGCATGCGCAACAAATGCAGTAATTTGATTAGTTAAAATTATTAAGACGAATGTGCGATTAACAATCGTGGCCAATCATAGGACTCGTATCGATTACTGCTCGGTATTTTAGCAACTACTTAGTGATTGTCCTATCACAGGCCTCATACTATTTCAACTGGAAATCAACTTCCGTAAAAGAAACTTCAAAAGAAAATATTGTATTTCTTTTAGAAATAGAATATATCCTTCTTTTATTTAGCGGATTTTGACCAAATAAAAGACTAAAGGTAAGATCTTTTTCCGAGTCTATCAATTTGTTAATGAAAACACAGGACTTTGCGTCTACAGGACAGATTACATTTTTTGGAGTCCCTTCATCAAAATCCAGGTCCTCCTAATGTTAAGGACGCGTTACTGAAAGCCCTGTCATGGGTGACTTACAAGTTCAACTCCAATGACTCCTGCTCCTATTAGTACCAGCTTCTCTGGGACTTTGTCTAACTCTAGTGCTCCTGTGGATGAAAGAATAGTCTTCTCATCCACCTACAAATAAAAGTGATGTTACTTTTCAAATAATTTAGCCAAAACTGGATATATTTTCATAATACAGTAAAATGTGTCTAGGTGGACCTTTTACACCTTTAAAAAGTGTTCCACTTGGGAGGTGTTCATTGTTCCACTTATAAATTAACATTAAGTCAGTTGGTCACGACTCTAAAAGTGTTCCACTTCTAGAGATGTTCCACTTTACAGGTGAATATGAAATCCCTCAAATTACTAGTTAAACAAGATTGATCAATTCTGCATTCTATTTTCTTTTTTAAAGCATATATTAACTTATATAACTTATACTATATACAATTATTGACCTCTCTAGAGGTTTACTGTCAAAATTATATCCCGAGACTGTAAACCGAGACCGTAGGTCGAGGTTTACAGTCGAGGGATATAATTTTGACAGTAAACCGAATGGAGAGGTCTATAATTGTTTTGTTAGTCCGAAGAATATCTTAGATTTTTCTGACCCTTGAAGTTGACTTGAAGTTGGATCCAGACCCTCGAGACGTTCATGTTGTATTTCAGTATATCGGCAGTAAGTTCACTCAATGGAGTCAAATTACTCTCCTGGGCGAAGTCCACTAAAAGCTTTGTACAAAGTTTTAGATTTTTCTTCGTATTTTGACTGTCTTTACTCTCTAAGAGACTAATAATATCCTCATCTTCAACATTTTTGAAACGGCTAGTGCTAGCGGCGGCCATTTTATCGTCTGATAATGACGTCATTTTAGTGGAATGCTGGGAATATTATTCACCGGCAATGCATTGCGCGGTGTACAGTTAAAATTATTCACCGCTCGTTGACCAATCAAAATCGAGTATTTCAACTGAGGTACTAACAATAATAATTAGGCAATAGCAAAAGAGTGGAAAGGTGAGAATTTGAAAATACATGAAAGTTTTGGAGAATTAACCATTTATGGTCATGTTGCACAAAGTAAAAGATGTTGCCATCTATGATAAAATTAAACCAGTTATTTGAACCAAGAAACACTATAAACAAATAATAAAAGTTGGAGACTATAACAATAAGTCGTCACTTCTGGCATTGACATAATTAAAAGTAGAAATGTGATGCATATATAACTTACGTCAATGCCTGGGAACGGAGTCACTTCAGAACCAGTTGCTATAAGAATATTTTTGGTTTGCACCACTTCTGAAGTCCCATCCCTTTTTTGAACAGTCACTTCATTTGCCCCTGTTATAGTCCCATGGCCTTGTATGTGAGTTACCTAAAATATGAGACACATAGGTTAGGATAAAATAAAATAGGTCAATGAACTTTTATTTTATGTTTACTATTAGAGTGTATGGGTCCAATTTTCATAATTTTTTGAATGCCCTGAGGCTTTTCCCGGGGATATGATAATCTCTCAAAATCTCATCCAGTGGATCAAAATCATGTTGAATGTCCTGACCTCTGATGTGAATTACATTCAAAATGATAATAATATGTCATAAAATGTACATACTTTATTTTGTTTAAATAAATGAGCTATGCCTCCAGTAAGAGCTTTCACTGTTCCGGCTTTCACTTCCATCATCTTTGGGAGATTAAGTTTGACTGCTCCAACTGAAAAGTGGAAAATTACTAAAATGAAACATCATACATGTACTCGTATGTTGCCATGACATGTTCTCATTCAAAGTTGGAGAAATTTCAAGCATTTTGTTGACCAAGGTGACATAGATATATCCTTTATTTTCACACCTTGGTATAAAGAATTATGCCAAGTACATGTATTTCAAAAGGACAATAACACATTATCTTCATTTACCATTAATGTAAACAAAAAATAACTCACACATGAAAGTTGTAAATGCTGTTTATCATTAAATTCATTGCACAGATTACTCTTTTTAATTGCTACTAGTTACAACTATCTATAAAAAATTACAAGTGATTTAAAATTGACCCAAGTGTAAGGATTGCGTCCATTTCTCATCCAACAAAATTCTAAAATGTTGATTTGTCTTTCACTTGTAAATTAAATAAAAAAGTCAACTCTAATCACTAACGAAACCATCATTTACCCCCCCCCCCCCTTAAGAACTAACTTTGTTATTCCATAACTGTTAACAATTGTACACCATCCCTAATATTAACCATGGGCTTTCAACTAGAGTTGAAAGCCCATGTATTAACATACCATCAATGCCTCTGTTTACAAAATCTTGTGATGCTGCTTGGTGGTAGAGCTGTGAGTTGTTCAGGAGAGACTTTGATGGTATACAGCCTACATTCAGGCATGTACCTCCTAGAGTATCATTCTTTTCTACACATACAGTCTAAAATAGAAACAAATGTAAGTACATGTAGTAACAAAAACTACATAAATTGCTTCATAGAAAACAACAGAAAGTAAATTCTGAAATTTAATTTTAATATTCATGAAAATTGCAGTACAATAAATGTTGCTTAAGTTTTTCTTCACCTTCATTCCGAGCTGGGCTGCCTTAATAGCCGCAACATAACCACCTGGACCCGATCCGATAACTACCAGATCTGTGTCTGAAAGAAAACACATAATAATGAAAACAGCGTCAGTAGAGGATACCCTATGATTTTAGAGGGATATCATTTTTATCCCTTGGTATCCATTCCAATGAACATGTGCAGCAAAATGGGTTGTATGAAATGATGATATCCATTTGTGGATAAAAATAAATTGGCTCAAAAATCCTATAATTTAATAAGAAAAATATTTTTGGTTTGGAAAACAAAAATTGATTTGAAAACATATTTGGGGTCAAGACTAGAATTCGTTATCAAATGCTGCAGTTAATAAAGAAGGTACCATCCTGCACAGATACAAATACTTGACTCAAAAATTTTTGTAATAAAAATGACAAAAAAATTATCAAAAAACGTTGTAATTGGATAGAAATAAAATTGAAATAATGAAAGAAAAGATTTACATCAAAAGCCTGTATCTATATGGTACTTTGCATGCGTAGATGTGCATGCGTAGATGTGCATGCGTAGATTACATACCTCCATTTGAATAACTTCTTTTGAATTGGAGATTCAATGCTGCTAGGGTTCGGCATATTGACTGTGACTGGCCTCCCTGAAATCAAACAGAAGAAACAATCAAAAAAAACACTGCAGCCCTGTGTTGAATTCATCAAATATCTATTTCAAATAAAAAGTTTTTAGTGTTGTCTAGATTATAAATAAATTATTTAATTATAGGCTCTATAGCATGTTTGCATCTTAACTTTGAAATAACTGGGTCTCTATACACAGATTGTTTCATCTCTTTAACAAGAATGATGACATGCTATTGCGCAATCTTTCAATTTGATTGGCTTGTTGAAACCATTTCCATCATATGAACATGCCCTTCGCCTCCAACTCCCCTCCCCCTTCATTGTTAAAAAAAAACACAAAAAGGGAAAAAATAGAACCTCTATGTTTAATTCTGGCTATTCCCCTGTAGTCAATCTACAGTACTCACCATAATTAAATGACATCTGGATTCGTGCGGATTTTATATGTTTAAAAAGAAGAGAATTTTCAAGGGGCCATACCCCGGGGGCCATACATTAGTGGTTCCTCTTCAGAGTATATAAAATGTTAAATAAACAAAACTTAAGGGATGTGTAATTACTAATTGTGTATCTAGACATTATTGGAAAGTACAAAGCCTCAAAATAACCATGGTCTAGGAATGGTGATGGAAAATCAATATACCATTTATTTATGGTGCCTTGTCATAAAAATTTTGAAATCAGATAAAAGAATTGATAGCTACTTTTTGAACTGCTATCGATAGTTCAATGTGCACTAAAACCTTTATGAACAATAATATCAGTTATTACACATTTCAGCATGTGATACGGGAAATATTCCACGGAAGTAAAAATTGTATAACCACTAAAGCGCAGCTTGAGTGGTGATACTTTTTTTACTGAGTGGAATATTTCCCGTATCACATACGCTGAAACGTGTGATGACGATTTTATCACATACTTTGTAGAAATCTAGTGATTTGATTGGTAGCTTTCTTTGTCGTTCTAACTTCTAATTCCTCAAATGAAGAGTTCATTATTTCTAAGAAATAGTAACATAGCCTATATGTGACGTCATTTTGAATAAGGAAAGAATAGAATGAAGTTATATGACGTCATTTCGTTGCCATCGACAACGTGTGGTACGTGTGCTCGTATCATATGAAATTTATGTGATACGGGAAATACGTCATAGAAAGCAACCAACAAATCACTAGATTTCTACCTAGCATGTGATAGTGCATGACTAGGAACTAAAAATCAGATCTGACCTTGATCTTTGATGAATAAACACACAAAGATGATCTGATATATGTGACAGGTTTATCCACATATATTTGTGGGAACATTTTATGTGAGAATGCAAAGGCGATACCCAGACAGACGCTGAACCTAGTCTTTCTAGATCTACTGAAACTTACATCATTGACAGGACCGAAAAAAAAATTTGTAAAAAATCTTCAATATTGTAAAGCACAAAAAGACTCATGAATTAGCAATGATCATCACGTTTTAGAAGTAAATTCCAAAGGAATATCATTTCAGACATCGCCTAGATGAGAATCTAACAATTTTGTAACGTACCGATGCAGCTAGAGCCAAAAGTTTGCGACTTGACCGAGAGATCATTTTGTAGGGCAACATGGCGGTGTTCCGACAAATGTACGAACGAAAATTCTCTTGTGTTTTTAGAAACCTAACGAAAAGTGTTCAGAACTTCAACAATCACCATGATACATTTTCATCTAAGTATTGACGGACCTGATTAATAAGATAATATAATTACATTAAAGTCTCACATCCCCTTTCTCTAATATAAGCTATTGGACTTTCAGCATTATTAGATTCGAATGTAAATCAAATCAAAAAAGTATCTGTTCGTTTATTTAGCGCAGTTATGAAAAAATAAAATGAAATTATATTTCCTCTTTTTCCTCATTTGTACGATAAGTAGAGGTACTTATGGATCGGTATACACAATAGATGATTCCCATGGACTTGGTCGTCGTTATGACGGGTTTGGTGCCATAAGTGGAGGAGGGGTAATTCTGAAATTCCTTTTCTATTTTTGAAACTTTTTTTTGTGATCATCATTTCAATCATTCAAATCAATGGTTCATAATTCATAGTCGTGTGATTGAAATTGGGACTGGGTGATACTATTGGGCACTCAACTCGATTCCCTCAGCTCCTCAGAGTGCCCAGGTTGTTACATTGGTGTTAGATGTGGTTTTTGCCCATGTGTATATTCAGCGTTTTGACACGTCTCATCTTAGTTTTAGGGATGGTGTTATGGCCCTCGATAGCAAGTTGCTTTAGGTTATCCCGTCTCAGTACTATAGTCCTGGAGAGAGCCCAATCTTTTGTCTGTACGATTACAACTTGGGAGAATTATCTACGCCTCTTACACTTAGATACCTACTTCAAAAGATTCCTTGGTATTTTAGCATTCTTTTCGTGTAGTTGAATCCACAATTGTCTGGGTTTATCGGCAGTACAAAGAAATTTTCGTTTTTGATCGAGAGAGATTCCATCACTTTTCAAGATGGCGGTTGGATTTAAAAGGGAATTCCCCGTTTGACTGGCCCAGAAGTGGCCCGGAAGTACCAATAAATGGAGGAATTTGACGGTTGATATAAGTTAAATATTACACGCAAATATTGCGATCAAAAACTAAAATTTCTTCGTTTTGCCGATAAACCCAGACAATATTGAGATGCGAGTAGGTAGTTACCAGATTCACCACCAGGTGGCTCGTTCGGGTCAGATAGCATGGCGGGTATAGGAGAAAGTTCCCTTAAACTTAAATCACATCTGTTTTAATGATTCAATTTTCATATAACCCTAATGTATCTAATAGTTATGCAAACTGAAATATGTCCAGTAAAAGAAAATGTTATCTATCTAATACAAGAAAAGATATTTCACTTTTTGTGATTTTGTATCATGGGGTCTATGGGGAATCAACCCGAACAAGAAGTCACATTTTCAAAAAAAATTAAATTTTCAAAGTTGATAAACAATTTTCGAAACCATATTTCTAGATGTACTTTTACATGCAGATTTCAAATATGACATCACTTTGACTGAATTTTGAATATTTAATGACGTAAATCAAGATTTTTTCTACTCGCACTTAGTCTATTGTGGATTCAACTACACGAAAAGAACGCTAAAATACCAAGGAATCTATTAAAGTAGGTATCTTAAGTGTAAGGGGTGTAGATAATTCTCCCAAGTTGTAATCATACAGGCAAAAGATTGGGCTCTCTCCAGGACTATAGTCCTGGCACGGGATAAGCTTAAGGGGTTTCACTAGAATTTCTCACAGCAGGCTAAATAAATGAAAACTACAAGCAAAATTAATGGAAATCATAAATCTAACAAGGAAAAGTTGAAAACAACAGGCGAGTTTGTGAATACAACCACTGAAAATCGCCTGTTGCCTGCTGCTAATGAAACCCCTGTCATGTCTGTTAAACTATTTCCTCCTGGAAAACTATTTCAATATTCTCTGTAAAAATTTCACTTTCATTAACAACTTTCAACATGCCAGTATTTCTCTTACAAATATAATAGGAACCTGGGAACCTCACACTCATCTATATCTGTTGGAGAAAAGGAACAAATTACGTTCATTGCATATTTTAAACATATCACAAGAATTATACATCATAAATTGCAATATGATGAACTAACACAGATGACAGAAAATATGTCATAAGCCAGACAACAAATACTCCAAATCAATGGTTTATTGACTTTTGTTCCAGGCCACATCAAAACTATTGGTGAATTATGAAGAGAATATTCGGTCACAGATTTTAGATTTCTTGTTCAAGGTAAGTTGAAAAGAAAACCTCTGCTGTTTTATATTTTGATAAGGAAAAGCTCCCCCATTCATTTACTAATCATTTCTTCCAGGTCTTATGTCACCACCAGAAGTGGTGACATATATTGTTATAGTCTCTAATTTTTTGTGGAATTTGTTTAGTGGTTGGTGCTCAGCCATTGGTGTATATTACAAATGGAAGGTGGTGACATTTTGCATGTTAATGCCTTATGTTTGAAAGTTGAAATGATAATTTTGCTTGTGAAACCAACTCATAAATTCTGCAAGTTAAAAAGGCCAATTTTTGCAGAATTTCATGTGATAAAAATGAGCAAACTATGAATACAGAAGTGGAAAACTAAGAGGACTAACCAATTATGGTGAAAATAGATAACTTTACCTTGCCCTACAATAAGACCATATGTTTATTAATGTACAAATACATGTATATACATTAGTACTCATCTCACACAATTGAAATTATTTTAGCCAAACTTCGGGGCCAGCCTCCAAATCCTCAAGGTGGAGATAGGGGGAGATGGGCAGAGCTCTGAGGGTGCAGAATCATCCCACATGCACTCTGCTGATGACGAGGACTACACACGTGGCTATGAGTGGTGGATGATGAAAGAAGCCAAGAAGGTAAAACAATACACATTTGGTTTACCCTGGGGTAGGACCCCAGTGTTACTATCCTTACTATCCTCCCCCCTCAGACGAGAACAAATTCATAATTGCATATTGATTTAATGACTTGATAACTTAACTCGTTACTCAATATATATTGAATCTTGTTCCAGCGCAATCATGGCATCAAGCTTGCATATGGGGCTCAATGATATAATATATATGACTATGATAATGTAACCCGTAACCCTGGTGTCAAGCTTGCTTATGGGGCTCAATGATATAATATATATGACTATGATAATGTAACCCGTAACCCTGGCGTCAAGCTTGCATATGGGGCTCAATGATATAATATATATGACTATGATAATGTAGCCCGTAACTCTGGCATCAAGCTTGCATATGGGACTCAATGATATGATATATATGACCAGGGCTTGCATTAACGGCGTCCCGTACATATTAAGGACTCAAAAATAATTTGGAGGTCGCAAAAATTGAAAATATTTCCGTTTTTTGGACGCAAAATTTTTTTAGGTCAATACTACAATGTGTTTACAACGATACCTAACAAAAACAAATAATTATGATCTCTCACCTTTATTTGAATCGTAAATAAGGCTCAACATGTTGAATATTTATGATTCTCTCAAATTTTTTCGACTTTGTTTATTTTTAGATTTGAAACCATGACACGCCACAGTTTTTCCTATTCAGAAACAAATATTAGGTTATTCATGAAATAAAATGTATTCATTGTCGAATGAACAAACATGCATTTATTCAGTCCGTACTTAACGTTTACTTCCGTTTTAAATTCGCGGCAAGAAATCAAAAACTGAAGGTGTTTTGGTAAAAAATGCTTTTAAAATAAAGTTATACCTCAAAACAGGCTAGAAATAGGGGACACACTTTTTTTTCAAAGGACACACTTTTTAAAAAAAATTGCGTCCTTGGGACTCACAAATTTTCTAACCTAATGCAAGCGCTGTATGACTATGATAATGTAACCCGTAACCCTGGCGTCAAGCTTGCATATGGGGCTCAATGATATAATATATATGACTATGATAATGTAACCCGTAACCCTGGCGTCAAGCTTGCATATGGGGCTCAATGACTATGATAATGTAACCCGTAACCCTGGCGTCAAGCTTGCATATGAGGCTCAATGATATAATATATATGACTATGATAATGTAACCCGTTGACTTATTACTCAATATACACTGAATCTTGTTCCAGCGCAATCCTGCCATCAAGCTTGCAGGTCTCCCTTGGTCCTTCCCAGGTTGGGTAGGAGGAGACACTACCTGGCCCTATACACACCCAGAGGTTACTGCTAAGTACATCACCAAGTGGGTCATAGGGGCACAGAAGTACCATAATCTCTCCATAGATTATATTGGGGTATGTAGAGATTTTCACAATTAACAGACAAGTTAACAGATTATTACAAAATTATATGTATGTATATTTATTTTATTAAAGTCTCACACCAATGTACATAAAACAGTTAATACTTTACACTTACATAACTGTCAGTCTTTTTATGGTTTTGTCTATGTGTAATTTAAAAAGAGATCTTACTAAATAATCTTTGTAAATCTATATGTAATTTGTAATTATTATTTTTATAGGTTTGGAATGAGAAACCCTATGATGTGCAGTATATAAAGGTAAAATACAAACACATTAATTTGAGGCCTTGTTACCATGTGAAATGCTCTCCCAACATTTTAGCCAATTTCAAAATTTATCTTGCAGTTTCACTCTGTAAAATTCATTGTTTTAAGAAACCACTTATTAACAATTTGGTACATTTGACCATTACACCAGTAAATGTAGTAACACATGCAATTATTTCATGATTAAAGAAAAGCTAAGCTTGAATATTTTTCATGCTCACTGTTGTACTTGCTAATGTTTGAATCCATTTTAATACAATAATTTGGGACAGTGGTACCTTTTGATAAAAAATCAAGTATAACTTGTCATATTGACCTACTTTCATTCAAAATGGGCCCTGCAACAGCAACAAACAAAAAAAGTTGAGAACAAGCCCTTCAAAGCACTTCAAAGGTAATCCAAGTTAAAACAAAATGCTTTGCTTAATCCATTGAGAAAAAATGTCTTCTAAATTCAGAAAAAATATTGAGGCACATTATAACATTTAACATTTTGACACAGACTCAATTTGTTTTCTTATATGCACCCATAATACAGAAAATAAACGTGGGTACGAGTTGTCTTGGGTACCAGTTGACTTGGGTACGAGTTGTCTTGGGTACAAGTTGTCTTGGGTAAGAGTTGTCTTGGGTACGAGTTGACTAGGAAGCCACATAAGCATACCAAGAACAAACATGTACAGTGCTCACCATAAATAAATGACACCTGGATTTGCTGAAGTTAGGATTTCCCATGTTAAAATTTAGAGAATTTTTCAGGAGGGCATACATTAGTAGTTGAGAGTATACAACATGTAAAATATACAAAATTTAAGGGATATGTACCTAGACCTTATTAGAAGGTATGAAGTCTAAAATCACCATGGTCTGGGAATGGTGATAGAAAATCAGGGTTTACGGAAAAGACCGACCCCACCGACCACCGACCGGTCAGTGTTTTCCATAGGTAGCCTCAAAACAGGGTTTGAAAAAATATGTAAAAGACCGACCACTATGTAAAAGACTGACCAAACGAAAAAAAGCCTGCCTTGACACTGACCAATTTTACAGGAAAACAATATTCCTGTTTCTGTCCGTACGTAGGCCTATGTCTGTTCGCCGTTTCCGGGCATTAACTCCAATACCGTTGCCCCAATATTGGCTACAGTAACAAGGCCCCCAGAAGAGAAAAATTCTAAATTCTTAATCACATTCCCGGTCCGGGCAAGTCCATGAAGTTCGTAAAGTTGTAGCTACGTTCATCCAGTTCGGACACAGTTTATAACCAGTTCGGCAACGTTTTAAAGAACGCAGTGACAACTTGTTTGGTGTGATAGCTATATTTGTTAATTACGCTGCAAACGGAACAGGTTGGTGTACTCACGACCTGAATTTACGCCTGACTGCACAACGTCGTAATACATTTATAGTAGGATTGAAGTTCGCCGTGTGCCCAGATCGTTCTGCGTTCTTTAAAAACGTGGTCACTCGTTCTGATTACTAAGTTCTGGATGACCTACTCGTTCGGGTAGTTTGATGCACAGTTAAAGTTCGTTTTCGAGAACGTAGTGAGAACTAGTTTGGTGTGATAGTAGGGTAAGAGGAGTCCCACTTATTTGTTTTTAAGATTTCAAGATTTTAACTGCAGGAATTTCAGGTGAAATAACGTCCATTCAGAGTTTATTTTTGCTAACACCCCAGTCACATTTGTCGTACGGAGGCCGTGTGTCCGCAGATCGATTAAATCGGTGTATTTCTGCGGCGAGCGTAGGAAAACTACGCTCGCCTTGCGGCCTCCGTACGGCGTTTCCAGTTTTTTACAGGCCGCAGGGTCGGCGTAGAAATTATAACTCGGAGTTATAATATTTGTTCATTTCTGAGGTCCCCGTAGAAATCAACTGGCTCAACAAAATTGAATCATTATTTGTCAATGTTTCACCATCACTTTTCATTTGATATTACATCCTAGCACTTTGAATAACATTTATAAATTGTCCCGATGTAAGTAAAATGAAAAAAAGTATTATTTATCAACAGAAATTTAAAATTCACCGTGCGGCTGCCGTGGGAAATGTGACTGCGAAAGTATGAGAGCGTAGAAATTCCACGGCGAGCGTAGAAATGTTACTGGCCGCAGAAATGATGGCCGCAAGGTCGCCGTAGGAAATGTGACTGGGGTGTTAACAGCTAAATGTAGGTCCGTGATCGTTGGAAACGTTTCTGCAATAAACGATCAACCTAAAGAATACACTTATCTGCTTATAAGAAAGATTAATTACGTGTAGTTGATGTTGCTCAGGATCAAATTGTACGAACGAACGCAACTAGTGATTGTGTAAAAAACCGTATGCCGACCAAGCACCGACCTCTCACCTCATGGACCCAACTGTGGAGAGTGACTGGTCGGTGGTCGGTCTTTTCCGCGAACCCAGAAAAGCAAGATTTATTTATGGTGAGCACTGTAGTCAATATACATTGTAGAATGTATCTCCTTACTCCTTACAACTTTCTGTTTAGATTCTGAGACAGATGCTAGATCAGGCTAGCCCTCATACCCAGATAATCGCAGCAGACATATTGGGTCAGAATGGATTTGATATCATCAGATACATGCAGAAGGACCCAGAACTGAATCGATCAGTGTCCATTGTTGGGTATGTTAATATGCGCCTGTTATTTCAATTGTCATGCAGTATAATATATTAAAGCTGTTTATCTTGAAAATATTGTCCCTGTCTAAGGTTCAATGTGATGTGCATCTATAAATAATTTTTTAACAGATAATTTATTTGGAAATGAAGTAATATCAAAATCGAAATTCTAATAGCTCTTTATTTTATTTATTTAAGACTAACTTATGTTTTTTAAAATGTCTTATTACCTTGCCATCTTTTTTAGCAAATGATAATGATTCACATAATTTTTGTTACCTCACAAGCTTTGTGCCAGTTACATGTATGGGAATTATATTTAGAGTGTAGCAGACCCTGACTTTAGTTTTAAGAGTATTTCGCAAACATATCCTTTATATTTAGGATGGATATGTTGAACTGGACATAATTGAATTGTTTAGTTGACAAACTTTTGACATATCAGCTATATCAATGAAAAGATTCTAGTCAACATATTTTCAATAATTCAATATTCATCAATTATTTAAGCCGCATGAGCTAGCTTTTTGCTTAGGGGCTGGCCATTTCTTCATTTGGTACACAAGCTTTCCATGAAAAATAATACTGCCTGCGATTAACAAAGAAAATGAGAAGTAGATATTAAATATTATACAAATATTTAATTCTATTGAGGTGAATACCTGTGCATCTTTCACAAGTGATATTCCACGAAGCCCGAAGGGCTAGTGGAATATCATCTTGTGAAAGTGTCAAAGGTATTCACCGAAAATAGAATTAAATATTTGTATTATTATATCACTGTCATAACATCTTCTATAATTAAATAAGTCATATGTTAACAGGATTTATGGTGTTCTCCCTCAATTGATCGCGCCTCCAAATAAAACTGGTTCAATTTTTCATTCAATGTTGATTTTGATACGTTTTCCAAATCAATCACATCGTCTTTGCTAGATATCCAATCTTGAAAGATCTTCACTGATCTTTTTGTTGTCTTTATTGTGTTTTCTGAATGAATAGACCTGTGGATTCTATCAATTTCTTCAGCAGAAATATTTGGAAACCTTTGCTTACCGTCTGCCGTTTTGGTTATTATGGGATATATAAAATGAAAATTTCACTACATACATACTAAGTCAACCACGCAGGTATAAGTCATGACCGTTGAATATCATTTGATATTCACTGGAAGTCACGTGACTTCCGTTGAATATCGCTAGTTATTTTTTAGTCACGTGTAGGACATGGACCAATAAGAGAGTGAGGAATATGACAGTGATATAATAATCATTTATATCTAGTTTGATAGGAGAAAAAACTTTTTAGTTCAAGCTGGTTGCAAGCATTTGAAAAATGTTTGATTTGTTCAAGGTGATCAGATTAGGTTTTTCTCGCTGTATTGCCCCTGTACCTTTGTTGCATTTTTCATTTGATTGTTTTTGATTTTTTGTTATATCATCCTCTGAAAATGGCATTGTTTCTGAATACTTGCAGAATGTAAGAACTTTTTTGTATAAGGGAATTTATTCTTTAAACTTGATTTCTTTACTAATTGTTTAGATAATGCATGGTTTTAGCTGAGTTTATGTCCTTTTGTAGAATACACTACCCAGGGACTAACAGTCCTAGTTATGCACAAGAATCACATGTACAGTTGTGGTCCAGCGAGGACTACAGTTCTTTGAATGATAACGAGGGTGCTGGTTGCTTGGCAACGGTAAACATTGTTCTTCTTATGCTTTTAACTCTTAGCACCTTGCTAGCCTTTTGATAATATCTGTGGTATATTTAATTAATGTGTGCTTTCATCCGTGCTCCAGCTATGTGCTACAATAATGTGTGCTGTTTACTGTACAAGTGGTATTTAATCAAAGCGGTTAATTTGCCGAATGGTCAAATTTTATCAATTTCCTAATTTTAATTTTCCTAATGACAAGAAACTTCCCATTGGATAACATTATGGAGACAATATTTCCGACATTTGATTTTCCGAGCCTGGCAAAAATTAGGCAATAGGCAAATAAAATGATTAGGCAAAATTACCACTTATACAGTATTTGGTTAATTTATTTATTTGATATCTTGCAAGCCTCTCTATATTTAAAATACTCCTCTTTATTTTATTCTTGGTTGCTGCTATTTAAGTTGAGGTGGGTCGGGTATGAGTCAAGTTGATTTTGTCTTGGTGGAGTCTAGATAGCTAGGGTCTAGATTCTTAGTGTCAGAGACTGGGTTGAGAAGAGACAATCTGCCATTGGGGAGGTAAACGCTAATGAGTATGGGTAAATTCTGGATCAGTGAAATCAGGGAGTTCCTCCAGAACAGAGGAGATAATAAGACTGTTGCTACCAAAGCTAGAACTTACTCAACCCACATCTACTTTTCTGCTTTTCTTGTTTGGTTATGAAGCATCAGGATACTTTTAGTTTGCTTGCTAATGGGCATGTGACAACATCCCATAATTTTACTACGGGTCATATTTTTTGACAAAATAGTGCAACTCGCTTGACTAACACTTCAGCCTATTTTCTAAATCAAATAATAAAAATCTAATTAGGGGGCTTGTACTTATGTGTTTAAGGGTGCACTACCCAGAAACTTGCAGTCCAGATTATGCAGTTGACTCTAATTATACACTATGGTCTTCTGAAGATCAGGGTGATCGCAAAGCTGATATTCCATTAACCAAGGTACACCTTTTCTGAGTCCATAAAATCAAAAAAGCTTTTTCTAGTAACCTCATCTTATTACAAGATTGCCAGAGCTAGAGTCGGGTCAAAGAAAACCAAAGTGGTTTTCCCCGACCTGAAAGTCAGGGAATTATCTTAAAAATCATTAAAATATTGTACTTCTGAATTCTAAAAAAAGACAGCGAAATTTTGAAACATTGAAAATATTTGTTTCAATAACAACTCACTTGGCAACCCTCTTCTCTATAAATACTACTGTATAAAGTAACAAACTTAATGCATAAGTACAGCCCCTCTAGCAGCATAAATGAAGTAAAGGGAGAATCCTTATATTTTTGCAGTATTCAAAATATTATAAATTATTGCAAACATTTTTTAAAGTGGTGAAATTGCTATACAGGGGTTTCATTAGCAGCAGGCAACAGGCGATTTTCACCAGTTGTTTTCACAAAATTGCCTGTTGTTTTTAGGGACTTTTCAACATTTCCATATTAAATTCATGATTTCCATTCATTTTGCCTGTTGTTTTCATTTATTTAGCCTGTTGTGAGAAATTCTAGTGAAACCCCTGTTATATCTATCGTTTTTGTGATCAACATGCAGTCTTTACATCCTGTGTTTACATCTAACATATTGTTACGCTTTAGTAACCATTTGCAATAACTAACCAAGTGGTTACTTTTTTGATATTGTTTTTTCAGGTCCTGAATAAGAATTACATTAATGGTTACTTCAGTGGGTAAGTCTGCTGCATTGTATTTCCACCCGTTATTAATCATATCAATTCAAAAAATCATATCCTTTCGTTTGCAATGATAAATGCTACATAACTGCAGTTGTGTCTCGTCTTAATTTACTTTAATTTTTTTTATAATGATTAATACAATGAACACATACATCTGACATATCTGTTCATGACTTAACAGTTGGAGGTTCTCTTATAAAACCATCTCATATACATTGTCTTTGGAATCCAGTTATACCAATGCTATGGAGTGACACAAAAATGCAATTATTCCAAAATAAGAGGGTTACATTCTGTGATACCTCAAATAGGATTGGCTCCCAGAATGCAACATTGATATTATGTCCCATTTCTGGTAAAGGTGTCACGGAACAAAAAAAAGTTCGGTTTGGTTTGGAACATTTGGCTTTGGAACGGAACGGAACAATTTCGGAACGGTTCCGGAACAAAGTGACTAGATCTACATGTGTATTATACTCTTACTTGCCCTATTTATTGTAGGACAAAATCTAGTCATTTGCAACAAAACTACTTAATTTTGAGAGTCTATGAACAATGACTGGATATCTAGCCTGTACAGGAAATAAAAAATTAGGTCTACGTGTCCTAGAAGTAGATCTCCCATTCGAACTGGGAAGAAAAACAAAAATTAACGATCAATTCACCTTGAGCGTCTGTTATTGGGACCTCACATCTTTGAAGGCTTTCTGGTCCCGCTGAACCTACCCCCCGATTACAGGATTACCACAATATTTCCAAATGTGGATTTTCCTGTCCTTCGAAGCATCTTCGATACATTGTTTCTCGGGTTTCAGCTCATTTGACAATTCGAGTTTAGCCGCCGCCATGATCAGTTCAAAGTCGCAGATCATACTACTCGAGAAAGATAAACCCCCAGCATATTTAGTACTTATAAAATAAGTTGATCGACTAGGTCTATCTGGTAGCAAAAACCTCTTGAAAACTCTTCAATGAGAAGAAATGAAAAATGGACTTCTTTCGATGAAAAGAAAAATGCTGTTTTGCAGCGATTTGAGGTCTAAAAGCTGTGTAAAGGTACGATTTTCTTGTTCCGGAACCGAACCGAAATGTTGAATAATTGTTCCGTGTTCCAACCTGAGAGCCTAGTTCCGCGTAACGGAACAAAATCGGGTATCCGTGAGACCTCTAATATGTGGTAAGGTGACATTTAACCTTATTTACATGTGACATGTTTCTGGAACCTGTCACATAGAAATAAGGGTAAAGATCACCATACCATGTATGGGACAGAGTATTGATGTTGTATTCTTGGAGCCAATCCTCCTTGGTGATACCTTATACTCACTTTTTACAGAACAATAACATGGAACCTCATTGCCAGTTACTATGACAACCTCCCATACACAAGAAAGGGTTTGATGACAGCAGAAGAACCTTGGAGTGGTTATTACTCTGTTGAGCCACCTATATGGATAACTGGTGTGTATTTGACATATCCTAAAAGTGATATTACCAGCATTTAAGCAACCAGATACTTCTAGAATTTTAAATTTCTTTGCACCTAGTTAAAAAATCTATTTGCAACTTGAAATTTAAAATCTATCCATACTCAGTAGAATTTTGACTGGCACATTTTAACTTAACACATGGAATTTGAAATTTCCATCAGAAATTGGTGAAATGAAATGAATCTGAATTATGAAAAATATCTGTATCATGTATTGGTTTGGATGATTTTTTTGAATAGAGAATACACTTTTTAACCTAAACCTCTAGAGCATTTGGCAAGGACATACAGTATACATATATTTGAATCTGATTCGATATGATCTACCCCGATTTCCTTTAATTTCCAAACAATGTATTTTGTTTTAATTTCAGCCCACACCACCCAGTTTACTTCAATAGGCTGGTACTACCTGAAGCATGGCTCTGGAGTGGGTTACCTAGATCAGGGGGGAAGCTACGTTACATATCTAAGGCCTGGGGGTGATCTCACTATTGTTATAGAAACAATGGTATGATTAAATACATCTACGTATTATCATTATCATGTTATTTTTAGATCTTATTTTTGAAATAACATGCCCTTTTTCCATGTGAACATATTGACCTTATATATTCACAACATCATGATATAATATGGTTTCATGGTGTTGCATTTTGTCAAAATCATACTTTTTCTCATATACCTTATTTACATGTACAAGGGGGTTGGTGTGGAGATGAAATTGAAAATTTTACCCCAAAGTCTACTTTTACAGTACTTGTTTTGCCCAAAATATCCCAAAGTGTAATATTTACGAATCGGTCACTTTACTTCTGATGTTTTCATAATACTGTATACAATAACCTGTATGTAATTGTTACAGACTCATGACCACTCAGTGTGCATAAGACCTCCTTATCCACCTTACGAAGTGAAACCTCAGAATGCAACCTTCAAAATACAAGGGAGCATGGTAAGTCAATGTATGGTCACCTAAATATAAAATACCTGACAAATATGATTGAAAGTAGCAAAACATATGTAATCAAGTTCTAGATTTTATTTACTTTTGTAACACTAGCTATTGAGGTAACAAATTATAATATGTTCTTATGTTCAAATCATCAATTAGTGAATCCCTATTTCTCTGCAATGTTCAATACATCTTCATTCTAATGTTTCAAGCAGTTTGAGTACTTGGGTGAATTTCCTAAGATTGCTAGGTGTAGTTGCTAATCATTATGCTTAGACTGCAGCGTTTTGTTCTCTGTGTGTCTACAGGTTGTTATGTACGTGTATACATATTGTAATTTCTATTGAATTTTCATTGTATTGTAGAAGATGGTTGATCAGCTCTACCTCTGGTATAGTGCTCTTAAGTTTGATGGCAGCAAGTCAACACTCTTCCAACAGATGACTCCTGTCAAAGTAGGTTTTTGTGGCATCTATCTTGATTCTTGATTGTACGTCTCATTGACTGTGTACAACTCCCACTCTTGAACTCACTAGAGGATGACTGTAAAAATTATACCACAAAACTACAAACTATGACTGTAGTTTTAGAGTTGAGGGATAATACTTTTTAATAAAATCTTACCCTCCCAAAACCGCTAGTGCCGTATAATTATTAGTGGTGCTTGTCACGAAGAAAACTAGTGTCCACTATGAAAAATTGAGCCAAGAGTAGATGAAAAATGCATCTTTTGATGTCTTTATCTCAAGATGGAAAATTTAATGAAGAAAACTATAGCAAGTCATGATTGCGGACACTGGGGTTGACACGATTATTCAAGACCATTAATGTGTCAATAACGCAACTCAATGACAATTGACTGCACCACTAATGATTACGAATACAACATACATTTAATTAACACATAAGGTGAATCAAAGTTTGACTTGGATTGCTTCTGCATGTTTTTCTCTGTTTTAGGTTGTCAATGGTCAGTTCTCAATTTCTGTTGGCCTAGATAGTGTCTACACATTGTCCACTATCTCTACTGGCCATAAAGGATCTTTCCCTACAACTGCTCAATCAAAGCCTTTTCCTAAACCATACAAGGACTCCTTTGATTGTAAGTTACAATTAAAAAGTTTGATATACTGTAAATTGTAAAATTTTAATCCTAAAGATAGTACACCTCAAAATGAATTAAATCTGCACCATTAATTAAAACCCTATTTTCTGAAAATATCAATTTTCAATAATGTCTTATTGTATTTCTGTATTTTGGGTTGGGTTTTGCAATTTTCTCTGGCTCATCCAGAATTGGTCAGCAAAAATAAAAGCAGAAACCAATCTTGCCTCATTGGTGATCAACTTCTTCAGAGTTACAATAATGATTCCGCTTAACCCATACCCAGAGCATCTTAGCTTGACACAACCTGACCTGACTCAACCTAGATACAGTGTTCCCTTGTACATACATAGTAGCTGAGACAACACAAGTCTGTATATTTACTCTCATTTCTTCACTTTTAAGAGTTAAGTCACCACATTCTATGTGCATGCAAAATGTGGTGACTTAACTCTTAAAAGTGAAGAAATGAGAGTTAATATACAGACTTGGGACTTGTGGTGTCTCGGCTACTATATTTATATTTTCCAGCTTACCCAGTTAGCAGTGAAGCATTCAATTTTGCTCAACAAGTAGGTGTATTTGAGACAGCTAAGTGTAAAGAGTTGTACAGAGGTCTCGTTCTGCGCCAGGTTGTGACGAGACATCCAATACACTGGTGCCCCCTGCCACTGCTGCAACCCATCAATGTCATTGGCAACTTTAACTGGTGAGTCACTTTGAACTGAAGTTTTCAGTACATACTTAACCTAATCCATTTAGAGTATTCTTACACCCCTTAAACTAGTTCAGGTGGATCATTCCATTAATTGGCCTATCACGCACTCCTTTCCAACTTTCATGTCATCACTTCTGGTGGTGACATATTGCTAATTTTTTGTGGATGGTGGTTGGTGTTTGGCATTCAGTGGTTGATGTCTGGGTCTGGCAGTCAGCATTTTGTGTCTGTAACAAATGGCAGGTGGAGATGTTTTGCATGTTAACGCCTTTGAACTCCATTGTCAGTGGTTTTGCATATGTTTGTATGTACATCTAAAGATTCCATAAGATAACAATTAAGATTTTGACATCTCTTGAGAAAGCATCACCTCAAAGTAAGTCTCTCATTAAAGGTCTTAAACTGAATCTCTTTCAAATTTAAGGTTTTTAATTGTTATATTATGGTATGTTATTTATAGGTCAGACATCACTGTTACTACTGACACCTACATTGACACTAAAGATGGCGCTGAGGGAGCATTCATTGCAGCACGTGTTGATAGAGGAGGCTGTAATGCATGGTTAGCTCAAGGGGTCTTCTTTTGGATTCTTCCTGATGCACAACAATTCCAGATCAGCACAGATATAGGTAAGAAGGATCATGTCTATCATAGAGTTTAAATACTAGTAGTCTTATAACTACATATCATAAAACAGTTGTGCTACTTTTCTTTAGCTTTACATGTAATTTTCATGAATGAACTTGAATGTTATGGATTTGATAAAACTATATTGCTTTTAGCAATGGACATATCTTCAGTTTAAGCTGTGACCCTAACTTTCTAATGTTTTTGAAGACAATGGGATGTTGAGAGTTATCAAAAATTTAAAATTGTGACAAAGTAACCTCTTAACTCCATAATAAGTCTATGTTACACATTTAAGACCCTGGGATAGTTAATTTAATTTTATGATTTGAAATTAACATACCAGTGTAGTTGTTTACAAATGATAAAAGCATGTTTTATGAATGCTAATATAAAATTTGAAATTTATGTGTCACTAATGTTTGTTGTAGCAAGGGCCTACATGGTGAAAAGTGGGAATGTCAAGTTAGCCAGAGATACATGGTATACCCTCCAGCTACAGGTTAAAGTAAGTAGGAAATAAATGAAAAATAAATAAAACTGTGAGGTAGAGAAAAAATGAATAAATTGGGGAAGGGGGGGGGGGGGCTGGGGGCTGAGTAGAGAGTTTTTATTATTATTTAATTTTTGTTGTTTGTTTTTATATTGACAATTTTTGTTACAATCACTTTATTTATTTCCATAATATAAGACTTGATGGATGACTTATTTCAATATTTATAACATATGAATCACAATAGTCACAACTGATCTTTGTGCTATTCAATTAATTAAATGAACATTCTTTTATTCCAGGGAAATGTAGCAAGTGCCTTCGTCAACAAAACTTTAGTTTTCAATGGGACAGTGAACTCAAGTTCAAAGCATGGATTTGCTGCTATGGGATTAAGTTCATTCGGATATGGCAGTTTTGACAATTTCATGGTCACCTGATCTACCACAAACAACTGTATCTGAGGACATGTTTGAATAAGTAACATACCATGATAGCATTACCATTGACTGCCAATTTAATGAGAAATATCACATGAACCAAAGATGTACTTGATCGATTAAGTCAATTAATTTAATGATGGACCTGTAATAGCACATGAACCAAAGGTGTTCTTGAATTAAGTCTTAATTTGAAGATGGACCAGTAATCCAAGTCCACTAGGCCATGTCTTGTTTTTCTGAATTTTTCTTGATTTAGATTTAGAGGAAGGGTGAAGCCCTGCATTCAGGCCCCACAGCCCTCCTCCAGGGGCCTGTTGAGAGTTCTGTTCCTTTTTTGCCAAGTGTACAGAATCACACTAGTATCATTAATTTTATTTTAAGACCCTGTACATGTTTCCTTATCTCAATTTGGTTTCATTTTTTATACATTGTTAATATGAATACTTGTTTGTATCTCTATATGAATAATATTGTTATTTAAAAATATTGTGTACAGTTTTGATACTGCTGTTAAATCATCATCCATGACCTATCAATGATCATGTACTATTATCAAGTAATATTATCATGTAGATGTACTATTATCACATCATATTACAGCATGCTATGCTATAAAACAGCATGTGATTGCCATAATGTCCTTTTAAATATTAATACAGTGAAACCTGTAAACTGGAACACCTCTTGAAGTGGAACACAGCTGTAAGTGGTTCACTTTTCAGAGTCCCAAGACCTACTGAATTCATGTTAAATGAACTTCTGTTAAGAGGGACACTTTAGAGGTACCAAAGGTGTTCCACAAAGACTTATTTTATTGTATTATTTTAATAATACTCTGAATAAGCCATCTTGGAAGAGTATAATCATATATTGTTATATTATGTATAGTAGACCTTTCCAAAAAACCCTCTCCTTTTTTATAGATGAACATATGATATATTGGCTAGATTGAAGATGTCATTGGTTTTCAGTGACTATCTGTGTAGGCAAGAAGTATTAACATATTGCTCATTTTGAAAATGTACGACCTGTGACATCATCAATCTAGCCCATATAATATCCTAGCTTCTTTGATGTACCAAAAGGTGGCAGGGTTTATTAGAAAGGTCTATTCACTATATTTAACTTTCCATGTTTTTCATTCAATATGTTAAATTCACTTACCTGATTTAGCTTGCTATGATTGATCACATATTCATCGGTTGTGCATATCAAATATGTTCTTTGTATGATTTAAATCTCTGTTCAACTATTTTGATTACTATGTGTATATGTTGTTTTGAATATAAATGTTTGAAAAATAAAAATGTATGATAAATGAAAATGTATGATGTATGTTATTTCTATGAAAATAAATCTATTAATTTTTAAGTAGAATGTTGTTTGTTTTGTAAAATACAGTACTGGTGGTCTGCACTCAGTAAGAAAATATTGATTTGATATTTACTTACTAGTATTCTGATACTTATCATCTCTTTCTATTTTGCAAATGTGAGATGTTCTGATTCACAGGCACTTCCCACAGATCTATAATTGTACCACATACCAGATATCATGAGATGCATCATAAAGGGAATTGTAACAACACAAGAATGATAGTACAGTCTAGTAGAAGGCCTTTGAAGAGAGCGAATAATGATATATTGCATACAGCAATGGGCACAATGCATCCATCTTTCAGACTCTTGGCTGTATTGTGCAGAATCTTTTTTTTGTTTAACTAGGATACTTTATGCATGAACTAAACTTTCATCTCCACTCTATATTACATTTTTTTACATATCACAAACAGCATTTTGCATTCAAATTTCTATAAAAGGCCATTTTGCAAATGCAACATAATTAAGTTAGTATTTATCTCCGAGATCATTTAGATCTGATATAATTTGTTATCATTAGTGCATTCAGAAAATCTATGGTCTCAACATAAAACATCCTATTGTTTAAGTTACTGTATTGTTGCCTTGGTTTCAACATGGTTAACGTATACATAAAAATCATTTGACATCATAAAATGATTTATTAATGGCATGGTTGGCAAGCCATATTTCTGAGTACTAAACCGGAAGTAAATTTGATTGGCTTACCAGACCGCCATACTTTTCAATGTTGACATAATTTCTATCACGACCAGAACAATTTCTCAATTATTGGAGTTAATAGGGAGAGTTTAATAAATTAGAACAAATGGCAGGTAAGATGAATAGTAATTCTATGTTCAAATCATTCTTTTAAGTGAGTTCGATGACTTCAGGAGGTATGAAGTGATAATTTTTACGCTTGATTTTTTATCAAGAAAAAGTGAAAAAGTTTCAACTTTCACTTCTGCTCAAAATCAGCTGTTCTGATAATGCACATGCTGAGGCCTATGTCTTTCTTAGCTTGCATTTGTTGTTAATAAGCTATACGATCATAAAGATACTTTTCAATTAGCTGATAGTCTAAGTAGTTCTTCAACACTCTTTCACATTGGACTGTAGCCGTGCATTGTCAACCATTAGGCCTATCTCAATTTACTCCAGTCTCAAGCCAATTCTTGGCTAGAGGTAATTTCATCTGAAGAACTGTGAACTCCATTTGAAATAAGCTGCCTGACGTGTCATAGATTTATTGAATATTCTAAAAATCATCAATTAAAAATGGGACTGACTCGGCTCCTTGATGAGATATTGCATAATTTCGTCAGGATTTCGTCTAAAATTAAAACAAATGGCTCCAAGAAAAATGGCGATATTCGATTTTTTTAATACGTCATGACCTAATATACATGCAGGAATTTATCTTTGGACGAAGGCCACGATACAGTGGCCTTGGAAGAAGGTAAATCTCAATAGTCTAAAGTAATAGCCTTCTTAGATCCACCATGTTTTAAATGGAAAAATCAGCTTAAATAGTCTAATGTTCATTCAGGGGGTTTCTTTGGAGATAATAAAAATATGTTCAGTAACCTACGGGCATCCCTATTCCTTGTCTGTATGATTGCAATATTTGGCAACAGATGTTAATTAAGTTCACCGATAGATGGGGAATTTTGATGGTGTCAAATAACACTCTAAAATTCCTATTAAAAATTCTTTAAACTACTCTTTTGTTGATATCTCGTAGAATTTATAACTTTTACTTCTATTGATGTGGGCTTACAAAAGAAAGGTGCTTGGTAAAACCATGAGCTTTTTCTTAGATGAGTTTTCTTGTTACAATTATTGTTTTGTATTTTAAATACCTATAAAGAATATATAGGCTAGGGCAGACCATATTACTCTTTTCATATCCAATGAATATTTTGTATAAATATAATTACAGCTCCCTCCCGACCTCCCCCACCCGTTGTGGGTAAGGTGACACATCACAGTGTTGAGTTATATTGGATAGAAGCATTGGAAAGTTTGAAAGGAGAGATGCAGAAAGGCGATGGAAGAGTGAGGGCTGTCTTACAAGAACAAGACCAAAATGGAGCTTGGAATAATTGCTACACGTAAGATTTTTTCACATCGAGAGCTATTTGAATGTTATTATTACAATCAACGTCTGAAATTTCTCGAGAAGTGATAATTAATTCCATTGACTATGAGATGTTAGATTCTTAAGATCAATAATCGGTTTAAAAGGTTTGCCAAGTCACGTAATATTCTCAAAAGGTTTTAGATTGATTCTTTTGTTTGCCTTGGAAGCCTACTTATAGGGATTTAATTAGTTTTTGGATGTCTAAAGGTAACCAATAGTAAAATAATTTGAATGATGTTTTTATTGATTCAAAGGTTTACAGAGTATCAATAAGAATATTAAGTTCAGTGTTCTTATAACTGACGTTTGCCAAACCCAACATAATATTCTCCACCTATTCATTTGATTGATTTATTATTCATATAATTTATTGTTTTCTACTACTTTTCAAATGAGTTTAGTCTAGTTTTGATTTAGATTTTTATGCTTTGAAAATTAATTTTTGAAGATTAATGGTTACTTATACACTTCAAAATATTTCCTATTATACTCCTTGACAGACACTGAATCGATGAAGTTACTTGATACTTTAACAAATACATAATGTAAACTATTCTATGGTGTGAACACGTCATACTGAAAGTTTATTTCTATATGCTACTGGGGTTGAATACACAATACGAGGAATTTTCTGTTTCATTCTTGTTTGCATTTTTACCTGAAATATGTTTTCAGGAAATTAATGGTAAACGCTGCTCAAAGAGCCTGTGTAGTACTGGAATTCAAGATTTAAAGCTAGAATACTGCTAATTTGATCACCGATGGTTTTGACCCTTTGAAAATTAATTTTACCTCCGATTTTTTACTAGGGTTGCTTTAGAATTCATTGTATCTGCATGGGGAGACAGTTGAATTGCTTAATAACTTACACATGTTTTATGTATCTTTTATATTATAATGGTAGTTTTGATGCTAAATGTGAGTTGAAGGGAGTCAGCCAATAAGTTAGTTTCAGTACAGTAGAACCTGTCTAATTGAACCTTACTGGAACCAGCCAAAAGTGTTCAGATAAGCGGGTGTTCACATTTCGAGGTTTTATAAACAATTCTAAGTTAGTTCAAGATAACAAATTTGGGACAGGGAAAAGTGTTCACATTGAAAGGTGTTCTGACTAGAGAGGCCTTTGAGTATACAGGTTTCACTGAAGTTTCTATCCTGGAGTAGTTTTCACAACGAATACATAGACTATGATAATATACAATTGAACCCCAGTTCAAAAAATATTCATTTTGTTGTATAATCAACAAGCAACACCTTTTTGAGAGTGGATAAATAAAGTGAATAGTAAACATGAATAGTACCTCCATATCAAGGGGTACAAAAATTGTCCCTTTTCTTTTCCACATTGCTCATTTAAAATGATGAGTAAAAGATGTGAACATGTTTACTTGAACATAAAAGTGTTTATTCAATCATGAAGGTTATCATGATATTATTTCCCCAGACAGTATTGTGATATTGCAACAGTTATCATGTTTTAACTGAAGTTCTGATCAGACATATCCACTTCATTTATTGATCATATAATCTATTCTAATATGATACGTTACGTCATACTAGCTAGAACAATTGATTTACTGGACTATAATGGAGTATGTATGAGTATGACCGATAAAATTCATAAATACAAATAGTTTTGTTTTTTGGTAACTGTCATAAAGGAAATGAAAATGATGTGTGTTGATGAAAAAATTATTTCAAATGTGTTGCATATTAAAGCACTTGTCATAAAATGATCATGGGGCTCAATAAAACATTGATGGGATTTGGATGGGGCATGCTCATCATTATGATTATCAACTCTGCCTATTAATGATTTTTTAATATATGTTTTTTTTTTTGTTTTTTTTTTATAATTTTTTTTATTTCAAAGAATAAGCATGTTAAAGCAATTGCAAAAAAACAATTACAGTACAGTTACATGGTAAACCTACATTTAACAATTTTACAATACAGTACAGTGGTTAAATATTTCGTCTTAAGAGACGTTATACCATTGGCATTTTTTTATTTAAAGGAAAAAATCATCAGTTTCATTTGTTTAATTTTGTTTCCATGATTTTCCACTTATCCGGTCTAGCACTGGAGTCTTTAAATTCAATAAACAAGTGTCATGCCTTTTTCAGTTAGTCATGCGACAGTATTTGTTCATGAAAATCAGCTTAAAGTTTTAAAGAAATATACTCAATATTTCAGATTTGCCAAGCCAATCTTGTTAACAGAACCATTCTAGATTTACCACATAATAAATATTGTTTTTCATATTTTCAGGATACAGAAAAATAATCCAATTTCAAGTCAATTATAGGTATCCCATTGTGTAAGAAACAGTTATTGAATATCGTTACTGCATGAAATCCAACTTGTAAATTATCTAGCTTTCTCAGTTAAAATGTATACTGGGTTTCAATAGGATTAAATATTTTTATATTGGCTTTCTCAGGAGTATAATAAAAAAGCCCAGTGTGTTATGGGCCATTAATTTAGTAAAATGAAAACTGTTTTGAACTTATATTAAATTAAATAATAATTTATTTATAGATTTAATTTGGGAAACCTGATACAGGGTTGAAAATGTATAGAAAACTTTATGAATTCCAATGATTGAAATTATACAGCCTTATAGTGTTAACGATTTAATTTTATAATTAAAACAGGACATAGCAGATGCGCATGTGGATTTTTTCCTTAAAATATTGTTCAATTCTCAATTTACCAAAAACATTCCAAAATATTGGTCGCCCAAACTTTTTTACGCAAAATTTCTATACTTCTCAACTGCAACTAGATTTTCATCATGATAAAACTTATGTTTTAGTTTTTCAACTGAGTTCAGCATGGTGATTTATTGCATACTGGGACAAAATCACCATATTAAGACATTTGAGCAAAATAGAATATCCTATACAATGAAAATTGTCTTTATACTGTATTTTTGTAAATAATCTGGCAATAGTAATTAGACATTGACAAAAACAAATCTAATGATAAATAGAAAAAACATAAGACAGAAAAATCTGTAAATGATCAAAGGAAATTCTACTTAGTTGGTCGATAGACTTATAATGACACATCATCGACAAAGTATTATTGATTACGACTAATAAATAATGTTGTTTTAGTACATCATTGATTTCCAATTTCAATGGTTCTTGAGAAAATGTTTGTGAGGTAATGATGTCTTAGAATTTCTATAATTATCATATCCAGAAGAATCCATACAATTTCAAAGTGTCTATTTGCTCATCACTGTGTTCTAAGAAAATTATCTGTTTAATTTATAAATAGTTTATCAGCCAGTATTTACCAGTGTTGGCTGTTTGGTTATAATATAGCAATAACCTCATTTCAAAGGGCGACATAGTGAAATCTTGACCCGAGGGCCAGGATTTCTCTATGTTGCCTGCTGAAACAAACAAACTTCTTATTCACACTGGACCAGGGCAGATAATGACCACTATGGCTCGCCACTATTGCTCAGTAAAGTAAACAGTTCAACATACTCTCAATGTGACGATGGATTTTTTGACCCACATCCTAAATCTATCTAACTGGGTCTGATAATATACAGTAGAAAACGTCACAAGTAGAAGAGGTTTTTAAAAGTCCTGCTGCCCATTGACTTCATGTTAATGAACCTCTGTAAGTGGAACACCTAACAAGTGGAACACTTTTTGTGGTCCCAAGGGTGTTCCATTTACACAGGTTCTCCTGTATAAGAGAGGAACAAGGGTGTGACCAGATATTTCATAATAACTACTGAAATGAATAAATTATCTGTATTTTACAGAGGGTATGCAAAGCGACACGTAATGGACAATTTGGAACCTCTAACACAGTACAGATATAGACTTCAGTTAAAAAACAACCATGGTGGAAGCGAAATGAGTCCCATGGTGGCCGTCTCTACCACAAGTAAGTCGAACACTTATACCCTTAAATTCTTAAAAGATTTTGTGTTTAAAACCAAGGAACAAATATGGAAATATTAATCAGTTGAGATTATACAATAAAATGTTTAATGTGTGTTAAATTTCGTTGATAATTGACACCTTTTGTTATTCTGACATTTAACATCCCATTATTTCTGTAAGGTCTCTTAACACAGAAGAAATGACAAATATTGAATATTTGGAAAGATATCTTGAACATATTTACATCAAACAACTTGGTTTTAACCAAGACTCTCTTGGTTTCTTGTTCCAATTATATTTATTTTAAATCTACAGTACATGTATTCATTGAAAATATTATAAACTCTATTATAATTTTACGTTATCAATTTGATCATGGAATGATATTCATAATACACTTTATACATTTTATTGCATGGTTGTACCAAGGTGGCAATTGTATCATCTGCACATGACCATTAAGGTCCATGTTACTTGCACTTTTTCTTGGGCTTTATATCACGGCAGAATTCAGATTTTAACTTCAGTTATTTTATTGTTTTTTTGTTGTTTTTTACAGAGGAACCACTGACAGGTGACCACTTACACAGAGCTGTTAATTTGAGGACTTTAGACCAATTAGAAAACATCTTAGATACAGGGTAAGTGCAACTATTGTGATTATAACCAAAAGTATAATACAGGGTGTCCTAAAACTGTGACCCACCAGTTGTTTTAAGAAAGAATTCCATTTTTGCACACCAAATTGATGACAACTTGTGAATGAATGAATCAACATAAGGAATCACTGTGCAAGTCCACCAAATAGTGCCATTTTTATCCCAATAATCTCACACGTGATGGAAAGGAAGACTCAATGGGAAATGGTTTCATTTAAGCTGAATAGAAAGCAAAATGGCTTTAAGAGGATCTGATCAGAGAATGTAACAACTGACTGAGGTAATGGCTGAGGGGTGGATGTGGTTTGAATGGAACACCTGGGTGAGAGAGAGGCATATTGAAAAAAAATGAGTTCCATCATAGCATTAGTGATCTGCAAGTTCCAATGATACTGCATATTTGAGTTAAAAAATAGTCTGGGAATTTTTAATAAGACGAAGAGTACATTTACTGTGATGTGTCTAACATTATCGAGCCCTTTGGAAAGAGCTTGGCTCCATTGCTCTAAAAGAGACCTTCGTAGAATTGTAATGCTAGCTTATGGGTCTATTTTTAGGGCATAAACTTTACATGGTACAAATACGTCCCTTTGAGCAGTCTCATCTTATTTCATTTAAAAACTTCAGCTTGGTGTATTGATATTTGTTATCTTGTGTCCTGAGTTTCAGTTAATCAAGGAGATTTCACATGGAGGCAGGTACTTGGATCTGACATGTTTCTAGAATCGTCACGAAGTCATACAATAAGCCTGTGCCATTACATACATTATACATTACCTTAAGAATCATTGCCAAGTACAACAATGATTTTCTAAGGCTTGGTAGTTTCAAGTAAATACAATAACAGCTTAAAGCAAAATATCAAATAAACCAACCAGAATATTTATACCATTTCTCTGAAAAAAAGGAAAACAAATCTGGATTTTTTGTATATCATTCTGTATAATTAAGAGCCTGTACTTCATGTCAGTTTATTCTGTAAACTTTTATAAACTCAATTAATGAAACAATAGTTAAAGAAATAATATTGTGATATGTCATCAAGCAGTATGCAAAAAGGTCTGCCAGTAGCTGTTTCTTTTAACACCTTAAAAATCCATATATGCGATTAATAGTTTATTTCTCATTTCCTTTCCGCGTAAATAAATCCATTAAAACCTGTTGTAAATGCTTAAGGAGCCTACTTATCCGCCATTGTAACTGTGTTATGCCTTGCAGAGTTTTACCTGACATTCTACCTGGTTTATTGATAATTGTATTAGTAGACTAAAGTTGTTAATCTGGATAAAGATGTAATGTTAATTGTGCCTACCAGCTGTGTGTAAACAATTTAGTCGTATTAGTGTATTGAATTTGAATATATGGATTGTTCTCGTTAGTTCAAAATAATGATTGACACTGACTTGAGGCAAATATTTAAGCATAAGTGCAAAAAGGGGTCCAGTAACCAGATACCAGGGTGTCACAAAAAACACCCTAACAGCACAAGTCAATAAAAACAAACCTATGTGTTGATCCCGAACTATTGTCTAACACACAAACAATCAAAGTGGATGATGTCCTTTATAAATGAGATCTGAAGTGTTAACTAGTTGTGCAAAATGTTTACCAAGATATTACCTTTATACTCCCATAAAAAAGCATTATCAGCTCAGTTTTATCTCATGATATTGTGATACCCATCAATATTCAATTTGATTGTACAATCGGTACTTCTAATAAATAAATAAGTATTTTTCATTATTACATTCTATGTTTTTCAATCTCAGATCCCGTCATTATATTTATGATACTGATTCAGAGGTAAAAACAAAGAGGCTCATAATTCAGGATTTAAAGATAATCGTCATAGTCACCCAATGTTTTCCTGTTGCCATTGGCAACAGAACACATCAATTCTATCTAATGTGTTAAATGCCAATAACTACTTATCTATCAGTTCTCAACATGCTATTCTGAATTTTATTCACTATTTGCATGCACTCCTGAATAAAGTCTTACATTATAGTTGGCCTTAATCGATGAAACATGATGTTTCCAAGTCTTTATATTATCAATAGCATCGCTCATGTTTGTTTCAAGTGCCGCTATTGAGGCAAATGCGTATCTACTAAAAGTGTCATCGAAATGTTGGAAATAGATGCAAACTCAAACTTCTTCAAATAGTTCATGGTGTTTCGGTCATTTAAGACTTGGGAAATGTATCATTTTTATATAATCCGCTAAGCATGATTTTTGAAATTGCTGGTAAATATTTCTCAAATGGTTTAAGTTAGGATTTGCCTAATTTTTGTGACATATTATAGGTTACAGGAATTTAGAATGAAGCCTAACCCCAGGATTATTTACTCTACTTAACTAACATTATATGATAAAACAAACAATTTGAGCAAATATGATAAACTGTATCACATATTCTATATAGGAGATAACCTACTACATGTTTATATACACATACATATGATGCATATAGTAACTTTATGCTCAATAAATAGGTATTTTCTCTTTTATCGCACATTCTTGTAATAATAGTTGATTAAGGGAGATTATTTCAGATTGCTACAAGAATTATGGAGACTTATTAGCTCCTGCTATCTCTGTTCAAATACAGGTAGAATCTTGATATATTATGAATTATTCAAATCGTAGATAATGACTTTCGTAGAACTGGCGTTGATTTGTGAGTCTCAGTAACTAAATCTGTTCTCATTTACATGTACTTTGTTTCGAGAATGGTCAGGGAAGCCTCGGTCAATTGGGTGATGAGACCAACACCAAAAGCATTTGGATCTGTCCGATGAAACAAATGCATTTCAATTCAAAGTACCAATGTTGTCTTACGCGTACATATTCACCTGATGCAAGAGCAAACTAGTGCCAAGATCTGATTAGGTTTTAGGCGTGTTTGATAAATTACTTGGTGTCCATTTTGAATTTTTTGATGAAAAAGGATTGATGTTTATCAATGATTCAATGTGTATCTCGTTCAACTTGCTGTAGAACTAAAGCTCTACGTTGAAGGATGGAAATATGCTACGATCAGGTCTTACTTTGATACTGCATAAACTGCTTAGTCCTTATCTATTCACCTTTTGCCTAAATCATTCTGTGTTCAACATTGTGTCATTCCATTTATCCAATAAATACTGCAGGGGTCATGTTTTCTTATGGAGTAGTATTCTTTAATAGTGGTAAACAAATATGTTTGTATTGGTCTGAAAGAGCTATTGGACAAATTGTGGGAAAACATGCGATATTTACAGCTGTTTGTGGTTTATGGAGGTAAGAATGGAGTAAAGGAAGTTTGTGCTTTGATCTAATAGTCCATTCTTGTTTTAATCATTCCTCTACATGCCAACACTGTACTGAATTTGATTTACATTGAATTGCTCACTTTCATAGTGTAGTGGTGTTGATTAATAGTTTATATTGGTAAGTATTCGAAGGTTGTACCTTGGGAAGGAATATTGGGTTTATCTTGAGGGAAATATATCATATTCACCATTCAAACACATTTTCAAAGATGTCAATAACATAGTGAGCCTATTAAATTGCCCCCTCATCCGTCTGCCCTTCCGTCTGTCTGTCAGTCCATCTGTCTATCAATAAGTTTTTATCCAAACTTTTGTAATGTTACTCACATAAAACTTAATGACGAGCTTGTTATATTGATTACATTAGAGCCAAATGGAAAAACATTGATGAATAATACTGCGATTAGAGGATCTGAAACTGTGAAAGCAATAATAATGACATAATAATGACAGTTGACATTTATTACAAGTTCTCCACAGATCAATACCTCATCTATCATCCACCTTTTAAGTTTCATATCACTCGCTTTATATGAGAGTTGAATATTCCCTTTATCATCGTGAACAATTTGATTAAGATATATGTTATGACAGAGAGTTGAACAACATCAGAGAGTGTGCCACGATCACTGTGACATATCAAGCCTTGATGCAACTTAACCGGGCAGTGAATCCAGTTAAGAAAGTGAATAAATTCATTTGTATAATGCATGTTTTGTGATTTAACACCCAGGCCCGTAGCCAGCTATTGCCAAGGCGGTTCATTTTTCAAAAGATTCCAGGGGGTTTGTCTTGACAACTTTTGCCCAAATTCACTTGAAAAGTTCAGATAGAACGAAAATGCTGTGTTGAACAGGGCAAACCATGTAAAGAAATTTATTCAAATAAACTTTGGGCAATACCTGGGAGCAAAATGAACTTATGTAAATAACAATTCAAATAGTTCTAAAGCACTCAAAGTTTATCTGTGTATTTGAGGTTTTGGGAACAATAGGTATTCTCCAATGAATCAAATAGACCTTAACAAGACATATATGGAGGACTTTTATATCACAATTTGTTGTGTTTATTTTGCTAGTTTGTCTTCCAAAGGGTTTGACTCTAGACATTGAAATATGAGAAATTATAAGAAACAGAATTATACCATTTCAAGTGCAAGTTAGAGAATCTCTTCAGTTTTTTTCTGAAAGAAAATTGTTCGAAAAGTTCTCCCATGTCGATGTCTTACAATGAATGAAAGAAATGTGACATTGTGCACTAGATTGCATTATATATTGTATATATTTTGTTATTTTGCTTGGCAATATATATAACAGCTCTACTGTAAACCATGTTTATTTCACAATGCAACATTCATGATTTCAGAATATCCAAGTATTTTGTATAATGCTGAGTTTGAATTGACAGAATTCAGTCCATTCAACAATTGTAGATTGTAAATCATGTTAATTTTCATGTTTACTGTATGAATATAACAATATGCCAAATTGGGCGTCATCCACTTTAATATACATTTCTCACTCATATTATTGGAAATAAATAAATAGCACAACATAAAACAAAAACTGTAACTGGATTAATTTGCAAGAATACCCATTCGTGAATCTATTGAAGATGACATAGAGAAAAATAATGTTTTACAGTACTTACTTTGATAAATGTTCTATACTTGCACAGTTGTAATTTTTGTTTTACCATGTCAGCACCACTCTTGTCATGTCACCACAACTCTTGGTGACATATTGTGGTAGTCTCAAACTTTTTTTGTGAACGGTATTCAGCATTCGCTGGTTGGTGTTTGGCAGTCAGCATCTGTGACAAATGGCAGGTGGTGACATTTTGCATGTTGATGCCTTGTTTCATATTTATTCTACTGTACATATAATGTATATATTTATAATTTACAAGTGTATCCTTGTCTTTTCAGAGATGTTGTGATTGATGTACCAGATAAATATGGCAACTGTCCACTAATGAATGCAGCTAGTAAAGGATATATAGAGTAAGTAAGAATTAAGGGACTAGGAGGGAAAGAGATGGGTTGAGAGGAAATTTGGAAAAACTTAATATATTTTGCTCTCATTGTTCCAAATGCCTTTTTTCTGAAATTCCAACATTTTGGCCTGTTTCAGGATAATTTTTGGATTTTTAGGGTTGAATGGTAAAACTTTGTTATAAATGTCATTTCTGCATATTAAATCCTCAATAACTATTTGATCAGATATCTCAATCACTTTTTCAGATAATAAATTCAGGATTGTATGGAAAATATTTTTGAAAAGATTGCATCGAACATTTCTCACCGTCTAGTCTCTATTTCATCTAATTCCTGTAATTTACTAAAGGAGTATCTGAATTTCCTATACTAACTTATTTTGTACCTCACACTTTGTGAAGCCTTATACCTTCTGTTCATGATAGACCTTACATTAAGTAGGAGAGTTCTTGACATTTTTATAACACGAGATGCACTAAAAATGTTTTTGAACTTCCAACCACTTCAGCAGATAACATGTAGACACTTTTCTCAAGTAATTTGGACCAAAGCACCTGTTGTTTTGTGTAAAATTGTGTAATAATTTTGCTTTTTTATTTTTATTTTATTTTGATCATGATCATATAAGTTAATGAAGTCCCTTGACCTTATACACATATGGGTTCTTATACCTTCTCATTAAATCCAACCTCCATTTCAATTAATAGTATATTAAGGGAGGATTGTTGCATGACAAGTCTTTTTATTCTAAATTGTATTTGCAATTCATGATCCCTAAAACACAAACTCAGTTAATGGCTTAAGATTATTATCAATTAATATATATCTCGAAAAATAAATTAATGGTTTCCTGTTTTAATTCAATAGTTTATAAAGTCACATAAGAGTTGCAATACCTTGTTTTAATCGTGATATTTGTCAAGATCTTTATGGCACCTTAATTAATTTTTCAATTCTCTATTTCAGTGTCATGGACGTATTGATCGCACGAGGAGCTGATGTCAATTGGAAAAATGATTCTGGAAAAACAGCGTAAGTTCTGAATCATGTAATCTGATTCGGTTTATAAAATGGCTTTCTATAATCTCATAAAACTCTTTGAATAAATATGTATTTTATACTGGAGGTTATAAATTGAATTGCATTACTTTATGTGACGTTTGAGTAGCAAAGATTACTCATCTGAAGTTCTATTCAATATGAATTTTTTCCATGTCTGCAGCATTTCATTTTATGATTGAAAATGTATATTCTAAATTATAAATTACTTGTACCTCAAAGGCTACAATTAAATGAAGTTATTTAAGCAAATCTCCTCATAGATGATGGAATAAGTTGGCACAAAGTTTATTTGCCCCCACTTAAGAATTTAGATTCATGATAAATAAGAGACATTTTTATCAATTTTTTCATCAGAAGTTTGGCATCAATTGCCTCTCTTCCCCAGTCTCTAAATTAGACAATGGGGGTGTGTTCAGGGGTCTGAAACAAGAATAAATGTTGAAAAAAGTGGGAATTAACACTGGAGATATTACCAGTATGGTGAATCCAATAAGTTCTGATGAAAATACTCCGAACATTTTAATTTGTAGATAATTTGGATTATTTTTTCACAGTTGAAGTTCTATCTTCTGATTTGCATACTAGAATGTTTGATGTGAATGTTTGAACATTTTTTCTTACAGGCTAATGATGGCTTGTTACACTGGGAAACTGGAATCAGTAGAACGTCTCCGTCAGGCAGGTGCTAGTTACGATATCACAGATAAAGCCGGCTGTGCAGCCATTCATTCAGCCATTGATGGGAAAAATAGTGAACTTATAGAATGGATTTTGGATGACGGAGCTGATGTGAACACGAAAGAACTTTCCACAAAATGGACACCTTTATTACGATGTGGTAAAGAAATTCTGTTGATATCTTTGGATTTCTTTTGTCTTAAACATACTTCCAGGCACTCAAATGCAATGGGAATAAACACCCCGAGTCCCCTTTTGTTCATTATAATCTCAATTGTAACTATTGTGGTCTTTTATAGGGGTTTGAATATGCAATGTCATGATTTTCTGGTTATATATTCTGATTGGGAATTGACTAGATCAATGGATTGTCTCTTTTTTAAAGTGTAGAATAAATTTAGTACTTGTACGGCATGCATAACTTTTTGTCTGTATGATATTTAATTTTTTCATTAGCACATTAAAACTAGGCTTCATGGAGCAACTCCACTAGAAGTTTCAGATGACTAGCTCACCTAGATGCACTTTTCTTCACAAAAGTTAATATTTTTGAAATTAAGGAGGAAATCATATTTATTTGACACCCTGTACTAAGTGTACTTATTAGCATCATACCCTAATATATCAATGTCTATTGTCATTTCAGCATCAGTAAATGGCAATGTTAATGTAGCTTCAACACTTATAAAACAAGGCGCAGAGTTAGATATAAAAGACGCAGATGGTAAAACAGCACTGATGATTGCAGTAGTAAATGGGCACCAACCTCTTGTTGAATTATTGTTATCCAAGAATGCTGATGTACAGGCTAAAAATGAGGTAATTTTGGGGTTAGAATCGTACAGTGTAATTCTAAGGTTAGACTGACATACAGTTTAATTTTCGGGTTAGACTCATTCAGTGTAATTTTGGGGTTAGACTCTTATGTGTAATTTTTGGGTTGGACTTGTACAGTTTAATTCTGGGGTTAGACTCATACAGTGTAATTTTGGGGTTCGACTCTTATGTGTAATTTTGGGATTGGACTCGTACAGTGTAATTCTGGGGTTAGACTCATACAGTAACTTTGGGGCTAGACTCGTATAGTGTAATTTCCTGTTAGAGCCCCATGCCAAAAATGAGTGGTGGGGGCTGGGGGAGGGGGATCATAGCAGGTCTCTGACGCTTTTAATTTATATATTATTTTGTAGAGTTTAGTATAGTACTTTTTTCCACCTTGTATTTTTATCTGTTTATTCATAATAATTAAATGACATATTTACAATTTCTTTTGTCTTTTGACTCCAGGATTTCAATTAGTTTGTTTATAATTAAAGTTGAATAAATGGAATTACATGTACATGTATATGATTCTATAAATCTCTGCTTAATAATGGTTTTACTTTGTTTGTAGTTCGGCAAAACAGTTATTGAAATGGCACACTCTATGGATAGACAGGTAAAGTTGATTCTCAATAAATTATCATGTGTTTAAATTATTATGGTTTACATGAGAATGAATAAATATAGGCTCTCATACATTTCAGTATTTCTACCTTTAGTGTTTTTTGAGTGAAAATGTTTTTGGGTGAAAAACCACTAAACTAAATTGAGTGAAACAGTCTTATGTATATTTCACATCTAATTCTACATAGAATCAATTTTGTTTCACTTAAATGTGTAAAACAATTCACATTTCCACAAAGTCTTTATTCACAAAGATGAATGAGTGCTGTAACAAAATAGATTACTTGTAAATTAAGTGAATTTCAACTTTTGAAAGTAGCCTTAATATTTGTTGTTACCACCACCTCTTCAACATCTTGTAACAAATAGCAGGTGGTGACATTTTACATGTTTATGCCTTGTTTATAGATGTCTCTGATGTATGATTGTATTTCAGCTAATAATTAGAACAATGAATGAACACATGACCAGGCATGGTTTAAAAGGAACAGCGAAATGTATGTCAAAGCTATGGTTTTGTATTTCCTGGCTTATCAAGCTGTGGTATTAACACATTAATTGTTGTATCCCCCATGTGTGATAGTAGCTAGTCCTGCAGTAACAGACCATAAATGGGCGCAGAATATTATTCTTGTAATATGGATATTGTATCTGGATGCCAGATAAAGAAAATATGTGATTTACCTGAAATTAGAGAGATATTATCTTGAAATGGAAGAAACATTTAAAAAAATTGCACTGGCACTTTTATTGCACAAACACTTTTTTCTTGGTCTTTTTCTGATTAGAATACTGTAGATTGTAGTGTAGACTATATGTAGGTATCTTTCATTCATCTAGTCAGATTAGCTTTTCATTGTCATAGCTGTATTCTTGAAATTCAAAAGGGTCATAGACTATATGTCTTGGTATCTTTTTTCCATCTACTTAGATTAGTTTTTTTCTTGGTCTATTTCTTTAGATTGTAGACTTTATGTTAATATATCTTTCATTCATTTTGTCAGATTAGCTTTGCCTTGTCATTGCTATATTCTTAAAATTCAAAAGGATTGTAGACCATATGTTTAGGCATCTTTCATTCATCTACTAGTTAGATTAGCTCTTCCTTGTCATGGCTATATTTTTAAAGTGGGTCCTACTTTATTCAGGGAAATCATATATACTATTGGTACATCTTTTGCTAAAGCCTACATATTTCATCTATCCCAACAACTTCAATCTTCTTGAGGGAATCATATTGATTTTTGGATTTTCTTGTCTGTTGGCCTTTGATAATCATATGTTCATAAATAACATTGATCTCACTTCGATCTGATTAAGTTTGATCATAATTCTGTATACGTAGTCTTCAGCCACTATCCTTGACTTAGAAATTCTTTAACTTTGCACTTTCACTTGGATGTATAATAATTTTACAAGAAGGTTTATCAAGACTAGGAAACTAGAAAGTTATGTTTTATTCACTTTCCCAAAAGTTTGTCTCAGTCCCCCCCCCCCCTCCAGGACATCATGATTTAACCATTAGTATACTTTGTAATGTGGGCTTCATTTAAATGCAATAAATACACTGTTTGATATTAGTGTATTGTCAGTAGATAAAGTAAATGTATGATGTGTTGCTTATATAAATTAATAGGTCGACAGATAGATAATAGACCAGTACTGCCATCTTTCTGTCAACCTTGTGCAAGCGTGTGTGTTCAGTTGTTGCAAAAGTCAATGTGCTTTATTTATAATGGCTTACATTTAATTATGACAGTATCGTTGCAAAATAGTTTAATTTATGATGGCTTAGATTTATGATTTTGTGCTTTGTGAATGCTGCTTCAACCTAAAATAAGTTTATTTGCAATATGCTTTATAAGGTGCCCCATTCCATCATCATGAAAATATGGGTGCCCATGGTACGTGGTTGATCACAAATCCAGGCTATTCGATAAAATAAATGTAATGAACTTTTAGGGTGCATATTCTTTGTATTAAAAGTGGCCTTCATTATGCCTATGATGTCACAAATAGTAAGTAACATGGGAGTCAAAATGTACATACACTCAAACAGGTTTATTGTGTATCATTTTTGAAAACATATTTGGTATATCTATTTTTGGTATATCTATTTTTATATGTATATGGTTTATGGTAAGGATATCAAAATCCAAGAGTACATGCTGTTAAAAATGTCTACACTAACAATTGAGGAATAAGATCCAAGTCCCAAAATTCCAAAACATAATACTCATCCATACTTGAATTAAGCCTTATACTTAACTAATTTCACTGATCAGTATCAAGCGAAGATAATGGCCAGAAACTGGACATCCTAGCTCTCCATTATAAACTCTCATAATGTTACTAAATTACCACATATCATTTATATTAAATTATGTAATACCAAAATCCTAGTTACCTACCTTCCCTTAAGCGGTGGAAGGTATTGTTGAACAGTGGTGCCTACGCATGGTACATGAACAGATAACCATACTCCAGAGTTTTCATGTCATATGAACCTCATATAGTTCAAATATCAAAGCATTACATCAACTATAAAGTGGTTTATTTCAATGAAAACAAAAATATCGAAATCAAAACTAATTGCCTGCCATCTTAGATGCGATTATGGCTGTTACCTTCGCTTAATACTGACAAGTGAATTTGGATTAGTTTCCTTAAAAGTTTTACCAAACCATGATATGTGTAACTTTGCCTATACAATTAAAAAATGTGTTTTTTGTAAGGCAATCTTGTATTTATCGTATATTCATGAAAATAGCAATTGGGAATTGGAAACATGTACCCATAAACAGAATATATACACCTTAAACTTAAACCAATAGGTAATTTATGTGTTTTGTTTTATTTCAGAGATGTGTGAAGACTCTACAAGAGCACATGGATCGTCTTAACATCAAATACTACTGACAGATATAACACAAGCTGCTTATTGTCACTATCACCATAGTAACATGTGTGGAAACCATAGCAACCAAGAACAAAACAAATAAAATAATCCTTGTATAAGTGCCATAGCAACTTATATGGAAGCAAAAGTCACTAAAACCAGAGTACGAGACCAGAGCTGCAAAGAAAAAAAAACAATAAGTCTTTGTATCAAAACCATAGCAACCAGTATGGAAACCATAGTTTAGCAGCAGTAACCTAGAGTAACATTAAGACCCTAACACCCTGAATAGAAACCGGTGACACCAGTTTGAACAACCCACCCCCCCCCCCCAAAAAAAAAAGAAGTTAAATGTTCATGCTTCAAAGAGAGAAAGCCGTCCAATATATGTGCTTCAGTGCAAAATGCCGTCCAAAGCTTGGTCTGTTGCTTTATTTCAATACAAAAGCCGTCCAAGATCATTAATCAAAATCTGTATATTGTGAACAGTAGGGCTGGCGCGGAACGGAACAGAATCGGAACGGAACAGAATTCGGAACTTTGCTTCGGAACTTTCGGAATTTCGGACCTTATTTAAAATAGTTCCTTCTTCTCCCCTTAAGTTCTCATTTTGTTACCATTGGAACAGCAGTGTACAACTATATACATATATAAGCTGTTATGTTTATTAAATACAAACACTAGCACTATCTAACTGCCAGAACAAGTGGCATAAATGTTCAAAACTAATGGCAAAATGTTAATGTCCTTGCCTTCTTGGCACCTTGGCAATACAACTGTTACTGTATATTGTCTTTCTTACAATAATTGTATTTTCTTATAGGTACTGAATATATATAAAACAATCATACTTTATTTTTTTTCTATCATTCATTACATATAAAACAAATTAACCGAGTGAAAAATGTTTAATAATTATATATATTTATTGAATTCGTTTCATAGTACTAGTTCGATATAGCGAGTTAGCGTGTCACTATAACGAAAAGTGAATGTTCTTTAAGGAAAATAAAAGTTCTGAAAATTGTCGGAATATGAGAAGGTAGGTCCGAAAGTCCGTTTCCGAAGGCAAAATCGGACGGTTCGGACAATAATTCCGTTCCGTGCCAGCCCTAGTGAACAGAAAACAAACTATAAGCACGATTAAAGTCCCTTGAAAATGTGTTCACATTTGCAAGATTTACTGTACAATATTTGTATCACCAGTCAATCCCAATTATATTACATTCCAGACAACAATTGACAATATGTTTTTGGAGCATTTTCAAGACAGGAACAAAGATTTGTAAGCTAAAAGATCTCTTTATATTATTTAACATTTCATCCGTCCATGTAGTGTAGATGTTTTGAATAGATATATTTTTATGAATGTAATTTGCTTAAAAGCATGTCATTGTTATTTTTAGCTTTTAATTAAATATTCCTGTTTTACTAATTATATATTAAAGATTCTTATTTGTGTATGTTATCTGTCATGTGTTATCAACTCACTGTTATGCAACTTGTTTTGTGATTTTTTAAATTCAGGTCACATGACAAAAGATAAACTGTTCATGTAATTGTTACTTTTTTGGAACTACAATTTTAATTTCTAAATACCTGAGTACAGAATGAAACCAACCTTATAAATACCATAATATATGATTTCATATACTTTATGTGATGAAACAGTGTATAGTACAACAAATATTCCATTCCTTTGGCCCTTGAGCCAAGATTTTACTATGTTACCCTTTGACATTAGGTTATTAGTATACCCCCCTTGCCATCGAAGCATCAGGGAATATTACTTGTGATAGATGCATACATATTCGCTTCAATATAAGGAAATGGTTGTACATAGTGATGATTGTTTTTGTTGATCATTATATTATGTTCATATTTTTGATGGAGAGCAACAAGAGGGGGAGAAACCCCAGGGTTCAAAGATGACATACGCTTATTATGTAAATCTGTATTGAGATGACATCGTCGCTGATTGGTTTAGCGAATCATGATTGATCTAATTAATTAATCCAATCGTCGTTGATTGGTTTAAAACTAGGTCAATTTGAAAACTTTGAAAACCAAGATGGAGGGTAAACAAATATACATGTATGTACTTCCGGGAAAGGAGGTGCGCGAAGGAGGAAATCGTATGTCATCAATTGAATCATTGGGTTTTCCCTCCTCTTTAGAGCAACAGCCTATATGAGATTCTCTATTACCAAACATTGAGATTTTACATTACTTACATTTACAGCGAAGCTTATACTTCCTGTTATGATAGTTTTCAAAAATATACATTTAAAAACAAAATTAATTCTCAAATATCAAGATGGTTGTTTTGTTATATGAAGAATATGGTTACTATTTTGGATTTATGTATGTTTTAACAAAAGTTTATTATCCTAAATAGATGGCATGTTTGTATTGAACTTGTTTTAGCAGATCTCAAGTATTTACTATTCAACTGTTGAATTCATTGTTATGAAAGATTAATCGAGAAATATACAAAATTAAGAAAAATGGATACTTTTTTGTTGAATTTAAGCTATAACAAAGGAGTGAATTGTGATAAAAGAATTTTTTGGGGGATCGTGATCAACTTTTTCTATGTCACCACAAGAAGTGGTGACATATTGATAAAGTCACCAACTTTTTTGTGGACCGTGTTTGGCAGTTGCTGTTCAGTGTCTGTATCAAATGGCAGGTGGTGACATTTTATATGTCAATGCCTTGTTTTTATCTATTTTATTTATTTTTGAAATTTATTTATTTTCGAGCAAATCCTTATGTTTTTTAGCTCACATGGTGAGCTATTGCAATCGCTCACTTGTCCGTCTGTCTGTCCGTCCGTCCGTCCGTCCGTCCGTCTGTCCGTCCGTCAACAATAGTGGCACGTTTTAAAACCTCTGTCGATAGGATTCCTGTTTTAAGTTATTTCTGTTCAACATCAATACAGAAAACCCCCCTATGACTCCTGGTTCAAAAGCTCGCCTATTTTCAAAATGGCCGTCACTTTTGTCTCGCAAAATTCACTTTTAGCCCATTTCCTAGCTAACCTCTGTCGATAGGATTCCTGTTTTAAGTTATTTCTGTTCAACATCAATACAGAAAACCCCCCTATGACTCCTGGTTCAAAAGCTCGCCTATTTTCAAAATGGCCGTCACTTTTGTCTCGCGAAATTCACTTTTGGCTCATTTCCTAGCTTTACAAATAATTTCAGGTGTCCTACATTGTAAAAATCCATGTCAATGTAAAGATTAGATATATGAAATAATTTTGTTACAAAAAATCAGCGAAAAATTGTATCCATTTTTTTATTTTCAGCCATTTTAGTTAACATTGATTTGTCTATCTGACTCGCGAAATCCACTTTCTGTCAATAACAGTGGCATGTTTTAAAACCTCTGTCGATAGGATTCCTGTTTTAAGTTATTTCTGTTCAACATGAATTCAGAAAACTCCCCTATGACTCCTGGTTCAAAAGCTCGCCTATTTTCAAAATGGCCGCCATTTTTGTCTCGCGAAATTCACTTTTGACCCATTTCCTAGCCTTACAAATAATTTCAAGTGTCCTACATTGTAGAAGTCCATTGCAAAGTAAAGAGTAGATGTATGAAATAATTTTGTTATGAAAAATCAGCGAAAAATTATATCCATTTATTTATTTTCAGCCATTTTAGTTAACATTGATTTGTCCATCTGTCTCGCAAAATTCACTTTTGGACCATTTACCTTTAACCCTCTGTCGATAGGAATCCCATTTTAAGTTATTTTTGTTCAACATCAATACAAAAAATTCTCCTATGACTCTTGGTTCAAAAGCTCGGCTATTTTCAAAATGGCCGTCACTTTTGTCTCGCGAAATTCACTTTTGACCCATTTCCTAGCATTACAAATAATTTCAGGTGTCCTACATTGTAAAAATCCATGTCAATGTAAAGGGTAGATATATGAAATAATTTTGTTACAAAAAATCAGCGAAAAATTGTATCCATTTTTTTATTTTCAGCCATTTTAGTTAACATTGATTTGTTTATCTGACTCGCGAAATCCACTTTCTGTGGCACGTTTTAAAAACTCTGTCGATAGGATTCCTGTTTTAAGTTATTTCTGTTCAACATCAATTCAGAAAACTAACCTATGACTCCTGGTTTAAAAGCTCGCCTATTTTCAAAATGGCCGCCATTTTTGTCTCGCGAAATTCACTTTTGACCCATTTCCTAGCTTTACAAATAATTTCAAGTGTCCTACATTGTAAAAATCCATGTCAATGTAAAGAGTAGATGTATGAAATAATTTTGTTACGAAAAATCAGCGAAAAATTATATCCATTTATTTATTTTCAGCCATTTTAGTTAACATTGATTTGTCCATCTGTCTCGCAAAATCCACTTTTTGACCATTTACCTTAAACCCTCTGTCGATAGGATTCCCATTTTAAGTTAATTTTGTTCAACATCAATACAAAAAACTCTCCTATGACTCTTGGTTCAAAAGCTCGCCTATTTTCAAAATGGTTGCCATTCTTGTTTCGCAAAATTCACTTTTTGCCCATTTCCTAGCTTTACAAATAATTTCAGCTGTCCTGCATTGTAAAAAGCCATGTCACTGTAAAAGGTAGTTGTATGAAATAATTTTGTTACAAATAATCAGCAAAATATTATATCCGTTTTTTTATTTTCAGCCATTTTAGTTAACATTGATTTGTCCATCTGTCTCGGGAAATCCTCTTTTGGACCATTTGCTTAAAACCTCTGTCAATAGGATTCCAGTTTCAAGTTATTTTTGTACAACATCAATACAAGAAACTCCCCTATGACTCCTGGTTCAAAAGCTTGCCTGATTTCAAAATGGTCGCCATTTTTGTCTCGCGAAATTCAATTTTGGCCCATTTCCTAGCTTTACAAATAATTTTAGGTGTCTTGCATTGCAAAAAGCCATGTCACTGTAAAGAGTAGTTGTATGAAATAATTTTGTTACAAATTATTGGCAAAAAATTATATCCGTTTTTTTTTCAGCCATTTTAACTGACTGAGAGTCAGATGGCTTGAAATAATTTTGTAACAAAAAATCAGCAAAAAATGTGACCATGTGAGCCCAGTACCCATGGTACTAATTTTTTTTGAGATATTTAACATCAACCTGAAAGACCTGGTATTGTGTCGAAAAGATATATAAGGATGATTTGAGACGAAAAAAGATATCAAAAAAAGATATCAATTAGGCTAATTGAATATTTCAGATAACATACAATATTTCAAATTTATTTTTCAAAATCATTTTGAACAATCAGATTTAACTCAATGTACATGTTTGTTATTAATTCTGCATCCACTTTTTCTTACTACCCTTTTCCAAAGTTTGTGCGAGGCTCTGACTACACTCAGGGCACACACAGAGGCATCTCTCAAACTAGCGTACCCCTACATTCCTCTGGAGAGATGCATGGGCTGAATGGGTACCTCTCTGGTATCACATTTAATTCAGTGGAGAATTTAAGTTCCTCTCCATCCTGGTTGTCAAACACAATCTATAATCAGACGCAAGACACGTGTACTATTTGAAAAGTTGGGAAGCTTAGAGTTAGAGCGTGTTTAAGAAGTAACTGAACTTTATATTCTTCATTTTTATATCATCACCAAGAAACATTGCATTATTAGGGCCTACCTCCTTTTGAGACAAGATATTGGCGATACACTTTTGGTTGCATTAGTCAAGTAAATGCTTATTACATCCCGGGAATTGATCTCTTATTCCTCTCTTATATTACGCCTCTCTATCCCCTCATTATTTATTCCATGCACAGGAGGTTTTCATGTAAGTGGGAGTCTGAGACCCAACAGTGCGTTATACACTCAAAACCACTTAAGTGTGAAATCAATTTTGTCAAAAAGTGAAAAAAATTCTAAAATATTTTTTTCAAATAGACATATAGTATATATCTGTATACAATTGTACATTCGTTACCAAAGGCATTGAAGTAAACTCCAAGGAAAAATAGGCGAATTTTCAAATTGAAATTAGGGTCCGTCTCAAACATGTCGATTTTCACATCTTGACCCCCTGATTAATATGTCAAGCTATTCAAATTAGAATGCAACATTTTCAAAAAACCAAGAAAGTTCCTCATGGTACTTAACTGTCCTTTAAAATCGCAAATGGATTTGGACTGCAAGCTTTTCCTTTTTGATGTGCATCACTTGTCAACATGAACCAATAAAATCTATCATTTTTCTCGATTTTTTTACTTACCTTTTGTTTTTCATTTGAATAAAATTGAAAGGGTCGACTTTATTGAAACATGAATCGATGCGATCATGAAAAATGATCCTAAAGACGATAAAAAATGATAACAGTTTTATTTGGGAAGAATAGATCATTACGCTATTTCACTATTCAACCGCATGTCGATTTTCACAAGACAATTAGAAACAAATGACAATGATTTAGAAAGTTCATTTTAGGGAACGCTTACTTCACGAATCGACATTTTTGATATGTAGGATATAATTAGCTGAATTGAGAAGCATCCAGTTTGTATTTGTATCCAAATATGACGACGTTTATGTAAAATTTTCTTTCAAAACCCGACATACGTAAAACATGATCTAGATTTCTAGATCTGAAATGTTCCTTTAACATATTTCAAATCAAGAACCCTACTCGAGTGCACGTTATCAATTGAAACATATGATATTGATGTCGAGTCGAGTCCAGTAAGGCTGACGTATACGTATAGTTCAATCATAAAAATCATCTGCACCTGTGTAGAGACGTTTCTCTTGACACCATTATCCGCGGAGCGCTTCGCCGATAACCTCCCCCCCCTCTCTCTCCAAGTTTCTATCACAAGACTTTTTTCCATGACCACCGGAAGTGTTTTTATTACTATGCTTTGCTTCATTCTGAGATTTTGTTTTAGTAGCTATAATTTCTGCTTTAGAGAAACAA